GTCAGACGATGATGGACTACTTTCCTGAGTGTAAGTCATTCATAAGTTGCTCGTGCTTCAGTCAAATGTTCACCTACGTCTGTATTGAACAACAGGACCGTACAATTAATAAGCAGAAATATAAAGAAATAATCCAATCTTTGCGTTGGATCGTACCGGTATTTACGTCATGTTGATATAAAGTTTCCGCCAAATATGTTTGGCCAAAATTGTTCGTCCAAAATAAAAAACAACAGAATGACGTCATAAGAATCCTCCATGTTGGTATATATAGTGGTGAAGCTACTGAATGGAAATGGAGGCCTTGAATATTAACCGAAATCGACAAATAACTTTCTAAATACAATTCTGTTTCATCAATTATTCGAAACAGTTTTTGTATGCTTTCATTTCCAAAAGCTATATGCTACTATCGTATTAATGTATCTAAATGATACCAGACCGTGAAGATCCGGTGTGTAATTAGAAGATAAATACTATGTGTGTGTCTATTTCCGGGATTTTATCGAGTATTTGCATCTTGGAAATTCATCTCGAGACCCGAAAGCGTTAGCCCTGGCCACTTCACAACACAATTGCTGAACTTGTAATTGGCATCGCATATCATCTGATAAGTGATAGAATGAATAGGTCAGTTCAATACATTTATAAGCAAAAAAACACAGCAGGTCACTGGTCAGTAAACAGATTGATTTAAATTATAACACAAGAATAATTGAAATGGTATGATTCATATTTTGGCTGCCACTGTGTAGGCAGTGATTTGTGATTTTCAAACTGTCGATTCTATTTTCATACATTTCATGAAACAAAAAAGTACATGAACATAAAGTGATTTTAGCTTCAGGCAATAACAATTATTAAGTCTCATTAACATAATATTATTACCTGAACATTGAGTGAGTGAAATCCTTTTCGATTCAAATAACCGACTTCATTCCTTGAGGGTGCTAGAATGTGAATGGAGGTTCCATCTAAGCAGCCAAGAACATTGGGGAATCCTGAAAAATTAAATTATATGTATCATTTTTCAGCTTCATTAATGATAAGTTAACTTATTATGTTATTATCAAGAATATATTGTCAATTTTAACTAACATTATGTCAAGAATTTTGACTTGGCTTTTATGGTAATTATCTTTCATTATATTTTGTAAAATATTTCTTTAAGATTTGATTTTAAAACGCTTGAACACTTTATTCTTTATGCATTTTACAAAAGGTATTGGAAAAATTAAAGTGTATATCTTTAAATATGTTAAACGTAATTATTATTGGTAGTTTTCGTCACAATATCAGGATTTATGTCATGATGATATCTGTTCGTTTTAGAAAGGGAAAGGTTTTTTATATAGAAATGACAAGAATTAGAGTAGCTCCCCATTATGTGACCTCGTAATTAATAACACCACTGATAGTGTGGCGAGTTGAAAATGAATCACATTCAAACACACTCACCTGCAATTTGGAAGAACATTTTTCTTGATCTTGTCTGCATCTTGTCCAGTTGGCATACATACAAAATGCCGGAGATGTTCGATCAGACAAGTGCATACATCTCTGACTGACCGAAACACCGACGAAGTTGAAATAATCGAATATGAATCGGCGATCAAAGAATAAAAAGATCCAGTGGCCAGGAAACGCAGGGCGACAAGTACCTGCGTTAAAACAGGTTATGGGCTTCTTCGGTTGGAGCACCGTTCAAGTTTCTCACAAACAAGGGAAACAATAAATAAAATGCTCTCCGCACGGAAACGGAACCTCAAAAATAACTCTTCGGGTTCCATGAAATCGAGAGGATTTTGTCTATCGACTAATCTCCTTGACAATGTTGATTTTTGTTTCTGCCTACGACGTCTACGCCTATTCAACACCGCCATTTTATGACCGACAAAAAAAACTTAAGTCACCTTCCTACCTAACTCAAGTTGTAAACTCAGTTTGAGTTCAAAATCGAACTCAGTTTGGTTCGAGAAATGCATTTAGCTGAGGTTTCTCAAATTTGAGTAAAAACTCAGACTTAAGTTAGTTTTTGAACTTAAGTTTGTTTCGAGAAATCGGGGCCAGGGGTCAGACGATGATGGACTACTTTCCTGAGTGTAAGTCATTCATAAGTTGTTCGTGCTTCAGTCAAATGTTCACCTACGTCTGTATTGGACAACAGGACCGTATAATTAATAATACAAATAAACAAACTCGAAATCGTCTGCGTGTTTGTTTGTTATTATTGTCAGTTAGATTATCTGTTGTTATGTCAACATAATCGGTTTTTTCAGAGTGTAAACCCCTTGGATGCCACAGCGACACATATGTCCCTCCTCTTCAACCCTCACTTCGAAATCGAATAAAATTCAAAATACATCACGCAGGTTAATACACTTCACAGTTTTGATTTCCCCCTTCTGTTTATCATTTACTGTCATTTTAGGCAATTCAAAATTACAGAAAGTGACTTCTGAAAATTCTCGCCAAATCACAATTCACGGCGTTATATAAATATTTACTGTGTGTTTAGAAATCTAAATACCGGATATTTACTCGAATAATTAAAGTAGAAAAATAGCATATTAGCGATCACAGGTATCAAATCACTACTAATAATTCTGAAACGTCGCTGATAAGCCAAGAATCGTTAAGAATGTTTTGGAAAATACGCATACACGATCGCTGAAGTGTACGTTCCGCCATATTGGATTGTGTTTACAAAATGCCGGTTATGAGACGCCTATTCGATCAGGTATATTTTAAACTCAGCTGCTATACATGCATCCCTGAATTCCTCATACATTTGCAAATGGTCTTTGTCACCAATGCAATTTATCTAGATCTCGAAATAAATTAGGTATGGAAACGAAAACTGTGCTCGGAATACTGTACTTGCTGAAATGTAAACAAAGCAAAATTCAGATTTAACTCTGTGTATCATTTTTAGAGGTTCTTTCGTCTAATTGTTGCATACATTGGCTCGATCACGCGTTTGAGAATATTCATGGGAAGAGTATCGTTGCACTAATTATGGAAATACACATATATACATTACAATGATGTGGTAAATTCAACAGAAGCCGTTTTCAAACGTTTCCGTCCTGTGTGGCGCCATGACTGACCCTAAATCACGCACAACGATGACGGTAGTTATCTGCATTTCTGACTAATTCTCTTTGTAACATTGGAAAACATGGTAAACAAATAACAGTACTTAGATTGTCAGAATGATTCTGTTTACTTACGTGACCCATTTATGTGTATACGATCCCTCAATCAACGAAAATCCTCCTCTGGAAATCCCGTGTACTGTTGTCAGTGAACACGCCATTTTGTAAAAGTTGGTCACCGGTAGTGATGCCATACGGAAGTAAACATTGTTGTACATATTTGGTAATTTCTTTGAGGTGTAAACTTTCAACTTGGCACCAAGCATGTTCTTTGTTTTTGTCTAGTTTGCATTTTCATCATCGCCTTGATAATCCAGATATGACGGAAACCTTATTGTGTAGAGTCACATTATTTATGAGCAGTAAGCAGCACATAGGATGACATCACTTATGACAGTGGTGTCATGTATTAATGCGCTACTGCAATCATGAGAATAGACAAATTCATCGGTTCGATGCTGAAAAGGTGCGATTTTCGGGTGTTTAAGAAACAGATTACTGCACTCGTGCCCGTCTGATACCATTGATCTTACAACTCGTTGTTACAAAGCGTATCTAACTGGCTTTCGCTCGTTAGATATACGTTATGAAACAACTCGTTGTAAGATCAATGGTATCTGACAGACACTCGTGTAGTTGTCTCTATTTCCTACACAGTGATTCGGTCGCTTGCTTCAGGGAATGCAAATCATATTTTCACCCTTTGACGTTTGGTCATGTGACCCAAATTAGCCAATCACAACACAGAACACACTTTCTATAGGTTTACAAAAGGTCTTCAGCAACCCATCCTTACCGTAAAATACGATTATGCTTGTCGTAAGAGGCGACTGACGGGATCGGGTGGTCAGGTTCGCTGACTTGGTTGATGCATGTCATCGTATCCCAATTGCGGGGATCGATGCTCATGATGTGAATCACTGGATCGTCTGGTCCAGACTCGATTATTTTACAGACCGCCGTCATGAAACTGGAATATTGCTGAGTGCGACGTTAAACAACAAACAAGCAATATCAAGCACGTTGCAAGTGACCTGTGATACCGGTTGTGCAGGACATGCTTACCCTTTTCGCGAACACTTGCTGTGCTTGATGTTGGGTGTAAATCCAAAGAGATACAGGTCGTAGAAAGTCCGAGTCACAATAGGTCCCCGACAACCTATGCTGGTCGTATGATGGGACTTACTACATTGTGTTATGCAGTTTGGGACATGGGTGACGTGGAGCGATGCTCTTAATATCAATCACTGGATTGTCTGGCCAAGACCTGATTATTAACACACCGTAGTCAAAGAGAGGGGATATTGCTGAGTGCGACGTTAACAAAACAATCGAGTTCCATAACATTTCTGAACTGATAAGACATTCCAGAAAAACGTCACATGAGCTACCAACTGCAAGCCTTGTAGCTCTTTTTTTCAGTTGTACCGTTACAACGTGTACTACAATGTATATTTTATTAAATCATAAGGAAATGTTTAGGATACGCTGTGTCGTGTGTTTTCATATCCGTTCAAGGCTTTTGGCACACTAACACGCAAAATAATATCAGCATGTTTCACGAAAGCGTATCTCACAAAACTATAGACTAAGGTAAGGTACGTTCTCGGGATCTCAATATCCGGAAATTACCTGGGCCAAACTCGATTATTTTACAGACCACCGTCATATAGCTGGAATATTGCTGAGTGCGGCGTTAAACAACACACAAACAAAAGAAATAAAAACCTGGTCAACGGGTAGGTAACATGGACACTGCACTAAGCAGAAACCTCTGAGTGAAAAGCTTCTTAAAGAAATTCAATTCAATTCAAAGAATATCTTTGCTACTATCTGAATTAAGATTACCTAGAATAATAACATCGCCAATGTCATTAAAGTGGCCGTAAGCATGTTTTAGTCTATTTGGGTCATCATCATAAACAGAGTGAAGTACATTAGAGGAAGGAAGGCGGCTCAGCAATACACAAGTCGTGTCAAAACAGGGAGATTTTACAGCTACCGAAACAACCAGTTGACTTTTGATATTAAGCTTGAGCATTTTACATTTTCAGTGCTTGTTGGCTGGAATAGAAATTCCACCAGATCCTCTTGTGTAGTTCGTATTATTTTCACGTGTAGCTAATACATCTATACCATTAGGAATTGATGCACAGATCTTTTCAGTGCTGCGAAGCAACCCACCTACATTACAGGTAAGAATGTTAAGAGCTTAGAGTTAGGATTAACAATGTACAAGTATTCATGATGGCAGTTAGTTCCATTGCACAGTTAACAATTTAGGTCAATAACGATCGTGAATACTGCCACCTGTTTCGTCGTTACCTGTGTCAGCAACACATCTGTTCCATGGTATGAAGTCTCTACATGTTATGACAGGAGGCCAGATTGTCTCATAGTCTGCGGAGCGATATTTACTTGCATGGTGAAGGTCTCAGATGTGTTGTAATGGAGTCGGTTTCGATAGTTTAGCATATATTGCGCGTACATGCCGTTAGCAACAATAGTCAAGATAAAATTCTTCGTTTCATCAAATGTTGGAGAGAATGATCAGACTGGTCCGAACACGAAAGACACCCTCCATTGAAGATTAAGATTGAGCCAGAGATCTTATATTCTGCGTGTCCTCTTTCAGCTTTTTGTGGTGTTGCGTTGTGCATTTATTGCTTCTGCATGGGGCGCTGTGTTTCTAAAAGTAGGTCCATAGTTGTTTTCGAAATATAAATTCTTAAGGTGTTCTCTGTCAGAAAGATCAACGATCATGCTTGATAGTGTTGACTGATGCTGTGATGTGTTGCTGCTAAAGTTCCTTTAATATGTCGTCTACCTTGTCCAGTTGCATGAAAGGGGATCCTACCGTATGCACTGGCATTACTTGTGTTTCTAATCTGTGTGTGATTAACACTGTCTCGCCAGGAATCCTTGGAGAATTATTTTTTTATTTCCATGGAAGCAGAAATGCCTTCTGTCTGTAATGTCTGGGAGGTGTTTGGCTGGTTAAATGTATTTGTGACAAAGTGTCACGTGTGGTATTGGCGTGACTAAGTTAGTTCTTAAGCCTTAGTTCTAGGCACACGGAGTGCCAACATTTGCACAAGGTGCTGATTAGGATTCTTTCTGAGCCTTAAAGGTTCAACGTCTTAAACTCAGAAGCGAGCGATGAAGTGTCAAACGCTGCAGTAAGTAATATGGAACAGTGGTCTGTAAGTAATCGAAACACGTTCAGACAGCTTATTGACTGAAAGCATGGACAACGATGTCTACGCCATCGGCACGATGACCCACAGTAGGCCAACCCACCCAGCCGTGCCTCACCACGTTCTTCAGTCGACTCTGACGACAGGTGTGGAATAACCAGTCTCAATCATCTGACCATTCCACTGGGTGTACTGTATGATCAAATATGGTGTGGCTTGGGGGTGTTTTTTCTCAGGACAAAAACATGAAAGCAGTGATATATTCTTGCTCGCTGAAAAGTAGTTGTAGATAGTAGGCAAAAGGCTTTGTGAATTGTTACGTCTGCACTAATGGACCACCCGTGACCAAACGTATCATGGTGGATTAGATGATCAAATCATATTTGCAGCAACACTAAAACGTAATTTAACACTAGATAATTATCCAGTCTTCTGATATTATTCCATTCGTATTTCTATGTGGTGGCACATTGTCCCGTGCACAGAGGAATGGTCGCAAATCAGGTCCAGCAACGGTGGCGGAAGATGGTGGCTATTCTTCTTAAATTTCTTGGACAACGGTCCTGCCTCACACAGAATCACTGGATAAGAACAGTTCAATGGCTCCTTGCACAGGTGGAATTGGACATCGGTCCTGCCTCACACAGAATCACTGGATAAGAACAGTTCAATGGCTCCTTGCACAGGTGGAATTGGACATCGGTCCTGCCTCACACAGAATCACCGGATAGAAACAGTTAGCTGGCTCCTCGCACAGGTGGTATTGGACATTGCAATGTGCCTAGTATGTTTATCCGGCATCGAATTGTACACAGTTGTATTACAAAGTTAATGACAGATTACGTTGCATATTTCTCAGTGTTATGTGAACCTTTGGCCACTGTAATAATTGTGTACCGCATGATCAGGCTCAATGAAATCGATACGGTGGAATAGATATGTCGTTTTTGTTATTGACTGATTTTGTGTTTCCTGTTGGTAGTGTTGTTGTCATAACTTTTTACTTCTGTATTTCCAGCAGCCTGCTAGATGGCTAACCAGCAAACAATAGACGGGGGCTTCGCCTGGCTTGTTCTGTTTGCCATCTTCTGCACCACGGTTCTGTGCGGGATGATGGTGTACTCGCCTGGTGTACTCAACACCGCTATTCTAGAGGAAGTAGACAATGACCTCTTTAAGACATCATGGGTTGGGTCGAGCATGCTCGCGATCATGGCCTTCACTGGCAAGTGCAGGTCCATCTTTTCCCAATAAATATAAAGAAAATGATTACTAAGACAAATGCAAACAATACCCATAACATTCTAAATCGCATCATGGCTTGTTAGCTTGATGTTGGATGTAAGACCGAAATGGAGCGCACAGGGTTTAGACGTTTAATGCATTCTTGAACCCTGCTATCCCGGGGGTGTGGTGCTGACAAACCTAGAAACATAATCAAGGTGAATATGAACCCACGATCAAAGGTTTCTGACTAGGGACGCAGATCTCTACAGCGAATTGCGACGCCTCGGGTTACTGGGTTACACATGCTAAAAAAGAAAAAGGCATAAGGAATTGTCAGAAACAAACATATTCACCTACAAACATTTGTCAGGAGGTATAAAAAGTGTTCTCACCTCACTGAAATTCCGCATACAAATGATCATTGTGTAATTACAAGAATTGGTCTTATATATATGCGGGTATGTATGTTGCATCATTAGGTCAAACATCAGATGTCTTATAGATATGTAATTATAGACAAATATTTCTCCATTAATGTTTATAGGTCCCGTGGCTGGCGTACTCACAAGGATTTTAGGGTACAGAGTGTCCTGTTTTGGTGGAGGGGTATTGATGCTGATTGGACTGACTGCAGCCTCTTTTGTTAATGACGTCACTGGACTCATCATTACGTACAGTGTTATTGCAGGTAATGTTATTTACCATTGGTTCGGTAACTATATTTCCACACACAGCTGTGTTACTATAAACACTCCTCAAACACTGCTGTGTCTGTTATGCTGGAACCAGTTGGCTAAGTATATTTTGTGTCCTCTGGTACTTGCGTTAATGGCTTTATTGCTTGTAACGTTAATGCGTTATTTTCGAAGAGATAGAATATTTTTTGTCGGTCATTACATTCAAAACATACATATTTTCTAAATCGTGGAGCTGAACATTTTTCAGGACATCCATTGATCTATTCTTTCGGTACAATCCGAGGCAATCTTTGTCCAGAAGTATCTTGCACAAGTATTTATTTTAGTGGGCTTCAAAGAAGTAGAAAAACCTCTTCTTTCGACACATTTCCCACATTGAACTGTCACGCCACGATAGAACAGAAATACATTTTAAATAATTAATATATATAAGCTTTTATTCCTCCAAAGGAGAGTACAATATGCAGGGGAAAATATTTTTAAAAATATTTAGGGGACTAGATACATGTTATTTTAAAGTTAAGGAGTTGATGCAAATGCTGAAAGGTGCACAGTCTTTGCATAGTTTATTGTATCTTCTTCTGGCAAAGCAAGTGGAGGTCTGCATGAGAGCAGAGAACACATAAGACAGACCAGAGCTATGATCTTTTGTTTTGTGTTGTTTTTAACAGGTTTCGGCACTGGTTTAGCATATAACGCCTCCTTTGTCGTCCCAGGGAGCTATTTCATAAAGAGACGAGGTCTAGCTTATGGTGTCACTGCGTCAGGGATTGCGGTCGGTATGTTTGCTACGGGTCCGCTGTGTCAAATTCTCCTGGACGAATACCGACTACGTGGTTGTCTGCTAATCATGGGCGCTATCCTGTCAAACGTATGTGTTGCTGCAAGTATTCTGAGGCCTATCTCAACCATGAGACCAAGTACGAAAAAAGAACATTGTGTTATTGCACTTAAAAGATTCAATGATTCCGTCGAGGACACACGCCTAGTTAGGGATACTGAATGTGCCGAAGAACTCTTTACCAATATAAAAAATGGCCCAACCAATGAATCTCCATTCAACACTGGGTCATCACTCAACTTTATTAGAAATCTCGACAGAGAGCTTGTGGTATGTAACAATGAAGACACAAGTGTCTGCCAAGACCACCATGAGTTCCATGGCTCAGATGTAGATTCAACAGATCCGGACACACGGTGCTGTAACTCTGATCAGGGCAAGCAACATTCGGCCTACTCATTATGTGACCCGGAAGAACCCGGGATGAACATAGGACGATCCAGTATAGGTGCAAATACACACAGCAGTGTATTCAGCTGTTTTGGAAGTAAAAAGAATGTCAACATTCACAACAAATATGGATTTATATTCTACTGCCTGAGTTTTTTCTTCTGGTTTCTAGGAGAAGGGACGTGCTTTTTCCATTTACCAAATTACGCCATAAATAGAGGAAGCACTCAGAACGAGGCTACTAGTCTCTTTACAGCGACGGGGATGACAAGTCTGGCATCAAGACTCCTGACTGGGTGTGCTGTCAGCGATCCTTCAGTTGATCATGTGACGCTCCACATGGGACTTATTGGAATAGCAGGAGTCCTCACACTGTGTTTCCCGCTATTCTCAAACTCTTTTCCTCTGCAGATGATCTTTAGCGCCGCCTATGGGATGTACAGTGGCGGTCCTAACACGCTTATAAGCCCGTTGACGATAGACCTTGTAGGCTTAGATCATCTGTCTGTTGCTGTTGGCATCGAAAACTTTTGTAGTGGCATTGCATTTTGCATAGGCCCTCCGCTTGCAAGTATGTTGTTTTCTTCTGTTGAATACAACCCGAATGATATTATATATGAAACAACTGTATTAAATCAGCTTTATTTAAGTATGGAACAAGGAACCGTTAATCACAAATTCTAACACGTTTGAAACATGTCCAAAGACACTATAACAAGTTAACGAAATTCGTATTCATGTTCAGGTGATTCCTGGTTAGACTTGGCCTCCAGCTACTGATGGATCTGGTGGTCAGTCTTTATGACCTGATTAATAGTGTGTCTTTGTACCACGACGGTTTAGATCGATGATTATAGCATCAATCACTGGTTTGTCTGGTCCACACACACCTTTAGCTTCAGGGTCAATTTCGTTCTATTTTGTTGTTCTTTACCTGGTACATTTCTGAGAGCGCGCTAAACGATAATCAAACAGTTCGTGTTTATGAGTATTCACTCTATAGATAGTTCATGTTAGAGCATTGTAACAAGTTCATATTTTTTGTGGCAGGTTTCATCTATTCAGAGACTGGGAGATATGAACTCACCTTTGTGTTTGCAGGTTAGTTGCATGTTAACATTGACAGTTCCTTATCATGCATACAATATACTTTATTTACGTGCATGCATAGGTCGTTGACAGTATTTTCAAATGCATGCGTAGAACAATGATAGTACATCAACATACATACATTGTTTGATAGGCCTTACTTAGAAGTTGACGGATGACAAAGTAGACACAATTTATGGATAACAGTGACGTGCATGTTCAGGACAATGACAACATAGTGACGTGCACGTTCAGGACAATGACAATATAGTGACGTGCATGTTCAGGACAATGACAATACAGTGACGTGCATGTTCAGGACAATGACAATATAGTGACATGTACGTTTAGGTCGTTGATAATATAGGGCCGTGCGCACTTAGGACAATGACAATACAGTGACGTGCATGTTCAGGACAATGACAATATAGTGACATGTACGTTTAGGTCGTTGATAATATAGGGCCGTGCGCGCTTAGGACAATGACAATACAGTGACGTGCATGTTCAGGACAATGACAATACAGAGAAGTGCATGTTCAGGACAATGACAATACAGTGACATGTACGTTTAGGTCGTTGATAATATAGTGCCGTGCGCGCTTAGGACAATGACAATACAGTGACGTGCAGGCTTAGAACAATGACAGTGTATTGTCTTGCACGTGTAAAGCATTGACAATATAGTGACATGCACGTGTAGGTGAGGTGAGGTGAAATGGGTTTAACGTGGCGTTCATGATTATTGCACTTATATGGCAACATGCATGCACGTGTGTGTGTGTGCATGTGTGTGACCGCTTGTACTAGTCAGGACTAATGCCGATTTTATAGTGCTAGCCAATCGAGTTACCATGCCGCAGTTAAACCTGAACACCCCTCTCAGACACAATATACTGACCCCGTGGCGAAAAGGCTTTGTTTTAGACCCTTAAAGGGGCACTGATCTAACGCAATTCCCCGGACTGGTTGTTGCCTTTGTTATTGTTTTTTTCCCCCGTGAGTACCCGGATGATACGCAACGCAACTGAGCGTGACGAGAGACCGGGCTACCGTCTACAAGGACAGCTAAATAAACTTGGAGGCTGGAGGCAATATTTGTTTTACGCATTTTTGCATAAACACTGATTGGTTAACTGTGATCTATACAGATTTCGACAAAGGGCGCATGTTAATTAATTTCTTCAGCCTAAACAAGCAGACAAAAAGAACGGCGGAGCTCATCGGATGTCGTCATTTGGAAATACCCCAGATGGTTATAGTTTTATACTAAAAAAAGTATCCAGTGAAAGCATTTTCGGATTTCGGCTTGCGTCGATAATACGATTACTACTCCCTTGTTGACATCCACGTTTTCTCGCATAACCCTTCACTTGTGTATTTGTCGTCATTCACTTGATGCTCAGTTAATGAATTTATTACAGGTACAGTTAGTGGTAGCACCACTTAGATTACCTGACAAAGGTTCCCATTTGGCATTTATTGTGTCTGGGGTAATTATTCAATCTAAATCCAGGTTTGAAGTGAGGTGAAATGTGTGTTATGTAACATGCACGTGGCAGCCCAGCAAGAGATGAATGATCAGTTGATTTATTTTTTTGTAAATCAACGGAACGTTCCTAGTCATCAAAGGATTAACAGAAAATACGTTGATTGATTAATCACTGTTATCTTGCACAGTGGATATGTCAAGAGTGAGTGTTTACATGTCTAGGTTTACTAAAACAAAGGGAATACACTCATACCATGGCGTGAAGTGCCGATGTAAAAACAACATACTTTGTTCAAAGGGTTAACTTATAATACGTTGATTGATTGATCATTGTTATCTATCACTCAATGGATTTTTTAGGAACCGTGAACGTTATGAAAATAGTTGTCACGTGGTCTTTCTCAGCCGACCATTGAGACTTGACACCTATGTAAAACACCTGAAACAATCCAAGTGATCAGTTGAGAAAGGAACACGGGTTATAATATCCCGAAACGACATATATCTTTTAAAATATTTGATTGTTACTGAGACACGTGACATCGAATAAGTTTCTTTGTACATCTGCAGACGAGTGGGATATTGTTCCTTTGTGTGGATATTCACGGATACATTCCTCGAACAAGGACGCTGCCTAAAATTTATACACATAAATTTGGTAGGTTGTAATTATGATATTTGCATTTTGTTTTCCTTCATTTGAACCGATTCGTCCTTGTTTCTCTACGTCTTGGTTGGGAAATTCTTCAATGCGCGATAGACGTTGTTTTCACAGATCTTTTCCTTTGTAAGCGTGTATGTATTACCGTCAATTTGTAAAATGTGATTCTCTCAGGCAATTTATAAAATGTGTAAATATTTCAGTCATTTTGACTAAAAGATCTGTCCAGATTGATTAAGACGATCAAAAGGGCCTACAAACATCACAACAGATTATTATGTAGGATTAGAAGCCAAACAACATAGAAATGTACTTTTCTCAATGTAACATTTTCAGTCTCTTGGTGATGACATTAAACATCAAAATGTTTGGAATTCGTTATCATAATAATACAGATGGAAATGTTTTTCAGTCACTTTGTTAAATAACAGAATATTTAGACGTTTAATAGATTTGTTACACATTTGACAGTAAAAAAAAATACACACCATAAAAAAAGCAATGCTCAGGTGAAATATGTACTTTGTGTTGCAAGTCAAAATAGTGTAAACGAAAATCGAAAAATTACCAAGCAAGTGACTTACCAAAACTTCGTCACCATTACCGATGCTACCCACAAAGATACCTACATTTCCTTATTATCTCAAAAACTGTATTTCATTTTGTTCATCAATGTGACCATACGCCCTTATTACTACCCATAAAAGCGACTAATGCGCTTACGAATGGCGCAGCAGAGGTCGCGAACTAGTCTAGATTTCTGCTATACATCCGGGTACTCACTGGGAAAAAACAATAACAAAGGCAACAACCAGTCCCGGGGAATTGCGTTAGATCAGTGCCCCTTTAATGCCAAGCGCCAGGCAGGGTAATAACAAGTACCATTTTTTACGTCTTTTGGTATGACGCGGCCGGGGATCGAACCCACGACCTTCCCCTCTCCATGCAGACATTCTACCACTTGAACACAAAGACGGTCCACATGTGTAGGACATTGACATTTTTTACATACACCTGTAGGATCTTGAAAGTTTTTTAACAAGCACCTTGTCCCAGCATTTCGATGTTTGTTTGTTTTTGATTGTGCATTGTTTTAGCCAGTCGGCAATATTCCAGCTGCACTAAGCGGCATATAAATGACCGATTTTAACGGAAAGAATTAACAGTCCCACTCCATCGGGGTGAAAAAACAGACAACAAGACACAGAGCCTGACCACCCAGTTCAGTTTAGTCACCTAGTAACTTAATTGCCGCATTTTACAAACTTAATTAATTCACGTGAATCTCGGATGTATAATGTTTTTGTTAATTTCAGGAATTGCCCTTCTGACATCAGCAACATTTGGTGCACTTGTGGGAATGTCGCGCAAAAGTTCACCAGTAAAAGGACCCAAACGCATTGCTCATATACAGTAAACTACGGTTATAAGGAACACGATTAAAACGAACTGACGGGTATTACGAAATTATGTTTTTGTCCCGATCATTTGCTGTACATATGCTGTATATGCTTATAACGAACTACGGTTATAACGAACTAAAATTAGTGGTCCCTTTAAGTTCTTTATATGTAATTTATCATTGTTATCCATTTCACAATTCCAGACAATAAGAACTGCGAAAATCCCCATGACCATTTGGTGCCTTCTACCATTGCTTTGTCCTGAATGTTCCCTGCGATCTCTGAAGAATATAAATATATTGCTGATCAACAGTTCATGCCATCATGGTAGTTTCTCTGAATGTTGACAGTCCATCATTCTGCTTTATGTTGTTTTTTATGTTTGTGAAAGTGTATTAAAACCTTTCTCATTTCAAGTTATCAGCAGCTGGGGTAATAAGGTCATTGTTATTACCTGACACGAACATGACAACTCGTAAATATGACTAGTTGCTCGGTAAAGGGAGGGAGGTCGGATTTCAAAACACAACTCAAGCACATTTTTGCAATTTTCACAACTGTAAACATGGCTGTTATACGCTTTCTTCTACAAACGGCAATAACACATTATGCAAATGCCTCTTGTTGCTTACACGAAGTTAAAGCGTGTCTTCCAGCAGGGGGCATTTAACAGTTCCGGTACAGAAGGAAGTGTGTACCACTTACTCATTTCGTGTTACAAGATCACACTGTACACAATTAAGACCATACTAGTGAGGATCCGGGTTCGAATTGATCTTCAGCAACCCAAGCTTGTCGTAAAAGGTGATTAACGGGATCGGGTGGTCAGGCTCGCTGACTTGGTTGATGCATGTCATCGATCCCAATTGCGTGGATCGATGCTCATGATATCAATCACTGGATTGTCTGGTCCAGACTCGATTATTTACAGACCGCCGTCATATAGCTGGAATATTGCTGAGTGCGGCGTTAAACAACAAACCAACCAATCATCGGCTTTGTCACATAGAATAGTGAATATTGGTTTTACACCGCAATAGTCGTGCAACAGGGGTGGATAAAAAGTTGGGAACCTAATTATGAAAGATGTGTAGTGCAGTAACAGTTTGCACGTATTAAGTAGAATACGTTCCTTGCTTACAGCGTGTATCTGAACCAAATATACAAGCATGCAGCATATTCCTGCAAGCATAAAAGTTGCTAGGTATTCTCTATTGATGAAAATCGACGAAATGAACTCCCGCGCTGTTATGAAATATCTCCAGCTAAATGGGCTGACCCTACAAACTATCTGTCGGTTTTTCTGGGATTCTTAAGAAATCTTACTGATGGACTGCCTTCCCACCATTCATGGCCTATATTATGTTAAGCTGCTTTGGCAACTGCGTGAGAATATCAAGGCTGAACTAACTAAATTTGCGTTGTTCAACCAGGACAATGCACATGCGCACACGTCCGTTGTCGTCATGGCTGTAAGCATGACAATATGGTTTTGACCACCATTATTCACTGTCAGATTTCTACCTCTTCCCAAACTTGAAATATGAATTGCGCGGCAAACTTAATTCAAATGACATTATTTCTGCTGTTGACCAATCTACGCTTCGACAGGTTTATTTTCTTAATGGTTGGTTCAATACTAACCACGAATCCAGTCGCAGTGCCGTTACACTCGGCTCGAGTCAGTCCGATAGCGCCTCGGCCAGCACTGGCAGGAATCCATGTTGGACCAAGTATCGTGCACGTGACTTTATAAACCCACATGAACGGCAGTCGTAAACCATTTGTAACTGTTCAAATTGTTTCCGTTTGCTTGTGTCTTCAACTTAGAGTCTATCCCGACTCAGGACGATAATCATACTGTGTTTTCAATGTGGAGCTAGGTTACATTCAGATTTAAATTGAAATTGGAAAACGAACGCGCAGCGTGAGGTTTCAAATATTAAATTCAGCGCGGTTAAATCTAGAGGTAGCTTAGCTCTACATTTGGAACACATTATGTCGCACCACCATGACTAAATAAAACGCGAAGTCTTTGGTGTTAGAAACTATATTGAGGAAAGCGGCATGGGTTTTGTCCAGTGTTTTGGGAGGGTTGTTGAGCAGAATTGACGGAAATCACCGACAATAGCCTTAAACAAAATATTTGCTCAAGCAAGCTCTACGTGTTAAAGTATTACATTTGCACCGTGATACTTCAGTAGAACCTATGACAGACACTTAAGACATCGCAAGCTAACATGAGCTCTATATGTTAAAGTATTACATTTGCACCGTGATACTTCAGTAGAACCTATGACAGACACTTAAGACATCGCAAGCTAACATGAGCTATATATGTTAAGTATTACATTTGCACCGTGATACTTCAGTAGAACCTATGACAGACACTTAAGACATCGCAAGCTAACATGAGCTCTATATGTTAAAGTATTACATTTGCACCGTGATACTTCAGTAGAACCTATGACAGACACTTAAGACATCGCAAGCTAACATGAGCTCTATATGTTAAAGTATTACATTTGCACCGTGATACTTCAGTAGAACCTATGACAGACACTTTAAACATCGCAAGCTAACATGAGCTCTATATGTTAAAGTATTACATTTGCACCGTGATACTTCAGTAGAACCTATGACAGATACTTAAAACATCGTAAGCTAACATGAGGTGGACAACCCTAAAGAAAACTAAGCAAGCCTTGCACAAGGCTTCGTTCTACGCCGCTCATCACTATTATGATGCCATATTGTTCATTGTGACGCAAAAGATATGACGTCACTGTCGTATATAGAAAAGCGCCAAATAGCAAAGCTCTCTCTTATCCTCCAAATTTAATATACACTTTATTTATAGATTTCTATTGTGTTTTCTGCACGAAATGTATTGCTACACATCCTTTGAATAGTGTAGTAACCGCAACTTTGCATTTTGTAGCCTATAATGTACATATAATTATAAATATACGTGCCTAACGACAATGACTGTAGAAGAAGTACTATTCTATAAATATTAGCTTACGCGGTGATGCGTCAGTCAAATCCACTGTTTCAATCAGATATGGTTCAATGTGATTGGAAACATCAGACTGACCAATCAAAATCCAAGATTTTTCTAACTCATGGTAGAATTCCTGTTAAACACATGGTGGAATTTCTGTTACGCAGTTTACAGTGAATTCATGCAATACCCCAATTCAATTGTTGCTCGAGTCGTAGAATGTGGTTCGTGGCAGAAGCCGATTGGAGCCGATGGTACCCGAGTAAATACGGTTCCAGTCTGCAGGTTACAGGTGATTAATGAGTCTATGCCTATTCTGAAAAATCCATCACTGATTCTGTTGGAACATCTGTCACTGTCACTTCTCCATTCACCGCACATAATAAATATATATCAGATGTCACGATGACTTTCACTCATCTCCACATCAATCCTAACCTGACACAATCCGTCCAAAAAGGCAGAAAGTAATACAACTAACATCAAAGTGCCCCTGAAATGTAAATGACAGGTTTATCTGATCAATGGAACATGTGTGTTCACAGGTTTAGAATGAAGTTAAAAGAAGAGCGTCCTGGGGTACCTTATTCGCAAATGTTTGGCTTTTTAATTGACACGTTTATATGTATTCCATATTTTACACGAGTAATGGAAAAGTGCAAATATAAAACGACCACGTGAAAAGGTCAGCCTATTCTACCCAACCGGTAGAACGCGTCCCAACACATGGAAAGGAAAGTCAATTATTTACCTGTGATAACAACAACACTGGAACATCTAGACCTGGTACAAGTCAAGATAGGTAAATGCACGGATCATCATCTCTGTCACTGATGCGCCAAATGTGAGAATGTCCGTAACTTGTCTTCCATAAAACCTTTTGAATGCCTTAAGACTATGAATGTTGTAACCTTGATCAAACAACGTTTGAGCAAGAGTCGTATTATGTTCTTTGAAATCGTCGCAGGAAGAGCATGGTGGATTGTACCGCAAAGGTTGTGCACGTTGAGCAAAGTCCTACACCGGCGTGGTATAATGACACGCAGCCAGCCAACAGCCCGGATCGTCACTAATGCTAGCTGCCACTGCTGTTCCTGTCTCAGACTCTATCATTTACAGGTCCCAATATAGTTGGAATATTACTGCATTAATTTGAAAACCGTTGGGTAATGATAGAACGAGGTTACACCAAGATCACATCGTGTGAATTTTTTTTGTCCGTTCACAGGTGTGTGAACTCCAAATATCGGATCACGTGACTACCCATTCAGCCAATCAGCATGAAAGAAACAGTGTAAACTTCAAAGTATGAAATTATATAGGTTTATTCTCATAGAACAATGTCTCACGCAGATATTTGATTGTCACGACAAACACGTGTGATAGACAAAATGGCCACTTCTTCACAGAGAGTACCTCGCGTCCATTTATACAATTCCCATCATAAATGCGACACAGACATTTGACAATTCACGCCTGACGACGTGCAAAGAAAACAAATGGCCGCTCTTCACAGAGAGCACGTCACACCCATTTATACAGTTCATATCATAAATACGACACAAACGGGTAATATAATTTCTTTCACCGGTGGCGGCGTATATAGGCACACACAACGATATACAGAGATTTATACACGAGTGTCTGTCAGAAACAATTTATCTTAAAACGAGTTGTTTCAAAACGTATCTAAGGAGGGGAAGCAAGTCAGACACGTTTTGAAAAAAACAACGGACTGTAAGATAAATGGAATCTGACAGGAACGGGTGCAGTAATCTCTTTCTTACACACCCTAGAATCGCACCTTTTTAGCATTGAGCCTATGCATTTTGTCTATTTTCATGATTGCAGTGGCGCATTAATATATATTTACAGTTTGGATGACGTCATCCGACGTACTGCTTACTACTCGATTTCTGGTGAATTTACCTGATCACTGTCCTGATGTGTTGTTGTTTTTAGATTTCACATTTTGTGTTACGATACTCTTCCCATGAATATTCACAAACATGTTAGCCAATGTGTGCACCAATTAGAAGAATTGATCTCTCAAAATAGGCAGAAATGCTACATGTACATAGTATAAAATCTGAAGGATGCTTTGTTCACATTTCAACACAGTTTTCCTGGCACAGTGTACAATATGCTGATGTAAGGGTAGAATAATTATATACAACGAAATTGTGTGCCGCTATGGACTGCCAGAGCGACTACACTATAACCATGGCCGGAACTGTGAAGCTCAACTACTCCAAGATTTGTGCAGGAAGCTTGGAATTAAAAGAACAAGAACCTCTCCATACAACCAACAGTGCAATGGACAGGTTGAAAGAATGAACAGAACTTAAGCTGAAAGACTAGCTCTTCTAATAGAAGCTCATGTCCAAAAGGATTGGGATGAGAAGTTACCGCCAGCATTGTCAGCTACTCGCACATCAACAAATAAGGCTATAAGATTGTGTTTGGCCCATATCCTCGAGACAAAACAGACACTGATATAAGTAATGTAAGTGGAAATCGGAAACCGGTGACTGATTCATCGGCTAAACTGAGTGAATTAGTGGATTGGCAGAAGACTGTGAGAGAGAAGATTTTAAAAGAGCAAGAGCAGGGGTGTGAAAAGAAACAACAAACTAAGTTCACTCCATTCAAGGAAGGCGAAAAAGTGTGGCTATGTCATCTTCAGCAAGGTGCGCGGAACATCTCGGAAACTCATCTCAGAAAGATGGGAAGGGCCTTACCGTGGTGATAGCCAAATCGGTGAAAATACTTACCGTATTCACACCGGTGAAGGAAATGGACGCTCACGCGTCATCAATCACCGAAAGCTGAAAAGACATTTGGAGGGACTGGACCACTTGACTATAAGTAGTAGTGGTAGTGATAATGTTAGAGGCTGTGTTGTGAATGTGGACACTTAATGTCAATCTTCAGATTCACCTGACATTGACAACTCGACAGGCAACATCAACATTCCAAGAGGTGCAAGTGACATTGTGTTGGGACTTCATGATGTGTTCCAAGCAAGTGTTGTGAAACAAAATTCAACAGACAATTGCCAGAGACATTCCAATCGGATTCGCCAGCCCCCAAAGTGGCAGAGTGACTATCATGTTTACATTGACTGTATTTCAAGTGAAAATGCCTTTATTGTCATGTTTGACAATGTATAAATGCACTTAATTGTAAATAGTGTTGTATTTGTACTTTTCACATTCACCAGTTTAATGCTTACCTGTAAATAGTACTTTATTATCCTCTGTTTGATCAATGTTTAATTTCTTAGTATGTATGATTGTATCTGAGAAGTAGAAATGATCTAAGGGAGTATTTCTATAAATAGAACGCAATGTTAACCTAGTTTGGAAAGGTTGTGTGAGTGTTGTGATGACGTCATCATAGTTATACAGTTGTGTTGTCAGTTATTGTTTTGATCTGAACAAGAAAACATCGTTTGAGTTTACCGGCGACTTTTAGTCTTCTTTCATTACATATGTATTTGGGTGGCTGGACTCAAGAATATCCCTCATCTGAATTCTTAGTCCTCGACAATACATTAAATTTGGTACCAAACTGTTTCCATTAATACATTGTAACAAATGACAAGTTTTGTCGTTTAGATTTCTGAATTACGAGTCTAGGTTTCATGTGTGAGTCAGTAACCCTACGGCCATGATTGTCTTCGCTCTGGATGTCTTGCATGGCCTGGAGACATCGTAAAGATTCCCTACACAAATAACTTCAAAGATCTAGCTCAGAAGTGAGAACTCGCACTATTATATTTCGCACATGCAAAATTGAATTTTAGGAAGACACAATAAGGCAATAATATCCTGGCTTTGATCCAACCTTCCATGGATGCACTTATCAATAGTCACATAAGATATATCCTGGGGTGAGTCCATGGACGTACACACAAGTTAGTAAATCCCAATGAGATATCTTACACTGTGTTCATATTGTAGGTTCCCGTGAGGCGGTTTCTGTATTGGTGCAGGGTCTGACTGATGCTGACTTAGGTCGGACCTCTGTGGGATATGTAGACATGTATACTCCTTTGGTCTTGTGACGGAACGAAATCTTGAATGTGAAGTCTGAGCGGTGTTGCTAAGATATTCGATCTGGAGAGTCTTGGGACCGGAGAACTCGTTCTACATCGGCGAGGTTCTTGTTGTTGCTTGAGTCTTGATACATGCCGTTTCTTCCTCCTTGGTAATTGGCCTTCAGAATGGTAGTATATCTTTTAACAAGAGACTGTCACTTCCAACAGTATTGTTTACCATACGCCTTGCTGCGAAGAGGGACAGGAAGGGACAGACTAAGAAGTCTGTCATTCCCGATAGCTCCACCAAATTAACAACGCGCTGGACCAAGGATTATAGAGCGATGGTAACATGTCATGGATTAAGTCATAAATACAAACAACAGTAATTAATCAGTTACATAGCTGTTAGCAGTTAGCATCTTATAAATAACTGCAAATAAATGATTCAATGCATATACATGCCATGGCTACAGGGTAATTAGCCTTTGGAATTAAATGTTCATTTTTAGACAATAGTTGTCCAACATCGGATGCTATGACAATAAGAATTAAAAGTCGCAGCTTGAATATTACAATGGTCACATGATGTTGCAGGTATATACTTCTAAATATCTCTGATGAATAATGAATGTTGTCATGGACACATATACTGTGTATAACATGTTACATCTGTCAATGAAAAGCTCAGTCAGCACATAAGTTTAAATTAATGATTTCATCAAGGAGATGACAAATTCAAAATGATTGCACTTGTCAACTGAATATTTGTGAGGTGAGTACCCCACCATTGTCAATGTATTCATAACAGCCTCAAGAAGGGTTATATTGTGTAAATTAGCACGAGTTTATCTTGAATGGCATGAAGAAGATCCACCATCAATCACATTTTATAATTGAGCCTGTAATGTACCGCATCACCCCCGTGCGTTACCCAAACTCGGGAAAGCCATGCGTGAAATCGGCATCACTGAGGTGAGGTTAAGCAGCGTGGCAAAACACGCGTCATCGGGCATGTCGACATGTGAACACGACGGTGAGGGAATTGCCGAGCGGCCAATGCCCATGGGCTATTCACACAATCAACGTTAAGATTTCATCATAAACCTGTAGTGACGTCATCGTATTGTTCTTACGGGACCTTCTTTTCGAAGAAAAATCTCTCAGCTGGGACATTCTCCGGAATATTCCTCTGTCCAACGGTGGGGCATTTGTGGCCCAGGCATCTTATCCGCTACAATTCGCTGTGCAGAGATGCGCCCTTTGTGCAAACCAGAAACCTATGATCGAATGCAGAAATACTGCTAAAAGCATGTACGCAGTAATTTATACCCCTTGAAGTGCATCAAATCACTTGTGCACCTTGATTAAAAACATGAAAACATTTGCACAATATCTGTCGACGCCCAGTTGGCGGTACACATGCTTTGCAAATCCTGCAGTCGACTGAAATTTGCAGTTGAAATCCATGTTGTTTATGAACCGGATGTGTAGTTCGTGACGCGATTTAGATTGGACTCGTTAATCCAGCCAAAATGCAAGTCAGGAATTCCAGCCTAGTTCGATAAGTTTTGAAACTGGACTTTTATAGTCAATTAACTCCCTTGTCTCGGGAAGCTGGCGTAGAAGGCAAAACAGCGGTGACAATTATATGAATGGATCGCTGAAAATCAGTGATAACACCAGGTGTTCGCATGGTAAGCATGTTTTGCTTTACTTATAGTGAGTGAGTGAGTTGGGTTTAACGCCGCTTCTAACAGTATTGCAGTTATATCGTGGCGTGTCAGCTTAATGTGGGAGGAAAGCCCGAAGTAATGCAGGTCTCAGACGTTTACCACTTCGGTGAAACCCACGAGCACGGGTATGGTGCTGACAAACCTAGAAACATAATTGGGGCGAATCGGGATTCGAACCCACAATCATAGGTTTCTGGCGCGTCCGAAGGGACGCAACTCTGCACAGCGAATCGCGGCGCCTTAGACGACTGGGCCACCCGTGCCCCCCATTTACTTATAGCTCCCACCAATAACATAAGTTGCGTAAAAGGGTTAGTGTTTGTTGGTTGTCTCACGCCGAACAGCAATACTACTGCCATACGACGTGGCCTGTGAACAATCGAGACACTACCAGACAATGGAGTGACGGACAGGTTTATGCAGTGACAGGAAAGCGCATTAACCGAACGAAAACAATATGTTAAGTCTGATTTAAGTCTACTGTGTACAAAGGTAGATAAAAGAACGTCGATGGTATGCGTTGTTTTGATGTTTACGCAATCTGGAGATACGTGACGTAATTGTTAAAACACGACTGGTTGTACTAGTAAAACATGTGTCGCAGCTTAAATATTTCTAGATCAAATGTATCACGAATGTCAGAAGTGCACTATCCAATCTGTTTCGGCGGATATCGAGACGGGTTATTCTCTAGCATTGACTCATTATGTTCACATGTATCGATATATTCAGACAGACAGATTTATTTATATAAAGGCCAAATGACCCATTGTACAAAATACATTTCATGATATACATTTATTTATCAAAGAGTGACCCAATTCTTTTGTTGAGAACACGTACATTAAGCATTTTGCAAAATGTATTATTGTTGGATAATTGAGTTTATCAAAAATAAAATAACTGTCTTAGAGTTAAACATATCCCGCCGACTTGCATAAAGAGGACACTTGTATACAACATGGCGTTCATCCTCAATGATATGACAGTGTCTACAAAAGACATCATCAATATTAGCAACACCCCTACGGACAAGTTGAATACCAAGAGTATTTTGTGAGGACGCTTTATAACTAATGCACGGCGTCATGGTAGCGATCAAAGTATCTAACCTAGCCAGTGTTATCCATTGCAGCAGATCAATCAGATCCTTTCTCTCTAATGACTAGTGTTTAGAAGCGGCTGATATTTATTGCCTATGTCAATCTGCCTGTCACCTAGCATAAGACGTCAGTCAATCTATCATTACATAAATAAGACGCCTCTTTCACTTCTCCCGTTATCGCGTCCTAGTTTCCTGGATGTTGAACGTTCAGGGGTATAAGTCACTGTTGGTTCGAACTGTGGGCCTTTTTGAAGAGAGTAGCAAGGTCTCTGAAGATCTGTGGCGTTTAGGTAAGCACGTTCTATTGTCTTACTGTTATACCTTATTTGTTGATTAACACATTTACTTTGAAACAACCTCAAATACCGATGATTAAGACAAGCAAGAAACGAATGTCGATCATCTTTGCTTGTCGGGTATTTTCATATTCATTTTAATGTTTGGATCCTTGGTCCATGTTGTTATTACCAGCCGTATTATGTACGTCATCGTATACTGACGTTTCATCTCCATCCTCCCTTACGCGAACTAGACCCGTGAAGATTCCGGGGTAGAATAGGTCTTCAGCAACCCATGCTTGTCGTAAAAGGCGACTAACGGGATCGGGTGGTCAGGCTCGCTGGCTTGGTTGATGCATGTCATCGATCCCAATTGCGTGGATCGATGCTCATGATATCAATCACTGGATTGTCTGGTCCAGACTCGATTATTTACAGACCGCCGTCATATAGCTGGAACATTGCTGAGTGCGGCGTTAAACAACAAACCAACCAACCAACCTTACGCGAACTAGTCAGACGTATGTGTGTAAACCAAATCGTTTCAGGAACGTCTCTACGTGAAGGTTACAGAAAGAGTCAAGTTGTCACGAATGATTGAAATAGATTCTCTGGTATTATTTATATTCAGTACGATTGTCTGTCCGTGGGATCACGGTAGTGTAAAAAAGATTTGAAGAAAAATAAAGAAGTTGTTATCCATAAATTGTGTCTACTTTGTATGATGGTAAAGGTCGTTATTTGTGCAACACGACGGTAACTTTAACTTGCTTACTGACAATGTTAAAGAATGATGCTCACAAATATTTGCCGTTAAGACCCTTTCGTTGGTAAGACCTAGCTATCTTAACCAGTCAAGTAACGCAATTATAATATTCATTTCAGTTGTATCAATATAACTTGATAAAAACCCACATGGTTTAACATTGTAATAACCATTATAGTCTGGGTACCAATATTACCATACAGAGAAAGTGTAGACACATTTAGTTCAAGTACGCCTTCACGTCTCGCTCACACAAAGTAAATGACAAGGAATGATTAATGTGAAAGGCTTATTATACGTGACTACCAAACTAGGACAGCCGACAGGTCCGTATTACCCTAACAATTACATCATCTATCGATGTTAAGCATTAAAGCTTAAAAACTAACCCTGTATTAAAATATACTATACTATAAATGATGATTGTTGTGATTACTGCTGACAGTAAAACGTAACTGCAGACAATGGACATATGTTTGACAGTCGTTTAGCTGGACGGTCGTCGTGTAACCCATGTTTCTTATCATAGCTGTCAATATTTATATATAAGGTGGATTCTTTGTCTATCTGTGACAGAGCCTACGGTCAGGTATAGCAGATCAGTCTTCTTTTGGACGGAGGATAATTATATGACACATCAGGTATAGCTGTAAATAAAATGAACCTAACTGTGTAGCTCTGTAACATAGGCATGGGCTTAAGACCGTTGTCTGTGCCACGATACCCAGATGATATTCCATGTCTCACAACGCCACTCGTGAACATATCTCCTTTCCCTCAACGCCTGATGAGAGGAACATGATATTTCCCTCGACACATTGACTGTCCTATTTCATTACATACTTTGCATTTTAGTTGTTTTCCGGAAAATTTAATTATTTGATTACAATGTAAAACATTGAAACGTGAATTCTCCGTCCTTGACACAGGACGTTTCACCACCCTTGCGACAAAAAAACATAGTTCTGTGTTTGCAAAACCTTAACATAATATCAACAAAAGGAACAAAAAATATTAGAGGTAAAACAACTTCTTTATCATACATTTGGATATGATAATACACAAAATCAACTTCAACAAAACAAATTTTTGAAATCTGTGGGACTGTTGTTGTAGGGGAAAGAATACGCTGGTCAAGTAACAATACAGACTCCATTGACTTGTGAAATGGCCAATATGTAGTTTAAAGCGAAACATTTTCTAGATCATAACAACTGCAAGAAGCGATATGAATAGCATAATTGACAATCTGTCATTATTTCGCCTTGTCAGTGTTAAAGGGAAGTCAACATTTCGTGTACGGGCTGGACATTTGGGATAAAAGGGGAGGTCAATTGCGGGGAGGTAACTCTTGTAAGACAATGTATCCGTCAAGGTGTTGCAGTGGAATGTCAAGTGTTGTGTTCACTGCAATGAACAGTTCACTTTTCTCGACGTCAGAAAACCCGGTCTTTCACACTGAAGTATATAATAAATACATGCATATAGTGTCCAGATAGACTTATGCTAACTGTGCTCGTACGAGGAGGATAACTGTTGATACTACAATTACCGGCTGCTGATACTACGGCTACTGCTGTGATGTTTTTGACCCAGAATGTGCAGACGGAAACACAACAAAGCGTATATGTAAACAGTAGCCGTGCGTAACGTTCATCAACTAAGGTTGTTTGCCGAGTGATGAAAGCGTTGAGCACCACGGCGAAAACCTGTGTTTGATTATCCGCTTTGGTTTAATGTTTAAAGCATAGTTGGGGGCTCTGGGGTTCCAGTCGTCTGAGGTCACATGTGTTTGATTGTTATTTAACTCAGCATTGTTCTTTCTATATGACGGCACTCTATAAAGTTTTGTTTGTTTTCATGTTGTATTACGCCGCACTCAGCAATATTCCAGCTATATGACGGCGGTCTGTGAATAATCGAGTCTTGACCAGACAATCCAGTGATTGATGTCATGAACATTGATACACGCAATTGGGATACGATGACATGCATCAACCAAGGCAGCGAACCTGACCACCCGATCCCGTTAGTCGCCTCTTACGACAACCATAGTCGCCTTTTACGGCAAGCATGGATTGCTGAAGACCTATTCTAGCCCGGATGTTCACAGGGACATGAAATCTTGACCAGACAAGTCAGTGATTGACACCATGGATCTTCACAAATGGGATACACTGACATGCATCAACCAAGTCAACGAGTCTGACCACCAGTTCCTGTTAGTCGCCTCTTACGATAAGCACAGGTCGCTGAAGACCTATTCTAACAAGGATCTTCACGGGATTTTTTCGCTGAAACACCAGCTTCCTCTTTAAGTCGTTCAGAGTTTACTATCAGTTGTAATTATCTCACTGGATAAACGTATGAACACAAGCACTTAGAGACATCATACACGGAAACAAAGGACACGAAGGATTACATAGGTAAACTGGAGGTGACCATCCCCTTCAAGTAATCCTCAAGGTGCCAGTGTGATCGTGTTGGAATTGCCTTAGGGTAAAGGACGTTTCACCCCCCCCCCCCCCCCCCACCCCCCCCCCCCACCCCCCACCCCCCCCCACCCCCCACACACACACCAGCATATTCTATAAATGTCTCAAATAATGTATTCATGGATAAGAAGTAATATTACATTTCGATCATTGTCGTGACAGTTATTACTTTGTCTGCCCCAGGTGCGCCGGTATGGTTTTTACACGATGTTCTCATTTGGTGCTCCAGCTGTGTTGCCTGGGAGCCTTGGTGTCTGCGATGGTGAGAAAGATCAGCATTTTAATCTTTTGTGTACATTATCTAAACGCAATGATGCTTAAACGATAATAGCCTGTATGATCAATATCACTATCTTAAGCGTGGGGGGGTTGCCCAGTCGTCTAAAGCGCCGCGATTCGCTGTGCAGATTTGCGTCCCTTGGGCACGCCAGCAAATTATGATTGTGGGTTCGACTCCCGGTTCGCCCTGATTATGTTTCTAGGTTTGTCAGCACCACACCCGTGCTCGTGGGTTTCACCGAAGTGGTAAACGTCTGAGACCTGCATCACTTCGGGCCTTCCTCCCTCATTAAGCTGACACACCACGATATAACTGGAATACTATTAAAAGCGACGTTAAATCCAACTCACACACTTCTGAAGATTAAATGGACGGTCCCTTACAACATTGTTTGATATATCGCATCACATGAACATGTACATCAAAAGAAGTAAGAGAAATGTAGTGGTCACTTTATTAAATGAAAGATCTCTGTATTTCTGTATTGTACATGCGAAAGTTCATGCGAAGTAGCCACATGGTCTTATTTATTTTAATCTCCATACATCGTGAGGAGCGGGCGAGTAGCCTAGTGGTTAAAGCGTTCGCTCGCCACGCCAAAGACCCGGGTTCGATATCCAACATGTGAAGCCTATTTCTGGTGTCCCCTGTCGTAATATTGCTGGAATATTGCTAAAAACGGCGTAAAACCATACTCACACACTCACTCATCCACACATTCTGACTGGCGATCTATAACCCGTTTTTATATTGTGTTGTTGAATTGTACCATTGTTCTTTTATATACTCTCAAACTAGTTTTAACTAAAATCTGTGATACTCTAGTTATTGTACTGTCCTTTGTCGACAGGTTTTATAGTTAAGTTTTGTGTTTCATGACTATATAACTTGATTTAGTCACGATATGGCTGAAATATTGCCGATGTGACTATAAACCATAACTCACTCACTCACTCACCCATACATTCTGATCGTCTACAACTTTGCGTAAATTTGTAAGACTACATCCAATATCTCCACCTAATGATTTCTTCCTTATGCAACTCTCAATACCAAGTTCCATTTTCAGTTACAAAACCACGATACACTGACAGTTCCAACTTCAATCGGCACACTTGAAATATCTCCGCAAGGTGTGAAATTCGACAAAGCAAACAGTTCAATCTCAGTTGTCATTCCGGCTTCCACACCCCGAGAACCCGCCTACTACGTCCAAAGAGATGGTAACGTGATGATGACGCCCGGGTCAGAAGGTATCAGCCTCTCTGCCCCTATACCGGGAGGCCAGGCCCAAGACAGGATCATCGAGACCAATGCACTCTTGCAGAACATGCCCGCGGGTGTACGTCTAGGGGAGATAAGTCCAGGCATGACGGACGCCGAGTATCAGAATGTTTACCCCCACAACCCTGTAGTTTCAGAGTCTCCCAAGGTATTCAACAGTCCCAGGCCAGAATTGTCGGTGGACCAGATCATCAAGAGCAACAGCAGAAGTACGTGGTACAGCGATGGAGGCGTTTTTTTAATTGTATTTCTTTTTTTTGCAGATCAAAAGTACTTAAAACACAGAAATGTTAATAATAAAGAAAATTTTATTTAAAACTGTTTTATTGACATCGAGCTTGGGAATATTGTAATGAATAAACAATCACCAGTCGTTTCCCTTTCTGAAAGAGGCACATGATGAAATATTTTATTAAATACCATTCATAGGTTCACAGTTGCTTCGTACCGTGTGGGACCGTGAAGATCCGGCTTAGAATATGTCTTCCGCAACACATGCTAGCCGCAAAAGCGACTATGCTTGTCGTAAGAGGCGTCATGTTGCTGGAATAACGTATATGAGTGGAGCGTTAAACAAAAAAAACACCAAAACTATCGTACTGTGTGTGTTCTTTTTGACATAGACGCCCTATTATCACATATTTACCAAATAGAGAATTGCCTACCGACGCTTTATTCTTGCATGTACAATAGAATAATTGATAAGTATGGGAGGGACCCCACAACGGATATTGGGGCTCATCGTATAGTTACCGTAAACAGATGAATTGTATTGACTTATTAAAGCACACAGAGATTTCAAGCAAACTGCAATCCTGTTCAAAATAATGAAATAGTACTGACTCAAAACATGATGTGTGCATATTAAATGCATTTTTTTACTTTAAACTCCTACTGTATTGAGTTTTGGTTGCTATGGTAACTGTACACTGTCTCCTCCTCAGCTCCACACCAGCTACACTACGCCTCCGACTCCGGTGACATCCTAATGGAACTTGATATGAGAATGACGTATGCCCAATACATGCACTACTACGAGAACCGAAGGTAAGGGTTTCCATAGCGGTGTGTGTGCACATCCTGATTGTATGTGAACGAAGGGCCCTTGATTCTTAGGACATCCAATGAGATATTCTTTGAGGCTGGGAATATTTTGAAAAAAAAAAATAATTCTAGAAGACCTGCCGTTTCGTTATGCACAGCTGTCATAATTAAGATGATAATGTTAAATGTGTTTGCCCTGTGGAAAACGTCATGTGGAAGACGTACTTACACAGAGAGAGAAAAACATATAAGTACAAGCGTGGGTCCTTTTGTCGAGTACAGCTTACACCTAACACTAGATGCACGGGTCCTTAGGGTGTGTGGTCGAGTAAATATATATACAAATTGCCAAAACTATTTTTAAAACATCCATTTAAAAATATTGTCAGTGGGTAAAAAGGCACCAGTTTTACAATACATATACAGAAACTGGCCCCGGAACCACTCCGCAATCTTAACAGGTATTTCACACGTGTTTTCTTTTTGATTATTTCTTTACGGGCCTGGAAGACGGGCGACTCCAGTAAGTTTGTTTTTAATTTACTATATTAACAACATAGGTGCTTATAAAAAAAATCGTTTTATTTACTTCTGATCCGAAACCAAGTTAGTTAGAAAGAAATATCTTATATATCTGCCCCTGTCTGCAGGATAGTTCCCCGTGAAAACAATGGACGTGGTAGACGAGTGAAGAGGAAAGCCCTGAGATCACACTTCACCTACTGGCCGAACGGAGTGATCCCTTTCACCGTCGATGGTTCATTCAGTAAGTACTTCTCTTAAACTGCTGGACCGCCTCCGTGGTCTTGTGGTAGAGCGTCCGCCCGGAGAGCGGAAGGTCCGGGGTTCGATCCCCGGCCGCGTCATACCAAAAGACGTTAAAAGATGGTACTTGTTGTTACCCTGACCCATGCACGTCGCTATATAAGTGCAATAATCTTGGACGCGACGTTAAACTCAATTTCACCTCACCTCACCTTAAACTGCTGCCAAGAAAGACAGAATCGCGGCTACCATAATATCTTTCAACGTTAGCATTTACTGATATGCATTAATATGCATCGAAAAATCCTGAAAATTAATTTTTGCAATGTCTACATTTTTTAAGAGTATATATATATTTACATATTTCTACATAATAATGCCGGTTTTGTAGTGATAACCCACTGATTGCACTTAGTAACGTCATTGAACGGGGAAAAGACCTAAGCGTTTTAGTGCTCACACCACAGATGAAGTATCAAATAATAGTAAAGACATAGATACTCATAGATTATCATATAGATTAGATAGATCGTCATACGAAAATCGAGAGAAAAATCTACATCACTAATTGTAAATCTAAAATTAATTAGACTTATCCAATATCCATTGCAGAATGTTGGAAATACGAACCTGTCGTGTTACAATAATATTCATTTATATTGCATTTGCTGTGAAGAATTACTATGTGTATTTGATAATATCTACCTACATAATTAGTAATTTTGTACAGTCGCAGAATGTTACCTGTTTAATTAGAGACACGGAAAATCCTATTTCAGCAAACAATCATTTATAGCGCTCTTATCAGCTTCAATGAAAGGAAAATCAAATTGAACTGAATTCTACCGCACAGCGTATTCATGAGCAGATAACGCAAATGCAAAAAGGAATTGCTGTCATTATTTAGAGTGAGTGAGTGCGTTTGATGTTACACCGCTTTTAGCAATATTCCAGCAATATCACGGCGGGGGACACCAGAAATGGGCTTCACACATTGTACCCATGTCGGGAATCGAACCCGGGTCTTCGGCGTGACGAGTGAATGCTTTAACCACTAGGCTACCCGACCGCCCATTATTTAGAAGTCATGTTGATGTTTTCAGTAGTTGTATTCTGTTTGTATCGCGTGTACAATCGACAGAAACAGAAGTATTGCATTTAAAACCGACTTCGACACAATTTGATTACAATATGGCGTCAACTCGTAGCACTTTTGAAATCTCCCCTTGCGACAAAATGTGGAACGGTTAGGGTATTTCATTCACAGCCAGGTAATTTGATCAATCACATGTGACTCTTAGTCATTTCATAGGAAAGAAGCAGCAGTTATTTGTCTAAACGGACGAGCATGTAGGACAACTGGTAGATAAGAAATCGCGGCACAGTTATGATATGATGCTAACATGCCCAGCGATCACTTCGGGCTGTGCCATTCAATGTTATCGTGTTGATCATGAACTTCCTGCCCCTACATATACATTATACCGCCTTAATACAAACGACCAGGGGCGGTCGGGTAGCCTAGTGGTTAAAGCGTTGGCTCGTCACGCCGAAGACCCGGGTTCGATTCCCGACATGGGTACAATGTGTGAAGCCCATTTGTGGTGTCCCCCGCCGTGCTATTGCTGGAATATTGCTAAAAGCGGCGTAAAACCATACTCACTCACTCACTCACTCACTAACGACCACAGGTATCGTTCCATATATCAGATTTGACTATTTCCATAAAAGGTGAGGTGCCCGCGGACTAAGGGAAACAACTCTTAGAGTATATTACATTGTCTAATCAGGTAAATTAGTTGGATCCCCGTTACATACATATGCAGACACTTGGAGATATGTGCTTAGCTTATTATTATTAGTTTTAGCCAGTCGGCGTTACACTGGTCATTCTCCCCACATAAACTGAAATGTCAGGGTGGAAACGAAATGATTTTCCATGCAACTTTAAACTCATCTCATTCTTTTAGACAACACAATATTTTCATTCTTGTTACTGCCCCTTGTACAGGCCAAGCAGAGAGTCGCCTCTTGGATGCTTCCCTCCAGGCATGGATGGAAGACACATGCGTCCAGTTTATACGTGCCCGTCCTACTGACAAAGATGTTCTCCGTATCCAGAACGGCAAGGGGTAAGTCATCATCGTCATCATCATCATCATCGTCGTCGTCGTCGTCGTCGTCATCATTATCATCATCATCATTGCCATAGTATTGTCGTGATAAATGGAGAATCTCACCCGAGTGTCTTTTGATATCAAATATAGCAGCACGAGTTGATAACAGTGAAAAAACTCCTAGGCTTGCCGAGGGTTGATATATTTGCTATCAAAAGACACTCGGGTGAGATTTTATTTATCATCCAACATCATTCTGCCAGCTTTTTCAGTTTGTTGACAGTAATAAGTTTAGTTTAGTAAGTGTAAAAAGTACTTCTAACAGCTTCAGTAGCAGAGCCATCAGTGATGTCATTTTATTGTGACGTCAAGTAGCAGTGACGTCACAATGGTCTGCAAAGCATATTGATGCAATTTCATTGCAGTGATATCCACAATATAGATATCGCTTGATCTCACCGGAGCGAAATCTCCCGTGGGAGCCAGTTTGGGATAATAATTATCATTATTGTTATTATTTCTACTTTCTACTTCGGCCTTGTTTAGAAATCTTTACATGAAACAGTGTCCATGACACTAACATATGTTGTGTCAGTGGTGTTGTTTGGCCATTTCGTGGCTGCAACGGCGCCTTATGTTGTGTTTTATACGGTACTAAATGTAACAGATGTTATATGTGGAATTACGCTTTTTTATTAGTACTGTTTGGGCGGTTGGGTCAAACCCACACTCTCAGAGTGAGAAACCTTCGCGTCGAGCAATCAGCGATCTTACGTACCCTACCACAGGGGCTTCCGCAGAAGAATAATTTGTACTTTACTAAGAAAGTGTACTCCAAATCTAACATTTGTTATATTTGACCACTTTCGTAAAAGGCATTGTGTATTTAGGGTAATTAAAATGGTGTTTCTCCTGCAGATGCAACTCTTTTGTTGGTCGAATTGGAGGTCAGCAGAATCTGAACCTGGAGGCAGGCTGTCGCGTGGTAAGAGATAGCAGGGGTTCCTTGAAGCATGGCGTTGTCTATATCATAAAGCACCATATTTACTTCACAAATGAAATAATACATTTCTTGGGGACGCAACTCTACGTAAGAACCTGGGTCCAAGACGACTAGGGGTAAGGACTAGGACCGCCGCCCTTGTCTAGTGGGCAGTGCACCTGCCTGGAGAGCTGAAGGCCACGTCATACCTAACGTTAAAGGATGCTACTCGCTTTTATCAGGCCTGGCGATCGGCATTAAAGATTGGTTTGCAGGTTAAACTGCAGCATGGAAACCGACATCAGTCCAGCCTAATACAAGCAGTCTCACACTCACACACACACCACACCACACCACTCCACGTGCAGGCACGCACGCACGTCGTGAACGCGACATTAAACCCCATTTCATCTCAAATCACATGGAGACTAGATTTTAGTTAGAATCATTTTGTGGTGTAACTGTTTACAATCTCGTCTTGGGACCTCCGTTAATGTGGGTATGGGTATTCTTAGTGGTAAAGAACGGGGGTAATAAACATATATTGACTCTTTTTACATTTAATATGTTTATGCATCACAGATAAAAGAAGAAGATAAAACGGACAAAAATACTCCCATTTAAACGCCAGTCAAACATGAATTGATAGTTTTATTCAATGTAGCCAGCGGAATAAGCCGAGTGAAGTCGAAATGAGTGAGTGAGTATGTTTTTACGCCGCTATTAGCAAGACTTCAGTAGTTTCACGGCGGGGGACACCAGAAATGGTCATCACACATTGCGCCCATGTTGATAATCGAATCCGTGTCTTCGGCGGTACGAGTGAACGCTTTAAACACAAGGCTATACCACCGCCTGAAAACGAAAGGTCTCTAGTCAATGAAACAGATGCGATAATACGGGTGCTTCTTTATGTTTTCAGAAACACGTGATGACCCACGAGCTAGGTCACGTGATCGGCCTCATCCACGAGCACCAGCGTCCAGACAGGGATGATTACATCATCGTTGCGGCCGAAAACGTGGGCGTCGGGCGCATGAAGAACTACCGGAAGTTTGACAGCAGCCGCATCAACCTGTTTGGGGTTGACTATGACTACAACTCCATCATGCATTACGGGAGAACTGTGAGTGACCTTGATCTTCTCTGGTTAATCTGCTGGGCAATAGAAATTATACTTTTGAAAATTTTCGAGCAAATCATCAGAAACGTTATCAAAACGTTACTGGTAAGCCAGGATAAATTGAATTGTGGACAATTAACTCCACTGGCGCGTACCATTGTCAAGAAAGGGGTAGCGGGTGGTCCGCGACAAGTAGTACGATGGATATGTGCCTGTCCTGTCTCGGCGAACAACGGGGTATAGTGGATAGTTCAAAAGCACATAACGGTATCTGTTGATGTGGGCACCAGACCGGCACCGCAGGTTTTGACCCTGCTTGAGAGTTTATGTAATTTATGCCATTACAAGCCAATTCTCGACCCTGAGATTGTATGATTTGGCCATGCCTACCTAGCACTGACATGTTTATTTGTTTATTATTAACTTCTATAAGAGAATTCTGGTATCGGTTTGTCACACCGACCTCTTAATAGTCTTATGAGCAACACGTGTGTCCACAGGAGCGCAGTCAATGTCATCGTCATTACATGCACGTGCATAACATGCGTACTCGCTCGACCTGTAACAAACCAAATATGTTTGCCTAAATTCTGTGCACCGCAAACTTGTCTCAAACTCGTTTTGTATGTTGGTTCAGCAAATCCTGGATTACTAGTAGGCTAATACAGTTGCCGAAACACTGCAAACTTATGGTTTAAAACGCAACCATGATCAAACATATCACTTGACTTTTCCTTGCCCAGCAGTTCAGTTCCCACTTTGTCTGTGGCAACACTACCGCCGTATGACTAATTTACTTCCTGATCGTCCCAACACATCGGTCAACCCCATAGTTTACATTATTTCTTGTTTTGTGTGGTAAATTCGCTTCCTGTGCCGCGTTTCATTCTGAAGTTCTTGATGAAAACTGTAATGGCATTTTTCATTTATAAATACATTGGCCGCATAAACCTGCTGCTGAAAATCGAGAATACATGTTGTCATCTGACCTCAAGTCTGCTCCACTGTTTCGATGTTTTGTCAGAGAAAGATGATTATTTACCTGTCAGATTCAAGATTTGTCTCTGCCAAGAGGATTGGTGTTATGGAATCCAGTATACAGCAGAGGACATCCAGTGAATATGCGTTATGTTTCAAGTACTTTCAAGGACAAATTATCCGTCATAATGATCGGTTCACTGACGTAGCTGGAGTTTACTTAGTTTTTACTAGCCATCATGATGGTGTTGGTACTGTGCCCTACTCCATCATCAGATGGTACTGTGTCCCACTGCATCATCAGATGGTACTGTGTCCTACTGCATCATCAGATGATACTGTGCCCTACTCCATCATCAGATGGTACTGTGTCCTACTGCATCATCAGATGGTACTGTGTCCTACTGCATCATCAGATGGTACTGTGTCCTACGGCATCATCAGATGGTACTGTGTCCTACTGCATCATCAGATGATACTGTGTCGTACTGCATCATCAGATGGTACTGTGCCCTACTGCATCATCAGATTATACTGTGTACTACTGCATCATCAGATGATACTGTGCCCTACTCAATCATCAGATGGTACTGTGTCCTACTGCATCATCAGATGGTACTGTGTCCTACTGGATCATTAGATGGTACTGTGCCCTACTGCATCATCAGATGATACTGTGTAATACTGCATCATCAGATGATACTGTGCCCCACTCCATCATCAGATGGTACTGTGTCCTACTGCATCATCAGATGGTACTGTGCCCTACTCCATCATCAGATGATACTGTGTACTACTGCATCATCAGATGATACTGTGCCCTACTCAATCATCAGATGGTACTGTGTCCTACTGCATCATCAGATGGTACTGTGTCCTACTGGATCATTAGATGGTACTGTGCCCTACTGCATAATCAGATGATACTGTGTACTACTGCATCATCAGATGGTACTGTGCCCTACTCCATCATCAGATGGTACTGTGTCCTACTGCATCATCAGATGGTACTGTGCCCTACTCCATCATCAGATGATACTGTGTACTACTGCATCATCAGATGGTACTGTGTCCTACTGCATCATCAGATGGTACTGTGTCCTACTGCATCATCGGATAGTACTGTGTCCTACTGCATCATCAAATGATACTGTGACCTACTGCATCATCGGAAAGTTCTGTGTCCTACTGCATCATCAGATGGTACTGTGACCTACTGCATCATCAGATGATACTGTGACCTACTGCATCATCAGATAGTATTTTTCTCTACTGGATCATCAGATGGTACAGAGCTCTACTGCATCATCAGATGAAACTGTATGCCACTGGATCATCAGATGGCACTTTGCTCTACTGCATCATCATATGACACTGTATCCTAGTACTGGGTATTATAGCTTTCTCAGATGATAATGTGTCCTACTGCATCATCAGATGGTACTGTGCTCTACTGCATCATCAGATGACACTGTATCCTAGTACTGGGTATTATAGCTTTCTCAGATGATAATGTGTCCTACTGCATCATCAAATGGTACCGTGACCTACTGCATCATCGGATAGTGCTGTGTCCTACTGCATCATCAGATGGTACTGTGTCCTACTGCATTATCAGATGGTACAGTGCTCTACTGCAGCATCAGATGATACGATGTTCTACTGCATCATCAGATGATACTTTGCCCTACTGCATCATCGGATAGTGCTTTGTCCTACTGCATCATCGGGTAGTGCTTTGTCCTACTGCATCATCAGATGGTACTGTGACCTATTGCATCATCGGATAGTGCTTTGTCCTACTGCATCATCAGATGGTACTGTGTTCTACTGCATCATCAGATGATAATGTGACCTACTACATCATCGGATAGTACTGTGTCCTACTGCATCATCAGATGGTACTGTGACCTACTGCATCATCGGATAGTGCTTTGTCCTACTGCATCATCAGATGTTACTGTGACCTACTGCATCATCGGATAGTGCTTTGTCCTACTGCATCATCAGATGGTACTGTGACCTATTGCATCATCGGATAGTGCTTTGTCCTACCGCATCATCAGATGGTACTGTGTTCTACTGCATCATCAGATGATAATGTGACCTACTACATCATCAGATGATACTGTGTCCTACTGCATCATCAGATGATACTTTGCCCTTCTGCATCATCGGATAGTACTGTGTCCTACTGCATCATCAAATGATACTGTGACCTACTGCATCATCGGAAAGTTCTGTGTCCTACTGCATCATCAGATGGTACTGTGACCTACTGCATCATCAGATGATACTGTGACCTACTGCATCATCAGATAGTATTTTTCTCTACTGGATCATCAGATGGTACAGCGCTCTACTGCATCATCAGATGAAACTGTATGCCACTGGATCGTCAGATGGTACTTTGCTCTACTGCATCATCAGATGACACTGTATCCTAGTACTGGGTATGATAGCTTTCTCAGATGATAATGTGTCCTACTGCATCATCAGATGGTACTGTGCTCTACTGCATCATCAGATGACACTGTATCCTAGTACTGGGTATTATAGCTTTCTCAGATGATAATGTGTCATACTGCATCATCAGATGGTACTGTGCTCTACTGCATCATCAGATGATACTGTGTCCTATTACATCATCAGATGGTACTATGTCCTACTGCATCATCAGATGGTACTGTGACCTACTGCATCATCGGATAGTTCTGTGTCCTACTGCATCATCAAATGGTACCGTGACCTACTGCATCATCGGATAGTGCTGTGTCCTACTGCATCATCAGATGGTACTGTGTCCTACTGCATCATCAGATGGTACAGTGCTCTACTGCATCATCAGATGATACGATGTGCTACTGCATCATCAGATGATACTTTGCCCTACTGCATCATCGGATAGTACTGTGTCCTACTGCATCATCAGATGGTACTGTGACCTACTGCATCATCGGATAGTGCTTTGTCCTACTGCATCATCGGATAGTGCTTTGTCCTACTGCATCATCAGATGGTACTGTGACCTACTGCATCATCGGATAGTGCTTTGCCCTACTGCATCATCAGATGGTACTGTGACCTACTGCATCATCGGATAGTGCTTTGTCCTACTGCATCATCAGATGGTACTGTGTTCTACTGCATCATCAGATGATAATGTGACCTACTACATCATCAGATGATACTGTGTCCTACTGCATCATCAGATGATACTGTGCCCTACTCCATCATCAGATGGGACTGTGTCCTACGGCATCATCATATGGCACTGTGTCCTACTGCATCATCAGATGGTACTGTGTCCTACTGTATCATCAGATTGTACTGTGTCCTACTGCATCATCAGATGGTACTGTGTCCTACTGCATCATCAGATGTTACTGTGTCCTACTGTATCATCAGATGGTACTGTGTCCTACTGCATCATCAGATGGTACTGTGTCCTACTGCATCATCAGATGGTACTGTGTCCTACTCCATCATCAGATGATACTGTGTCCTACTCCATCATCAGTTGGCACTGTGTCCTACCGCATCATCAGATGATACTGTGTCCTACTGCATCATCAGATGGTACTGTGTCCTACTGCATCATCAGATGGTACTGTGTCCTACTGCATCATCAGATGGTACTGTGTCCTACTGCATCATCAGATGGTACTGTGTCCTACTGTATCATCAGATGGTACTGTGTCCTACTGCATCATCAGATGGTACTGTATCCTACTGCATCATCAGATGGTACTGTATCCTACTGCATCATCAGATGGTACTGTGCCCTACTCCATCATCAGATGATACTGTGTCCTAAAGCATCATCATATGGTACCGTGCTCTTCTGCATCATCAGATGGTACTGTGTCCGACTGCATCATCAGGAGGTACTGTGACCTACTGCATCATCAGATGATACTGTGACCTACTGCATCATCAGATGGCACTGTGTCCTACTGCATCATCAGATGATACTGTGTCCTACTGCATCATCAGATGGTACTGTGTCCTACTGCATCATCAGATGATACTGTGTTATACTGCGTCTTCAGATGGTACTGTGTCCTGCATCATCAGATGGTACTGTGTCCTATTGCGTCTTCAGATGGTACTGTGTCCTACTGCATCAACAGATATTGTGTGATAATATATTTAAAGGAACATTCTGTTTACTGCGTTTCTGTCAATTCAGGCATTTTCGAAAGATGATGTCTCCACCACAATGATAACGAGAAACCCGTCATTCCAAGACATCATTGGAACCAGCTCGAAGGTGTCATTTAAAGATGCTAAGGTTGTCAACTCCATGTACAAGTGTGACAGTAAGTATTGCAGGATTGTTGTCATGGTTTGGGGGGCCAGCAGTGATGCAAGCAGAAGGCATTAAGTATTTCATCTCTAGCAAGTACAGTATGTATGTTATCATTATTTTAGGGGCAATTCTTTCGGAAAAAGCGCTTCAAAGGCACTGATTGCCACCTTGCAACTCATAAGGAAGGAAGCACAATTACAAAAATATGTTTTTATGTAATTATTATTTCAATGTCATGTTTAGCAACAATAGTTTTTTAAAGTAAACATGCAAGCGTAAGTGTATTAATTTGTTTATTCAGTCATGCTTGTAGTGCCTTTTTTAATAGTATGCAACGAATGCACAAATAAGGATCACTTTTCACGATGCAACAAGTGATTTGAAGAATCGATTAATGATACAACAACAAACTGATAAGTTGTTCTTTGGGGTAAACAAGGAGCCCTTTTAGACATTCCTGATAGTTATTAATATGTAAAGACGCGTCTCGCTTTATGTGTCCATCGTTACGTTTTTCTTTCAGCAGCATCCATTGATGACATGTATGTTATATAAATTAAGTAAAGGGGAACTCTTCTTACAATGCAGATTTCCTGTTATATACTCTTGGATCTCGACATCATAACAATTTCAAATTTCATAAGACGCAATTTTCTATTTTTTTCAAGGCAATTGTAGGCGAAAGCCAAGCTGTGGAGAAGGATATGTCAACAAGTATTGTCGCTGTGTGTGCCCTGGAGGCACGCAGCGATGTGCCCAGAGAAGATGGCGGACAGTCACATCAGTACCTCGAACCACTAGACCGGCTCCCAGAATAAGGATGTCTGGATTCAACAGCAGGCCGTGGCGTGGCTCATTCATGATGCCTTATGAACCCAGGCCATACCCGCCAATCGACCCCGGATTTGGGCAATATTATCCAAGTGCGCCCTATTTCAATTCTCAATTCAATGGTAAGTTGGATAACCAAATGCCTTTCTACCAGAAAGGACCCCCCACCTTCATCTTCTATCCGCCACATATAACCACAACCACTTGTGTATGATAAGTAGCGACCGCCTCCGTGGTCTAGTGGTAGCGTCCGCCCGAGGAGCGGAAGGTCCGGGGTTCGATCCCCGGCCGTGTCATACCAAAAGACGTTAAAAGATGGAACTTAGTGTCACCCTGTCTGGCGCTCGGCACTAAGGGGCTATAACAAAGACTGGTCGGCTCGGAGTCAGTATACTGTGTCTGAGTGGGATATTCATGTTAAACTGCGGCATGGTATCTCAGTGAGCTAGCACTATAAATCGGCATCTGTCCGGACTAGTACAAGAAGCCAAACACAAACGAGCATGTACGTCGCAATATAAGCGCAATAATCTTGGACACCACGTTAAACCCAATTTCACCTCACCTATAAGTTGTAGCAGGATCACTCGGGGTACGTGTTTTATGTGTTTTCATTCGGAGTTTTATGTGTTTTATACCTAACGAGGGCACATAAAACTCCATGTACCCCGAGTGATCCTGCTGCAATGATTTTTGTGTTACCGACATGTTTTAATGTGACATTGTAAAAGAGTTAACACAAATTCAAAATTGATAGAAAACAGCTGTTCGATTGAGCTGAGGTTAGCTTGTGCTATGTCACGTGACATCCAATGACTCGGAAAAAGCGTGCGGCTTTTTGCTTTGAAGCAGGGTTTGAGAGATTTATTCTGCCTCTCATAAATCCACGTACAGCCTGTATTGCTCGTGGCGGGGTATGAGAGATGTATTTCCCCCGCTGAGATATATTACACTCCAAGACGGATTACTCAGTATTTCATCAAGATCACGTGGACCAATCAGATGTCATCATTCTGACATGGAGGTATGATAATGTGAGTTATCGTGCATCTAGTGGAGCCCCACCTGGGTACAATGTGTGAAGCCAATTTACGGTGTCTCCCGCTGTGATTATGTTCATACAATTCCTGAAGGAATATACTTACTCACTCATCCCCATGCATCTGTAACGTGGTTGGTTGGTTGGTTGGTTGGTTGGTTGGTTGTTTAACGCCGCACTCAGCAATATTCCAGCTTTATGACGGCGGTCTGTAAATAATCGAGTCTGGACCAGACAATCCAGTGAATAATATCATGAGCATCGATCCACGCAATTGAGATCGATGACAAACCAACCAACCAACCAACCGTAGCTCCGCGTGGGTTATGCTGTATATTACCTATTGACATTTTAAGAAAGAAAATGAACAAAACAAATATGAAGTGTCAACCCTGGTGAGAAACTTGAATGAAGGCAGCTTATTGTTCAGTTGACTTTATATAGTCAATTTGTGACTTCGTGAACAATGGATGTGCCTCAACAATGAAGCACTGCCATGTTACATGTACATGCCCAATCAGCATTGAGAACCGCTGAAATGCACTTGTGCAAATATCGGAAAGCTAATACATACGATCATACTAACTATATAGGTAATATTGAATCGTAAGCACCGTGAGTATTCTGATTCAAAATGTTAGTTTACATGACCTTTTGGGTCGTAAGCTGACAGTTATATTTGATGCGTTATTTTATTTGTATTTCAGGTCCCTACTATCCGCCGTTTAAATGAAAATAACGAAAGTAAGTATTTACATGCAAGTTCTAACTCTCAGGTACAAAACAGCAAAAAATAAATGAGTGGAATAAAATTGAACAATAAATATATATGCGCTTTATAGTAAATTTGCTTACGTGAGCCACTGTCTTCATCAGCTGATGAACGTCAAATACAAATCAAATAACGTCTTAATTATTGCAACGTGACGTCTTAACTAGAAGATACGCGTGGCGGCAAAAAAACTATATACATGGTTTAGTAACAGTTCCTATTTTTATACGTTCATTAATGTTGTCAAACCCACCTCATTAGCTGTGTTGTTTTATACTGACGCCTCTTTACCTCTCACCGTCTCCTATTGATGGGCCAGTAAACTGAAGCGGGTTCTGTCCCAATGCAGAGTTGCAGGCCGTTCCCGTTTCTAGATCCGCTGGTCGTGATATAATACTGTGTATGTCACTACCACACAACGTAGGTGTCATTAAACATTTTCGTTCAGCGCCACCTTTGGATTTTAAAATAACTCTATGGTAGGACTAAATTCTCCTAAAAGTTAAACCGCCTCACTCATTCACCCTACCAGTCTGTGTTACAGTGGTAAGGAGTTGCTTTAGAAATACTAACTAATTATATACCCTGAGTGAACGATAAAACACCGTTCTGTTTCCACAATATAACATGTTGGGAAGATGAATGTATTGCTAAAATTATAAAGAACAGCTACTCTATGGTACAAAAATACATCGTAATCATGGTAATGTCGGTACATATACCACCGTATTTGTACCAATTGATGAGGAAATATGGTTTGAAAACCCATATAAGGAGACTCCGGTTCCCAGTTTAAAACTTTCAAGAATTGACATGGTACAATAATAAAAACAGTTATAAATGCCTCTATAAACACAGAATCACATTACTGAAGTATTGTAAAAAAATACGTCAACAATAATAGCTTCACAGACTGTTTATTTAATGATTCACAAAAATAACTGCAGGGTACAGCACCAAATAAGTGACATCGCGTTCAAGGCAAAAATGCAAAACAAGACCCGCTCATTCTGTTATCAGCCAATCATGACACAATAGTCCTTTATCAGGCGAGGTCTAATAGTTTTTCGGTTTATGGAAACATAAACGCAAACAGAATGGCTTGGTTATCCAATCAAATGTCTCAGAATCACTTGCAACGTATTTACACGTGGGTGATTAGCCTCATTGAAATGTTTTTTACTACCATACTGTGACAACATACGCAAAATAACCTCCTGGTGTACACATCGTTTCATTGTGTGATTGACCAATTTAGAAATTTGTACTCAACACTTCTATCTTCCAGGAGGTGGGCCCCTGTATCACCAGCTTGTGGACAAAATCTGCAGTTCGGCTTGAGGTGTTTGGTGGTTTTTGTTTATAATGTGCAATGTATTAATTCATGTGCAAAAACTGAAAACAGAAATAATGAATAAAATGCTTATTTAGTCTTATTTGGTTTCACGGTTGTCTGTCATGGTGTCTTTTGTATTATGGGCTTTAAAAGCCAGTTGCAATAAGTACATCCTAGAGTAGGGACCTGCAGCTGGTGGTAAAGTTGTATGCGAATATGAATAGTAAGAGTATCTACCATATACATGTTATGGGAGTTAGTGATGTGTGAGTGAGTGAGTTACGATTTCAAATCACAACGGAAATATTTCAGCCATATTGAGACTAGCACAAGTTATAGCCCAGGTGTGGATATCTTTGTCTGCGGCCAATAGTAGTTGGTCAAGGAGAGTCCTTCACGTTCAACTGTTCCCTCCCACGACCTGTCAGAGTCGTGAAGGTGTGGGGGAACATCAGTGGTGTTTTAGATCCCTCGGAAGTCCAAGTTGACGGCACGCCAGTGACATAACGTGCTTATATATCCTTTCACTTTCATATACATCAGTTTGCTGAGTTTTTTTGTTGGCAAAATAAACAATGTTTTTGCCTGTATTTACATCACGTACATATTTCGACTCTTACAAAAAAATTTCTGACGTGGAGTTGAACCCAGGCCCGCTGAGTCGGGACAGTGGGGGTAGGAGTGCTCAGAGTAAGGCAACTAGACAGTCTACTCTAGCGTTCACGGGTAATGTTAATTCAAACAACAGCGATTCTGACCAATACGAGGTTGACACCACTGTTGTTTTGAAACCTATAGATCGGGCATTGGTAAACGTAATAGTAAGATTGATACAGTCGAATGAAATTAAAGATGAATTTTCGAAGTTGTGGTCGGAAAACGTTGAACTTTAAGAAAGAATGTCTAAACTAGAAAATCTTGTTGATAAAGAAGAGGCCCAGAGTAGGAGAAACAATCTTATTATTCCTGGCATAGAGGGCGTAAATCGAAAATAATACAAAATACGAAAAAATAATCGAAGTAATGAGAAAGATCTCGAAATTTCGCGAAAATAACTGAAGTAAAGAGAAATTTCGATTTCGGAAAAATATATTTAGGCTACCGTTTTTTCTCGTTGCTTCGATTATATTTTCGTCATTCCAGCATTTTTGTTCGTTAGTTAGACGTTGTTCTCTTAATTTGAATTATTTTCTCGTGATTTCAAGGTTATTGAAGAAACTAGAAATTTGGATGTTTTTCTCCTTATTTCAATTATTTTCTTTCTGCTTCGAGATTTTTTGTCTTCTTATTTGATTATTTTCTCTTATATTCTCATTATTTGAAGCTTATCTCGAAACTCGTAATTTCAAAAAGAGTTTTCGTTGCCTCACTTATTTTCTCGTTAATTAAACTATTTCTTCGTTCCTTCGATTTTTTTCTCGTTAATTCGATTTTTTTGTCTCGTTATTTCAAGTTTATTCTAAAAAACTTGAAATAACGAGAAAAATAGTAGAATTACCAGGAATTAATCAAAGCAACGCGAAAAATGTCGAAATTTCGAGTTTTATATTAAATAAACTTTTAAAAAAAAGAGAAAAGATTTTAAAATACGAAAAAGTAATCGAAGTAACGAGATAAAACTCGAAAGAATGAAAAGAAACAGAGCAAAAGGAAACGTTCGTGTCTACCACCGACAGGAAGAACGAACGTCACACTGTGACGTCGACCTTGGTTTGTCTGCCAGTGTTAAACCGGCAGAATCAACCTTTCACCTTGTGGTATAGACTAGTTGATGGCATAGAACTTTCAAATTACAAAACAACTAACACCATGATGGCTGTTGTGTTCTTGTTTGACTTTAGTACTTCGACGAAGTTGATCACTAACCTTTGCCATGATTGTCGCCTTCCCATTGCGCCACAAAACAGCTTTAATATATTTTTTAAGGTTTCACGTTCTTGCAAATATGGAGAATGAACATTAAATTTTGAAAATAATAAAAACATAATTTTTAGTGTGTTTTTTTTTTGCTTTTTAAGTTTTGAGGAGGAACTCATTTGTGTGCACGCTGTCTGTCACTGAAGTGACTGAGAATGCTGTTGACAAATCTTCGAAAGGGGTGCAATTCAGCATCAAAATGTATATAATAAATATACTATATCATGCTTTTTGATGTCTCGAGTGAAGTTGGAAAACCATATTTTGGCGTCACGTGCCATTTTTCCAGGCCTGATTACTGAAGCTTAATATTTTGTGAAAGGCTGTATTCTCAGAGATATCAGGTTCACCAACCTGGAGCCTTATCCCCATTGTATGAATACGTCGGCCGTGGTGAGGGTAACATTATGTAGATTTGATGTGTTTTACTTTGGTTGATGGGAAATGGCACCTTTTCTGACAAGTGTCATAAGCCATACACTTTGGATGAGAAGACATGACTCTAGTTTCAGTACCCCCGATTTCACACTGAGATCAGGGCAAAGTTTGGAATGGAAGTTTCATTGGAACAATCTGTCACAAGAAATCCGAAAAGCAAAAAATCTAACAAAGAGAGCATTTGACTAGATCAACCATGGTCAAAGAAGAAGGTTTGAGAAGTTGTTAATTGGAAAATGCGCTAAACAAGTTCTTTTTAAATTCAATTTCACTTTTTTTAATGTATTCAATGTCCAGAGGACAGTTGACGTGAGCAATATTTTTTCCAAGGTGATTGATCTTAGTTACTAGTGATATCTAGTAAAGTTATCTGAGGAGCCATTATCCAGGGTTAGGTTTTGCCTTTGCATGTGTTTGTGACGCATGCCACCGGTGGGGCATCATGTGATCAGCTTTCCGGGAACACCTGGTATCATCACTGTTTGACGATGATTCACAAGCACATGCTCATGATATAGTCGGACTAGTACAATCCACTATGTTCTAAAGGGAAATTTCATATGAATATGAAAAGGGTTTTGTCGCTTTTATTTATATTATCCTTGTTTTATTTATATTGTCCTCTTAATCTTTAATGTTCCCACAGCCGAATTTTCCAGAACACAATGCCCGTCCGCAATGCCTCGTAAGTTAACTTACAAATGTCTGTTGGTATGACTGTTAGGAACTAAAGTAATAATAATGAATCAAACAACATCCAAGCAATAACACATTCCTCATATCAATGCAAATTCATGGTGTGGTGAGTGAAATGGGGTTTAATGTTGCGTTCAAGTGAAGTACATGGACGTGTGTGCGTGTGTGTGCATGTGATTGTGCGTGTGCATGTGGGAGCTTGTGCTAGTCCGAACCAATTAATTCTTTTGTGCTAGCCAACTGAGATACCATGCCTCATTTTAAGAAGGATCCCCACTCAAACACAGTATGCCGACCCCGAGACAACCAGTCCTTGTTGTATCCCCTAAATGACGAGCACCGGGCAGGGCAATAAGAAGAACCATCTTGTGGTGTTACGTGGCCGGGGATCTAACCACCGAGCTTCTGCTCTCCGGGTTTTAATCATTAATTAGAAATAAACGACGAGAGAGTAAAACCCATCGGGGCGAAGCCTCGAGAAGTATTTTCTCCCTGCAGTGTTTTATTGTTCGATAAACAACGACCACGAGTCATTTTATTATGTCTTTTGGAAGACAACATTGTTTACAGCTCCTTTCATGACGTTAAGAAAATGTACAAGCTTTAAAACAATTGTTTCCGTGTATAAATAATGATGACTTCTTGAATACAATCCGACCTCGACAATGTCTGACCAGTTTGTGTTATTCGCAATACATTGTGAACTGCACCCCTCGTGGTTTATTCAGCCTTCAGGGTTTTATTGTACTATAAACAACTCCCCAATGTCGTTATTTCTTAATTACAGATTGACATATCTCGCCCACCATTACTTGCGATCGTTGGCCCATTCTGTTTATCTGCGTTGCCATTATACATTTAAGAGGAACAACTCACTACCCTCTCAAAAATGGCATCGTCCAAATTTAAGACATCAAGTATGTTCGAATCAATCAGAAATAACATCATGATTATCCTGAATGAACCGCGCCTTGTTCTTCATCGTTCTTTGCGATATATCGCGTAGGTATCTTATAGAAGTAAGTAATTCAACCGTCATTATTTATTAATTATGCATTGGAATGGTTTGTTTGGCTATTCGAAGCGAAAAGGTGGTTTTAAATGGCCTGATATTACAAGAATTACACAATTGTTGTATCTGTTTCAAGAATTTCAAGAATCCATGCCCGTGCAGTTCGATTTGCAACTAAGGTGTAATCCTGTTATACCTACAATTATATTTCCTCAATTAATGCTTTATTTTATCTGTTAAGCGATGTTGTGCAAGCAATGGAGTAATGTTGTTAGCATACAACAAAGTATTCTTCAACTTTAAGCAAATGTAATATTCCAAGAAACCAAGCATTGGACATTTTGTTTTCAAATGAAGTAAGGGAGCATCCCTTTGATTGATATGGGTGGTGTGGGGGAATATTTGTAAAATGAATACTATGTTCAGAACATGCGGGAGTCAATAGTGAAAATGACTAGATTGTTTGATGATGCTTAGTAAAAAAATAGTTTGTTGGATACAGCTGGTACAAAAGAGATAGGTCTTTGATAAACGTGACAGCAAGGCCTCAGTAAAGTTTTCAGAATTTGTGTTTTGAAGACATGTAGTGGGCATTTCAAAATTCGATGCATCAATGAAAAAAGTTATGTCCGATGCAATTCCCAGTTAAGACGTATGTTCCCTGTGTGTGTTTTCTTTTCAGGTGAACGGTTGACTTGCCTTAGCATGTGTTTGTGACGGGTGCCACAGGTGGGGCTGAATACGCTCATCTTTTCACGAACACCAGGTATCATCACTATTTGATAGTGATTCTGAACACATGCTTATGATATTGTAGGAATCGCTCAGCCGGCTCTGCTTTTGGCAGGGATTTATTAAGGCTAGGGAAAGGGTTTTACATACTTTATGAATACTATATGTATTCATATAAAGAATACACATACATCATAATTCTGTAATCATGTGTCTTCATCTTTTACCCGTGAAGATCCAGGGTAGAATAGGTCTTCAGCAACCCATGCTTGCCGTATAAGGCGATACTGCTTGTCGTAAAAGGCAACTAACGGGATCGGGTGGTCAGACTCGCTGACTTGGTTGTTGCGTGTCATCGTATAGCAATTGCGTGGATCGATGCTCATGATCATGATGTCAATTACTGGATAGTCTGGTCCAGTCTCGATTACAGCTGGAATGTTTCTGAATACGGCGTTAAACAACAAACAAACAAACAAACCTCATCTCTTTCATTTAAAAACATATTTATTGGCTACGAATGAAGTTTGATTTAATTATCATGCACTATTAACTCAATAGGTAAAACACTAACTATGTTTTCAAAGTGAAGATAGCGATGCCACAGATATATTTCTACAACCTGTTACAGGAATGAGTGATGCTTAAACAGACATAATTATATTTTAACAACACTTCTTTCAATTTTAAATCACATTAAAAAAAAATCTCGGTATACTTTATTTTGCCCCTCAGGTGCCATACATGTACGTTACATGTATATTGCAGGGCCATGTATTCTGCAAACCCCAGGCCAACCGCCTCCTCCCAACTTGAACACTGGCCCCATCAGCTTACACAACTGGTAATATATACATGAGGCGATACCGTGTCAGTCAGGTTCTTCTCCTGCCACAAGCAACATCCCTTATAACCTTGCGTGTTGGTTCTTTTTATACAGAAACACTCGAGGTAATACGATCTTTATCATCTAATCTCATTGGCATATTTATCGGATTATGACAGCAAATTTATTGGATTTGTTTATCCGGATAGTCTAAATATAGCCCAACTGTTTTATCACATTGATAACACTACTGATAATGTGACAAGATATGTTTCTTTCAATTCCGAGTAATATATATTATAATTGTTATGTTCACTGGGGCTTTATCCACCTGTTATCAACATGAACGTATCAAGTGACATTAGAAGAACAATTGCTCAGTTGCTTGAAGTGAGAACCTGCCTTTTATGTTCATTTTGTAGATAGTTTGCCAAAAATGTTTTTTAGCTTATCTTTATATTTTGATTGTTAGAAATAATCAGTCAGTAATGTCTAACCAGCTTGAAATATCATCATATTTGAACTGTTGTCATGCAATTACATCTTGATATTCTATGACGGCTGTAGCAAAATACAATTGGACGGCACAGGCACCCGAGGCATCTAGGGCGCCGCAATGCGTTGTGCAGAGTTGCGCCCCTTGGGCACGCTATAAACCTACGATCACTGGTTCGAATCCGGGCTGCCTCGATTATGTTTCTAGGTTTGTCGCACCAAACTCCTTTCTCGAGGGTTCCACAAAAGTGGTCGGTGGCTTGGACCTGCATCACTTTGGACCTCCCTCTTACATGAAGTTGACACGCCATGATATGACTGGAAGACTGTTCAAAGCAGGTAAACTCCACTCACTCAATGAACAACTGAAACTTTGCTTTTTTTTTCATTTGTTTCGTCATAGTTTCTGTTATTTGAGAGGTGATTCTACTATAACAGTCGGCATCCATGTCTATCTAAAATAATTAACACCAGTCCATCACATGTGAAAGTTATAAACAATAATTATTTTTATTATACATGTATAAAATAAAATTCATTTATAGCTTTGCAGCAAACATAGCTATTTGCTGTTCCATCATTCAGTATCAAGTCTGCGGTCAAAGGGAGGTAATTATGTAAGTGGCGCAATCGCAATTCTGCGAGCATGCCAGTTTTGATAGTTTCGGCCTTTCCGAACCAACAGCCGACCAAGCAACACGTTTCAAATTCCCACCCAGCCCTCCCTTTGGCTCATTTACTATTATGATGTAATATTTTAATACATACTTTCTTCATTTATTATTAATGTTAGACATGTTAATGTGATGTTTTCATTATTGCACATGCTATTTCTAGTATCAATTATACTTGCTCGCCGGTTTTTGCTTTTATGTTGCAGTGCTCCACAGCTGACCATCTTTTGACATCTCAGTTGGCACAAATGAACTGTACTACTTGGTGTGTTCGAGACAGATTGTGTGAAATCATGTGTATATTCATTTGGTGTCAACTAGGCAACTACACCGCACCAGTGACTGAATCTTGAACTCAAGCTGTGTGCGGACTGTTGCAATATACAAGATGGACAAGTAGGAGCACTGTGAATGCAGATATGTGTGACCGCGTTTTCTTCACTAGTGGTAATGTATCCAGGATTTTATTTCTGTATGGTATATACATATTTATTTCGGTACAGTTATGTAAAGGCGGCATACTCGGAGGGAGGGACTGTAGGTTAGTTAGATTACAAATAAGGCCCAGTATGGTTACCCTCTTGGGCATGTCTTATTCAGTATGGGGAGTTCATTGCTATGGTTACCCTTGCAGTTTGAACCCCTGGTTTAATGTGCTAGTTAGGGTTGGAGCTTATTGATGGTTACCCTGATAAGACCAATCCCTACGTCATGTAATGGGCACCTAGGTTAATGGTTTAAAAGGTAGCTGCTTATGCATGGTTACCCTCTTAAGTTAGCTTTCCTCAGTCTGAAGTGCCCATCACCATGGTGCTCAGGCAGTTAGGGACCCCTCCCTCCTTGGGTGTCGCCACCAACTCGCATTTAATTAACTGTGCCATTTTCATCCACAGCCATAATTTCTTTGTTGTATGTTACCAATTTGCAAGCTGAAGGTATAATATCTGTTTAGGTAGTTATTCAAATGTTTCTTCATCAAATAAAAGTGAGCGTCTGTACTTTAGGTACTTTTGCACAAGAACCTTTCCAAACAAAATGAATGAAACGAAAATTAAATGAGATTGCAAGTTATTTAATATCTTCAACTGAAACAAGGTATTCCTATCGCAGTTACCAACTAAAATCCTTGGATTGAGAGACGAATCAGACCAAGCTTTAGGAGTTATTCCATTTGAATAACAACATCTTCCCTTTCAGCCTATGAGGAATGTAGGTTCTAATTCTTTAGGTGTTGTCCTGGCTCTCACTCATCTCACGGCGGACCCTTGGAACGACGAACAGGACCACCAGCCAGAGAACTTGCTGACATTCCATGGTTACCTAATGGAACGGAGAACACTTTAATCATTTGTCCACTGACACACATCAAGTAATCACACAAAGCAGTAGCATCTGTAAATGTTGATTTGATATGGTACTTCGCTTTGACACTCATTTCGGTACCGGCCAGCAGTACAGAACCATTAGCAAAATCAACATGGACATTGTGATCATGATCGCGCGTTTTAGCAAACTGTGGAATGCTTTTGTTTTCATCATGAGTCTTGACATGCCTCACAAGAACATCATCAGACAAATAAATGTGTGCAAATGTCCACACTACGTTAATGAAACCAACTGAGGGAAAAGCGAGTGTGATGGGATATGTTGTTTGACACGAATCTGCGTGTGAGATCGTCTATACCCTGAAAAATTACGAAAGGACGGGCACAACATATGTATTTGTTGCTTTGACTGTATTGCAAGCGTTCAGCTCTGAATTCCACATTTTCCTAGGCCTACATGTGTATTCTGCCCCAAGTATGTCTTTGATGTGAGCATTCTGGAGTGCGTCTGGGACTCGACAAGGAGAAAACGTTTGTTCAGTGTGGGTTCTCCTTTGACAAGAAGTCCAATGTCAGCCATGTGAAAGATTTAAGTAAGAGGAATTAGAGCACTGTCCCGAGTGGGTCCAGAATGATACCCTTCCTCTTTGCTAAGCAAAAAGCTTGAAGGATTTAGTGACAAACAGAACAGCAAAAGACCAATCACCACCTGCTCCTGGGAATACATCTCAAGTTGAGTTGACCAGCAAATCATTAAAGACATGAGTGAAGCAAGAAGTCGCTCGGGGAGGTTAATACATTTCAGTGACTTCAGAATGCATTTGTCAGGTTCAGAATTATAGGTTTTTCTGTATTCTATTGAGAGGTTTTAGTGGTAAATCCCTTTCTGTTCCATGTAAATAATATCACCGGTTTCGAACGCCATCAGGCCCTGGCGCCGTTTTAGATTTGGATTCTTTGTATTACACTTTTCAGGCAATTAGGTGTAATGAAACACAAGGATATTATTTTATAGTGTACAATATCAGTGTAATCCTCTACCCATGGTTCCTCGAGGTTACGGGTATCGTCCACAACTGTTTGCAAACCTTTAACAGGAATCATTGGTGGGTCTTTTCTCATCACTGCCTTTGGTTGCCATAAGGTAGTTTTACACGTTTATCTGTAAGTACATCTTTGGACCAAAAAGAACATTTACTTTTACCACAGGGCCACAGGTATGATGATCTCAATTTCCATATTTCCCACAGCGCAGGTGTAAGACAATATTTACTCTCATAGTGTAATCGCCTCACACGTTCTAATTTATCAGTATAGTTTTAAAATCTCTTGACATAATGGAAATCAAGTTTTAAAGCAAGAAATTCTTTGCACCTTGTTGTTTCAGTATTTTTTGAATTTCTCGTACGAAGATGCTGTATTGGTTTCTTTTGGATGGAAGGGGGCTTGATGTTTACTTTTTTTGCAAACTGATATTTGCTTACCAAGATGGAATACTTTCAATGTAAAATGTTACATCAATGTATATAAAATAACATATCTTTTCATGTCAGTATCATAATTTCAAATAAAGAAATATACACGAGTGGTTTCTTGTATCAAGAAATGGAATTTAAGAAAGTAATCATACATGACAATTACTTTTTTTACATGATATTTTATTAGTTGTATGTATCATGACGACGTTCGCATTAACACACATGCAAATAGTTTCCGTAATTATACATATTTTCCAGGAGAACGTTCTGGAAAATGCAAACATATCCGCTGATTGGACTGGAACAGATTTCTCATTGAACAATTTAATGTCTTAGAAGCTGTTGTTGCTGAAAATCCGAAAATCGCTCACTTTGGTGGTTTCGGTTCTGAGTCTCTTGTCTAAATCATATACATTTGTGTGCTATTATGGTTACTAGACCTAAACGGAAATAGGAAAAATATCCTTTTTAAAGAAAACACTGGTCTTCGGTCCCTTCTCACATGCACATGCACATGTCATATTCCTGAATCTAGAAAGACAGCTACTACTGTTAATGACCCATAACGTTTCAGATGAGTAAGTCAATAAAACTCAAAAGAAAGATGAGTTGTCTCTCACCCACTCTTAATACAACTTATGATCACTAGCTTTCATTGATAGTAATAAAACTCTATCTCAGTCTGTATCATCACCAAATCTGACACTTGGCGTTGATATGGGATATGATCGTATAAAGTGTGGACCCGTGACACTTGCAATTATTTCAGTTAATTTATTTATTGTTTTGCCTCCGGGATATCGTATAATAATGGTCAATTTGCCAATTCCACTGTTTTACCAGCCTGATCAGGGTGTAGTTAAAAGCAATGGAACCGCCCTGTCGGTTTCATATTTGGATTTATGCATACAGGTTCAAAGTGACTATAATTCTCCACAAGACTGTGAGAAGAGGGATGCCTTCAACTGTCCATAAGTCAACATCTCTTATGACCAGTGCTATTCCAGCACCTACAGTCTTTGGTGTCTACAGTAAACATTTGTTTAGGTATAAGTCGCTAAGAAGCGACAAAATGAATCGGGTGTTCAGGCTCGGTAATATGGGTGAATGTATGTTATCGAATCCCAATTGCGTGGATTGATGTTCATGATCAATAACTAGATTGTCTGCTCGAGTCTTGACTATTTACAGACCACCGTCGTGAACTGGAATATTGCAGAAAACAACAAACAAACAATACATAATAATCATGTGTTGACTGGTGAATGAAGCTTTTCTCAACGACCCACTTTAACAGGACACGACGATTCACAATGAGACAGGTTAATATGTTTGACCACCCGTTTATTTTGTTTCCAAACTGATATTTGTTCATCAAGATGGAATATTTTCAATGTAAAATGTTACATGAATGTATATAAAATAACAAATCTGTTCATGTCAGTATCATGATTTCAAATAAAGAAATATACACAAGTGGTTTCTTGTATCAAGAAATGGAATTTAAGAAAGTAATCATACATGACAATTACTTTTTTTACATGATATTTTATTAGTTGTATGTATCATGACGACGTTCGCATTAACACACATGCAAATAGTTTCCGTAATTATTCATATTTTCCATGAGAACGTTCTGGAAAATGCACACATATCCGCTGATTGGACTGGAACAGTTTTCTCATTGAAAACTTTTATGTCTTAGAAGCTGTTGTTGCTGAAAATCCGAAAATCGCTCACTTTGGTGGTTTCGGTTCTGAGACTCTTGTCTAAATCATATACATTTGTGTGCTATTATGGTTACTAGACCTAAAAGGAAATAGATAAAATATCCTTTTTAAAGAAAACACTGGTCTGCGGTCCCTATCACAAGAACTATCAAGTTGAAAGTGGGATACTGCCCTGTCACGTTCTTGTCCTTTATTTGACCAATTATTACGTGATCATCGAGTGGTTTACAGTGGCACAAACCGATGGCGATTTCCGGCGTGATTTGTGGTTACCGCCATACTATCCTCAACAAGGAAGTAGGCCAGGGTAGAAAATAGGTCACTGCCTCGCTTCCGATTCGGGAATACCAACTTCGCGAGAGTCACGAATAGAGGCTATACCGGAGGGTGGCTGACTGGGCTGCAGAGTTTAAAGTTTGTAAGTGGCTAAAAAAGGGGAGACAATATAATTTGTTGTTGCACCTTCATTAAGAATCTTGCCTTCTCCATTGGTAAATCGGCACCACGTAACAAAACAATACATGTAAATGTAGACCTCGAAATCATGTGACTGACATTGATCTCGAATACTGACTCGTCTTTATGGCGTCAATGTGTCTACAAAGCATACTTTCCAGGTATTTCCCAACGTAGCACAGCCATGTATGGGTGACACAAGGTCAAGGCAGCATGGTTTCTGTTTACATTAATGTGTAATGTGTTGCATTTGTATTTCAACAGGTAAAAAGTTCCATCCAGTATCGGAGACACGGGTAGCCCAGTCGTCTAAGGCGCCGAATTTTTCTGTGCAGTTGCGTCCTTTGGGCAGGCCAGAAACATATGACTGATTTGGAAACCTGGTTCGCCCCGACCAAGTTTCGAGGTTCGTCAGCACCATACCCGTGTTATGGGTTTCACCGAAGTGGTAAACGTCCGAAAAACTGCTTCACAAAAGCTATAACTGGAATACTGTTAACAGCGGCTTTAAACAAAACTCAATCACTCACTCACACACCCACTCACACACTCACACACTCACACACTCACGACTATTCACTTTGCACGTGGATACAGGCATCCACTGTATTTCCTTTTGCCAGTATATCCACGTGGACACCACACGTAGTCATCATAAAACATTTAAGAAGTACCTATGATGAAGGAAAACTGTCTTACCTGATACCAATAGGGCAGGACATGTTTAACCTTTCGGTCAACACCTGCACCTGGCTTTCTGTTTTATGTTAATAACAATAGTATGACCAATTTCGATTTGAGACCAGTTTTAAGAATTAACGGAGGAAATTTCCGGCACACATTCCTTTTCTTCCTGTCATGCACAGCGCATAACACGGCTGTGAATAGCTCTGTAATTTGTACCTGGATCACAAAATAGGTTCATACATTTGTGTTTTACACACTTGTTTGAAGAATGAATAGAAGAAATTCAAACGTTTGCAGGATTATACTATTAAAATACTTGCCGTTGCCTTTTCCAGAGGTCACCATTCTGAACAACCCTCTGCCCACTTCACCTGACGTTGGGGACTTGGCGAATTGGTCTGTGAGGACAAAATACAATAAATACTAAATAATCTCATAATCTTATTAAAACTACATTTCTCACATGCACATGTCATATTCCTGAATCTAGAAAGACAGCTACTACTGTTAATGACCCATAACGTTTCAGATGAGTAAGTCAATAAAACTCAAAAGAAAGATGAGTTGTCTCTCACCCACTCTTAATACAACTTATGATCACTAGCTTTCATTGATAGTAATAAAACTCTATCTCAGTCTGTATCATCACCAAATCTGACACTTGGCGTTGATATGGGATATGATCGTATAAAGTGTGGACCCGTGACACTTGCAATTATTTCAGTTAATTTATTTATTGTTTTGCCTCCGGGATATCGTATAATAATGGTCAATTTGCCAATTCCACTGTTTTACCAGCCTGATCAGGGTGTAGTTAAAAGCAATGGAACCGCCCTGTCGGTTTCATATTTGGATTTATGCATACAGGTTCAAAGTGACTATAATTCTCCACAAGACTGTGAGAAGAAGGATGCCTTCAACTGTCCACAAGTCAACATCTCTTATGTCCAGTGCTATTCCAGCACCTACAGTCTTTGGTGTCTACAGTAAACATTTGTTTAGGTATAAGTCGCTAAGAAGCGACAAAATGAATCGGGTGTTCAGGCTCGGTAATATGGGTGAATGTATGTTATCGAATCCCAATTGCGTGGATTGATGTTCATGATCAATAACTAGATTGTTTGCTCGAGTCTTGACTATTTACAGACCACCGTCGTGAACTGGAATATTGCAGAAAACAACAAACAAACAATACATAATAATCATGTGTTGACTGGTGAATGAAGCTTTTCTCAACGACCCACTTTAACAGGACATGACGATTCACAATGAGACAGGTTAATATGTTTGACCACCCGTTTATTTTGTTTCCAAACTGATATTTGTTCATCAAGATGGAATATTTTCAATGTAAAATGTTACATGAATGTATATAAAATAACAAATCTGTTCATGTCAGTATCATGATTTCAAATAAAGAAATATACACGAGTGGTTTCTTGTATCAAGAAATGGAATTTAAGAAAGTAATCATACATGACAATTACTTTTTTTACATGATATTTTATTAGTTGTATGTATCATGACGACGTTCGCATTAACACACATGCAAATAGTTTCCGTAATTATACATATTTTCCAGGAGAACGTTCTGGAAAATGCACACATATCCGCTGATTGGACTGGAACAGTTTTCTCATTGAAAACTTTTATGTCTTAGAAGCTGTTGTTGCTGAAAATCCGAAAATCGCTCACTTTGGTGGTTTCGGTTCTGAGACTCTTGTCTAAATCATATACATTTGTATGCTATTATGGTTACTAGACCTTAAAGGAAATAGGTAAAATATTCTTTTTAAAGAAAACACTGGTCTGCGGTCCCTTTCACAAGAACTATCAAGTTGAAAGTGGGATACTGCCCTGTCACGTTCTTGTCCTTTATTTGACCAATTATTACGTGATCATTGAGTGGTTTACAGTGGCACAAACCGAGGGCGATTTCCGGCGTGATTTGTGGTTACCGCCATACTATTCTTAACATGGAAGTAGGCCAGGGTAGAAAAAAGGTCACTGCCTCGCTTCCGATTCGGGAATACCAACTTCGCGAGAGTCACGAATAGAGGCTATACCGGAGGGTGGCTGACTGGGCTGCAGAGTTTAAAGTTTGTAAGTGGCTAAAAAAGGGGAGACAATATAATTTGTTGTTGCACCTTCATTAAGAATCTTGCCTTCTCCATTGGTAAATCGGCACCACGTAACAAAACAATACATGTAAATGTAGACCTCGAAATCATGTGACTGACATTGATCTCGAATACTGACTCGTCTTTATGGCGTCAATGTGTCTACAAAGCATACTTTCCAGGTATTTCCCAACGTAGCACAGCCATGTATGGGTGACACAAGGTCAAGGCAGCATGGTTTCTGTTTACATTAATGTGTAATGTGTTGCATTTGTATTTCAACAGGTAAAAAGTTCCATCCAGTATCGGAGACACGGGTAGCCCAGTCGTCTAAGGCGCCGAATTTTTCTGTGCAGTTGCGTCCTTTGGGCAGGCCAGAAACATATGACTGATTTGGAAACCTGGTTCGCCCCGACCAAGTTTCGAGGTTCGTCAGCACCATACCCGTGTTATGGGTTTCACCGAAGTGGTAAACGTCCGAAAAACTGCTTCACAAAAGCTATAACTGGAATACTGTTAACAGCGGCTTTAAACAAAACTCAATCACTCACTCACACACCCACTCACACACTCACACACTCACGACTATTCACTTTGCACGTGGATACAGGCATCCACTGTATTTCCTTTTGCCAGTATATCCACGTGGACACCACACGTAGTCATCATAAAACATTTAAGAAGTACCTATGATGAAGGAAAACTGTCTTAACTGATACCAATAGGGCAGGACATGTTTAACCTTTCGGTCAACACCTGCACCTGGCTTTCTGTTTTATGTTAATAACAATAGTATGACCAATTTCGATTTGAGACCAGTTTTAAGAATTAACGGAGGAAATTTCCGGCACACATTCCTTTTCTTCCTGTCATGCACAGCGCATAACACGGCTGTGAATAGCTCTGTAATTTGTACCTGGATCACAAAATAGGTTCATACATTTGTGTTTTACACACTAGTTTGAAGAATGAATAGAAGAAATTCAAACGTTTGCAGGATTATACTATTAAAATACTTGCCGTTGCCTTTTCCAGAGGTCACCATTCTGAACAACCCTCTGCCCACTTCACCTGACGTTGGGGACTTGGCGAATTGGTCTGTGAGGACAAAATACAATAAATACTAAATAATCTCATAATCTTATTAAAACTACATTTCTCACATGCACATGTCATATTCCTGAATCTAGAAAGACAGCTACTACTGTTAATGACCCATAACGTTTCAGATGAGTAAGTCAATAAAACTCAAAAGAAAGATGAGTTGTCTCTCACCCACTCTTAATACAACTTATGATCACTAGCTTTCATTGATAGTAATAAAACTCTATCTCAGTCTGTATCATCACCAAATCTGACACTTGGCGTTGATATGGGATATGATCGTATAAAGTGTGGACCCGTGACACTTGCAATTATTTCAGTTAATTTATTTATTGTTTTGCCTCCGGGATATCGTATAATAATGGTCAATTTGCCAATTCCACTGTTTTACCAGCCTGATCAGGGTGTAGTTAAAAGCAATGGAACCGCCCTGTCGGTTTCATATTTGGATTTATGCATACAGGTTCAAAGTGACTATAATTCTCCACAAGACTGTGAGAAGAAGGATGCCTTCAACTGTCCACAAGTCAACATCTCTTATGTCCAGTGCTATTCCAGCACCTACAGTCTTTGGTGTCTACAGTAAACATTTGTTTAGGTATAAGTCGCTAAGAAGCGACAAAATGAATCGGGTGTTCAGGCTCGGTAATATGGGTGAATGTATGTTATCGAATCCCAATTGCGTGGATTGATGTTCATGATCAATAACTAGATTGTCTGCTCGAGTCTTGACTATTTACAGACCACCGTCGTGAACTGGAATATTGCAGAAAACAACAAACAAACAATACATAATAATCATGTGTTGACTGGTGAATGAAGCTTTTCTCAACGACCCACTTTAACAGGACACGACGATTCACAATGAGACAGGTTAATATGTTTGACCACCCGTTTATTTTGTTTCCAAACTGATATTTGTTCATCAAGATGGAATATTTTCAATGTAAAATGTTACATGAATGTATATAAAATAACAAATCTGTTCATGTCAGTATCATGATTTCAAATAAAGAAATATACACGAGTGGTTTCTTGTATCAAGAAATGGAATTTAAGAAAGTAATCATACATGACAATTACTTTTTTTACATGATATTTTATTAGTTGTATGTATCATGACGACGTTCGCATTAACACACATGCAAATAGTTTCCGTAATTATACATATTTTCCAGGAGAACGTTCTGGAAAATGCACACATATCCGCTGATTGGACTGGAACAGTTTTCTCATTGAAAACTTTTATGTCTTAGAAGCTGTTGTTGCTGAAAATCCGAAAACCGCTCACTTTGGTGGTTTCGGTTCTGAGACTCTTGTCTAAATCATATACATTTGTATGCTATTATGGTTACTAGACCTTAAAGGAAATAGGTAAAATATTCTTTTTAAAGAAAACACTGGTCTGCGGTCCCTATCACAAGAACTATCAAGTTGAAAGTGGGATACTGCCCTGTCACGTTCTTGTCCTTTATTTGACCAATTATTACGTGATCATTGAGTGGTTTACAGTGGCACAAACCGAGGGCGATTTCCGGCGTGATTTGTGGTTACCGCCATACTATTCTTAACATGGAAGTAGGCCAGGGTAGAAAATAGGTCACTGCCTCGCTTCCGATTCGGGAATACCAACTTCGCGAGAGTCACGAATAGAGGCTATACCGGAGGGTGGCTGACTGGGCTGCAGAGTTTAAAGTTTGTAAGTGGCTAAAAAAGGGGAGACAATATAATTTGTTGTTGCACCTTCATTAAGAATCTTGCCTTCTCCATTGGTAAATCGGCACCACGTAACAAAACAATACATGTAAATGTAGACCTCGAAATCATGTGACTGACATTGATCTCGAATACTGACTCGTCTTTATGGCGTCAATGTGTCTACAAAGCATACTTTCCAGGTATTTCCCAACGTAGCACAGCCATGTATGGGTGACACAAGGTCAAGGCAGCATGGTTTCTGTTTACATTAATGTGTAATGTGTTGCATTTGTATTTCAACAGGTAAAAAGTTCCATCCAGTATCGGAGACACGGGTAGCCCAGTCGTCTAAGGCGCCGAATTTTTCTGTGCAGTTGCGTCCTTTGGGCAGGCCAGAAACATATGACTGATTTGGAAACCTGGTTCGCCCCGACCAAGTTTCGAGGTTCGTCAGCACCATACCCGTGTTATGGGTTTCACCGAAGTGGTAAACGTCCGAAAAACTGCTTCACAAAAGCTATAACTGGAATACTGTTAACAGCGGCTTTAAACAAAACTCAATCACTCACTCACACACCCACTCACACACTCACACACTCACGACTATTCACTTTGCACGTGGATACAGGCATCCACTGTATTTCCTTTTGCCAGTATATCCACGTGGACACCACACGTAGTCATCATAAAACATTTAAGAAGTACCTATGATGAAGGAAAACTGTCTTAACTGATACCAATAGGGCAGGACATGTTTAACCTTTCGGTCAACACCTGCACCTGGCTTTCTGTTTTATGTTAATAACAATAGTATGACCAATTTCGATTTGAGACCAGTTTTAAGAATTAACGGAGGAAATTTCCGGCACACATTCCTTTTCTTCCTGTCATGCACAGCGCATAACACGGCTGTGAATAGCTCTGTAATTTGTACCTGGATCACAAAATAGGTTCATACATTTGTGTTTTACACACTAGTTTGAAGAATGAATAGAAGAAATTCAAACGTTTGCAGGATTATACTATTAAAATACTTGCCGTTGCCTTTTCCAGAGGTCACCATTCTGAACAACCCTCTGCCCACTTCACCTGACGTTGGGGACTTGGCGAATTGGTCTGTGAGGACAAAATACAATAAATACTAAATAATCTCATAATCTTATTAAAACTACATTTCTCACATGCACATGTCATATTCCTGAATCTAGAAAGACAGCTACTACTGTTAATGACCCATAACGTTTCAGATGAGTAAGTCAATAAAACTCAAAAGAAAGATGAGTTGTCTCTCACCCACTCTTAATACAACTTATGATCACTAGCTTTCATTGATAGTAATAAAACTCTATCTCAGTCTGTATCATCACCAAATCTGACACTTGGCGTTGATATGGGATATGATCGTATAAAGTGTGGACCCGTGACACTTGCAATTATTTCAGTTAATTTATTTATTGTTTTGCCTCCGGGATATCGTATAATAATGGTCAATTTGCCAATTCCACTGTTTTACCAGCCTGATCAGGGTGTAGTTAAAAGCAATGGAACCGCCCTGTCGGTTTCATATTTGGATTTATGCATACAGGTTCAAAGTGACTATAATTCTCCACAAGACTGTGAGAAGAAGGATGCCTTCAACTGTCCACAAGTCAACATCTCTTATGTCCAGTGCTATTCCAGCACCTACAGTCTTTGGTGTCTACAGTAAACATTTGTTTAGGTATAAGTCGCTAAGAAGCGACAAAATGAATCGGGTGTTCAGGCTCGGTAATATGGGTGAATGTATGTTATCGAATCCCAATTGCGTGGATTGATGTTCATGATCAATAACTAGATTGTCTGCTCGAGTCTTGACTATTTACAGACCACCGTCGTGAACTGGAATATTGCAGAAAACAACAAACAAACAATACATAATAATCATGTGTTGACTGGTGAATGAAGCTTTTCTCAACGACCCACTTTAACAGGACACGACGATTCACAATGAGACAGGTTAATATGTTTGACCACCCGTTTATTTTGTTTCCAAACTGATATTTGTTCATCAAGATGGAATATTTTCAATGTAAAATGTTACATGAATGTATATAAAATAACAAATCTGTTCATGTCAGTATCATGATTTCAAATAAAGAAATATACACGAGTGGTTTCTTGTATCAAGAAATGGAATTTAAGAAAGTAATCATACATGACAATTACTTTTTTTACATGATATTTTATTAGTTGTATGTATCATGACGACGTTCGCATTAACACACATGCAAATAGTTTCCGTAATTATACATATTTTCCAGGAGAACGTTCTGGAAAATGCACACATATCCGCTGATTGGACTGGAACAGTTTTCTCATTGAAAACTTTTATGTCTTAGAAGCTGTTGTTGCTGAAAATCCGAAAACCGCTCACTTTGGTGGTTTCGGTTCTGAGACTCTTGTCTAAATCATATACATTTGTATGCTATTATGGTTACTAGACCTTAAAGGAAATAGGTAAAATATTCTTTTTAAAGAAAACACTGGTCTGCGGTCCCTATCACAAGAACTATCAAGTTGAAAGTGGGATACTGCCCTGTCACGTTCTTGTCCTTTATTTGACCAATTATTACGTGATCATTGAGTGGTTTACAGTGGCACAAACCGAGGGCGATTTCCGGCGTGATTTGTGGTTACCGCCATACTATTCTTAACATGGAAGTAGGCCAGGGTAGAAAATAGGTCACTGCCTCGCTTCCGATTCGGGAATACCAACTTCGCGAGAGTCACGAATAGAGGCTATACCGGAGGGTGGCTGACTGGGCTGCAGAGTTTAAAGTTTGTAAGTGGCTAAAAAAGGGGAGACAATATAATTTGTTGTTGCACCTTCATTAAGAATCTTGCCTTCTCCATTGGTAAATCGGCACCACGTAACAAAACAATACATGTAAATGTAGACCTCGAAATCATGTGACTGACATTGATCTCGAATACTGACTCGTCTTTATGGCGTCAATGTGTCTACAAAGCATACTTTCCAGGTATTTCCCAACGTAGCACAGCCATGTATGGGTGACACAAGGTCAAGGCAGCATGGTTTCTGTTTACATTAATGTGTAATGTGTTGCATTTGTATTTCAACAGGTAAAAAGTTCCATCCAGTATCGGAGACACGGGTAGCCCAGTCGTCTAAGGCGCCGAATTTTTCTGTGCAGTTGCGTCCTTTGGGCAGGCCAGAAACATATGACTGATTTGGAAACCTGGTTCGCCCCGACCAAGTTTCGAGGTTCGTCAGCACCATACCCGTGTTATGGGTTTCACCGAAGTGGTAAACGTCCGAAAAACTGCTTCACAAAAGCTATAACTGGAATACTGTTAACAGCGGCTTTAAACAAAACTCAATCACTCACTCACACACCCACTCACACACTCACACACTCACGACTATTCACTTTGCACGTGGATACAGGCATCCACTGTATTTCCTTTTGCCAGTATATCCACGTGGACACCACACGTAGTCATCATAAAACATTTAAGAAGTACCTATGATGAAGGAAAACTGTCTTAACTGATACCAATAGGGCAGGACATGTTTAACCTTTCGGTCAACACCTGCACCTGGCTTTCTGTTTTATGTTAATAACAATAGTATGACCAATTTCGATTTGAGACCAGTTTTAAGAATTAACGGAGGAAATTTCCGGCACACATTCCTTTTCTTCCTGTCATGCACAGCGCATAACACGGCTGTGAATAGCTCTGTAATTTGTACCTGGATCACAAAATAGGTTCATACATTTGTGTTTTACACACTAGTTTGAAGAATGAATAGAAGAAATTCAAACGTTTGCAGGATTATACTATTAAAATACTTGCCGTTGCCTTTTCCAGAGGTCACCATTCTGAACAACCCTCTGCCCACTTCACCTGACGTTGGGGACTTGGCGAATTGGTCTGTGAGGACAAAATACAATAAATACTAAATAATCTCATAATCTTATTAAAACTACATTTCTCACATGCACATGTCATATTCCTGAATCTAGAAAGACAGCTACTACTGTTAATGACCCATAACGTTTCAGATGAGTAAGTCAATAAAACTCAAAAGAAAGATGAGTTGTCTCTCACCCACTCTTAATACAACTTATGATCACTAGCTTTCATTGATAGTAATAAAACTCTATCTCAGTCTGTATCATCACCAAATCTGACACTTGGCGTTGATATGGGATATGATCGTATAAAGTGTGGACCCGTGACACTTGCAATTATTTCAGTTAATTTATTTATTGTTTTGCCTCCGGGATATCGTATAATAATGGTCAATTTGCCAATTCCACTGTTTTACCAGCCTGATCAGGGTGTAGTTAAAAGCAATGGAACCGCCCTGTCGGTTTCATATTTGGATTTATGCATACAGGTTCAAAGTGACTATAATTCTCCACAAGACTGTGAGAAGAAGGATGCCTTCAACTGTCCACAAGTCAACATCTCTTATGTCCAGTGCTATTCCAGCACCTACAGTCTTTGGTGTCTACAGTAAACATTTGTTTAGGTATAAGTCGCTAAGAAGCGACAAAATGAATCGGGTGTTCAGGCTCGGTAATATGGGTGAATGTATGTTATCGAATCCCAATTGCGTGGATTGATGTTCATGATCAATAACTAGATTGTCTGCTCGAGTCTTGACTATTTACAGACCACCGTCGTGAACTGGAATATTGCAGAAAACAACAAACAAACAATACATAATAATCATGTGTTGACTGGTGAATGAAGCTTTTCTCAACGACCCACTTTAACAGGACACGACGATTCACAATGAGACAGGTTAATATGTTTGACCACCCGTTTATTTTGTTTCCAAACTGATATTTGTTCATCAAGATGGAATATTTTCAATGTAAAATGTTACATGAATGTATATAAAATAACAAATCTGTTCATGTCAGTATCATGATTTCAAATAAAGAAATATACACGAGTGGTTTCTTGTATCAAGAAATGGAATTTAAGAAAGTAATCATACATGACAATTACTTTTTTTACATGATATTTTATTAGTTGTATGTATCATGACGACGTTCGCATTAACACACATGCAAATAGTTTCCGTAATTATACATATTTTCCAGGAGAACGTTCTGGAAAATGCACACATATCCGCTGATTGGACTGGAACAGTTTTCTCATTGAAAACTTTTATGTCTTAGAAGCTGTTGTTGCTGAAAATCCGAAAACCGCTCACTTTGGTGGTTTCGGTTCTGAGACTCTTGTCTAAATCATATACATTTGTATGCTATTATGGTTACTAGACCTTAAAGGAAATAGGTAAAATATTCTTTTTAAAGAAAACACTGGTCTGCGGTCCCTATCACAAGAACTATCAAGTTGAAAGTGGGATACTGCCCTGTCACGTTCTTGTCCTTTATTTGACCAATTATTACGTGATCATTGAGTGGTTTACAGTGGCACAAACCGAGGGCGATTTCCGGCGTGATTTGTGGTTACCGCCATACTATTCTTAACATGGAAGTAGGCCAGGGTAGAAAATAGGTCACTGCCTCGCTTCCGATTCGGGAATACCAACTTCGCGAGAGTCACGAATAGAGGCTATACCGGAGGGTGGCTGACTGGGCTGCAGAGTTTAAAGTTTGTAAGTGGCTAAAAAAGGGGAGACAATATAATTTGTTGTTGCACCTTCATTAAGAATCTTGCCTTCTCCATTGGTAAATCGGCACCACGTAACAAAACAATACATGTAAATGTAGACCTCGAAATCATGTGACTGACATTGATCTCGAATACTGACTCGTCTTTATGGCGTCAATGTGTCTACAAAGCATACTTTCCAGGTATTTCCCAACGTAGCACAGCCATGTATGGGTGACACAAGGTCAAGGCAGCATGGTTTCTGTTTACATTAATGTGTAATGTGTTGCATTTGTATTTCAACAGGTAAAAAGTTCCATCCAGTATCGGAGACACGGGTAGCCCAGTCGTCTAAGGCGCCGAATTTTTCTGTGCAGTTGCGTCCTTTGGGCAGGCCAGAAACATATGACTGATTTGGAAACCTGGTTCGCCCCGACCAAGTTTCGAGGTTCGTCAGCACCATACCCGTGTTATGGGTTTCACCGAAGTGGTAAACGTCCGAAAAACTGCTTCACAAAAGCTATAACTGGAATACTGTTAACAGCGGCTTTAAACAAAACTCAATCACTCACTCACACACCCACTCACACACTCACACACTCACGACTATTCACTTTGCACGTGGATACAGGCATCCACTGTATTTCCTTTTGCCAGTATATCCACGTGGACACCACACGTAGTCATCATAAAACATTTAAGAAGTACCTATGATGAAGGAAAACTGTCTTAACTGATACCAATAGGGCAGGACATGTTTAACCTTTCGGTCAACACCTGCACCTGGCTTTCTGTTTTATGTTAATAACAATAGTATGACCAATTTCGATTTGAGACCAGTTTTAAGAATTAACGGAGGAAATTTCCGGCACACATTCCTTTTCTTCCTGTCATGCACAGCGCATAACACGGCTGTGAATAGCTCTGTAATTTGTACCTGGATCACAAAATAGGTTCATACATTTGTGTTTTACACACTAGTTTGAAGAATGAATAGAAGAAATTCAAACGTTTGCAGGATTATACTATTAAAATACTTGCCGTTGCCTTTTCCAGAGGTCACCATTCTGAACAACCCTCTGCCCACTTCACCTGACGTTGGGGACTTGGCGAATTGGTCTGTGAGGACAAAATACAATAAATACTAAATAATCTCATAATCTTATTAAAACTACATTTCTCACATGCACATGTCATATTCCTGAATCTAGAAAGACAGCTACTACTGTTAATGACCCATAACGTTTCAGATGAGTAAGTCAATAAAACTCAAAAGAAAGATGAGTTGTCTCTCACCCACTCTTAATACAACTTATGATCACTAGCTTTCATTGATAGTAATAAAACTCTATCTCAGTCTGTATCATCACCAAATCTGACACTTGGCGTTGATATGGGATATGATCGTATAAAGTGTGGACCCGTGACACTTGCAATTATTTCAGTTAATTTATTTATTGTTTTGCCTCCGGGATATCGTATAATAATGGTCAATTTGCCAATTCCACTGTTTTACCAGCCTGATCAGGGTGTAGTTAAAAGCAATGGAACCGCCCTGTCGGTTTCATATTTGGATTTATGCATACAGGTTCAAAGTGACTATAATTCTCCACAAGACTGTGAGAAGAAGGATGCCTTCAACTGTCCACAAGTCAACATCTCTTATGTCCAGTGCTATTCCAGCACCTACAGTCTTTGGTGTCTACAGTAAACATTTGTTTAGGTATAAGTCGCTAAGAAGCGACAAAATGAATCGGGTGTTCAGGCTCGGTAATATGGGTGAATGTATGTTATCGAATCCCAATTGCGTGGATTGATGTTCATGATCAATCACTGGATTGTCTGGTCGAGTCTTGACTATTTACAGACCACCGTCATGAACTGGAATATTGCAGAAAACAACAAACAAACAATACATAAATGATAATGTGTTGACTTGTAACTGAAACTTTTATCAACAACCAACATTAACAGGACACGATGATGCACAATGATACAGGTTAACGTGTTTGACCACCCGTTCCAAATAGGTCGGTACTCTTTAAAGACCAGACATCAAGAGATATAGAATCAGTGTATTTACGTCAATATCATAGCAAACATGCAACCTACTTTTTCTTTTCTGTAATGGTTGGCGGGATGATGCGTTTTCGTGATGAGGAGTTTCGGACTCTCCGCCACCTGTAACATACACAGACAATAACATAGACTCATACATGTGTGATTTAGTGAGTGAGTGTGCTTTATAGCGGCCTTTTAACAATAGTATGACCAATTTGGAAATCAGACCAGTTTGTAGAATTAACTGGGGGAATTTTGAGCGCACAATTCCCTTTCTTCCTGTCATGCACAGCGCATGACACGGCTCTGAATATCTTTGTAATTTGCACCTGGATCACAAAATAGGTTCATACATTTGTGTTTTACACACCAGTTTGAAGAATGAATGGAAAAAATTTAAACGTTTAGAATAATACTATTAAAATACTTGCCGTTGTCTTTTCGAGAGGTCATCTTTCTGAACAACACTTTGCTGTTTCTACCTGACGTTTGGGACTTGAAGAATTGGTCTGTGAAGACAAAATACAACGAATACTAAATAATCTGATAATCTTATTAAAACTACATTTCTCATATGCACATGTCATATTCCTGAATCTACTACTACTACAACAGCTACTACTGTTAATGACCCATAACGTTTTTAGATAAGTAAGTCAATAAATCTCCATAAAGAACATGTGTTGTCTCTCACCCTCTCTTAATGCAATTTATGATCACTGCCTTTCATGGAAAGTAATAAAAATCTATTTCAGTCTTTTTGATCACCAAATCTGACACATGGCGTTGATATGGGATATGATCGTATATAGTGTGGACCCGACATGTGACACTTGCAATTATTTTAGTTAATTTGTTTGGCTTAATACATACTTCCCCTTGACGACATGACAGTAACAGTCAGCATCTGTTCCCTAGAAGACATGGGTGTTTCACTACTTGTTATAGCACAGCATCGTAATAACTGACCTTGTAACTGTTTGATTGGTATTCTAGAAGTTGTTGAATAAGAAAGAAAACGTACAACTCTAAGGATAGCAACTTCTGGTTTATTGCATACAGCGACGTTTCCATGTCGACTCTTACAGCGTTATCAGGGTTGTACGTTTTCTTAATTGACCTTGTGTTCATTGAATCAATAAATATATAATATTTACTTCTTTTCTTCCGGATTTGCAAAATCTATAATTATAGCCTTTATACAAACATAAACAGTGCCAATGTTCCCTGTATGAAATACACTTTGCACATTTGCATATCGGCAACGTACTTTGCATACGATTTGTCTATATTTTAATAGAACCTAACATTCGTGAAACCAGTTGAGAAAATAATAGACCTCAATTTTGTCCTTTTTACAGTGCGTCCATAATATAGATAGATATAGATATACAGATAAAATACAAACGTCCAAAGATGAGCTTTGGTTAATGAATTGCATTGACTACTAAGTCAGCTTCATGTATATATGGACACATAACAGAGAATTGTATATACTAATCAGCCTATCAGTACGTATTTCATTGCATTATAGTTGTATTTATATATATGTATGTACATCTTGAAATGGAATTGCACTGACTGGTCAGAGAGCTACTTTTTATGTATGGACAAGGTAACATAGAATTGTATCGAAAGGCAGATGATTGTAGAAGCACTGTTTGTTCAAATTACGAATTACAACATGCTTGGACGATGACGTAATACCTTGTTATATAACAATATCACTTTCTACAACTATTTCTCTGACGGCTTTACTTATGTCCGTCTTGATAGGCTAGAGAAGTTAAACAGCCTCATAGAGACTGATATTCCACTATGCATATTCGTTGTGCGAAGAGAACGGGCTTACATTGGTTTAAGGATTTTATGCATAAGGTTACTACAAATACAATGCTTCCTGTTCGCTTTCCCAGATTTCCTTTTCATGACAAAAGCTAGGTTAGACGGGAAGGATATTTTTGTATGGAATAAATTAAACTGAATTATAAGTAATAATATGATCAAATTAAAACTACATTGATGTCATGCTCACACCATATTCCTTAATCTAGAACGATGGTAACTACGAATCAATAGCATGTGAAATTTGAACAGAACAAAACCAATTTCAATTCTCTCAGAACATTTGATTTTATAAGTTTGTACACCACTATCACACACAACAAACGTCATTTCTTTGTAATGGAGCATTCATCCTTGAACTGGGGCGGTCGGGTAGCCTAGTGGTTTAAGCGTTCGCTCGTCACGCCAAAGACCCGGGTTCGATTCCCGACATGGGCACATTGTGTGAAGCCCATTTCTGGTGTCCCCCGCCGTGATATTGCTGGAATATTGCTAAAAGCGGCGTAAAACCAAACTCACTCACTCATCACTGAACTGTATATATATATTGATAGAAACACCTCTATTCTTTACGATTTATGACAATTTGTAAATCAAATGTCATCTGGATTTTACTGAGAATGCTGGACATAAAGGCAAGAAGTAGGCATCCCCATGAGCAGCAGCTATCCATCCACACTTGATCATCAGTGTATTTCCCATATGAATCGGAATTCCTGCTCGGACTGGTAAAACCAAAACACGGTAATTTGGCCACGAAGTTTACCTTATGCTTCAGGGATATCGTTTAATAATGGTCAATTTCCCAATTCCACTGTTTTACCAGCCCAAACAAGGAGTAATTAAAAGCAACGAAACCGCCCTGTCTGTTTCATATTTGGATCTATGCACACAGGTTCAAAGTGACTATAATTCTCCACAAGACTGTGAGAAGAGGGATGCCTTCAACATCCACAAGTCAACATCTCTTATGTACAGTGCTATTCCAGCACCTACAGTCTTTGGTGTCTACAGTAAACATTTGTTTAGGTATAAGTCGCTAAGAAGCGACAAAATGAATCGAATCTCAATTGCGTGGATTGATGTTCATGATAAATAACTGAATTGTCTGCTCGAGTCTTGACTATTAACAGACCACCGTCTTGAACTGGAATATTGCAGAAACAACAAACAAACAATACATAAATAATCATGTGTTGACTGGTGAATGAAACTTTTCTCAACGACCCACATTAACAGGACACGATGATGCACAATGAGACAGGTTAACGTGTTTGACCACCCGTTCCAAATAGGTCGGTACTCTTTAAAGACCAGACATCAAGAGATGTGGAATCAGTGTATGTACGTCAATATCATAGCAAACATTCAACCTACTTTTCCATTTCTGTAATTGTTGGCGGGATGATTCGTTTTCGTGATGAGGAGTTTCGGACTCTCTGCCACCTGTAACATACACAGACAATAACAAGGACTCATACATGTGTGATTTAGTGAGTGAGTGTGGTTTATAGCAGCCTTTTAACAATAGTATGACCAATTTTGAAATCAGACCAGTTTGAAGAATTAACTGGGGGAATTTTGAGCGCACGATTTCTTTTCTTCCTGTCATGCACAGCGCATGACGCGGCTCTAAATATCTTTGTAATTTGCACCTGGATCAGACAATGGGTTCATACATTTGTGTTTTACACACAGTTTGAAGAATGAATGGAAGAAATTTAAACGTTTAGAATAGTACTTTTAAAATACTTGCCGTTGCCTTTTCGAGAGGTCATCTTTCTGAACAACACTCTGCTGTTTCTACCTGACGTTGGGGACTTGACGAATTGGTCTGTGAGGACAAAATACAACGAATACTAAATAATCTGATAATCTTATCAAAAATACATTTCTCACATGCAAATGTCACATTCCTGAATCTACTACTACTACGACAGCTACTACTGTTAATGACCCATAACGTTTTTAGAAAAGTAAGTAAATAAATCTCGATAAAGAACTTGTGTTTTCTCTCAGCCTCTCTAAATGCAACTTATAATCACTACTTTTCATTAATAGTAATGAAAATCAATCTTAGTCTATTTCATCACCAAATCTGACACATGGCGTTGATATGGGATATGATCGTATATACTTGGACCCGACATGTGACATTTGCAATTATTTCAGTTAATTTGTTTGGCTTAATACATACTTCCCCTTGACGACATGACAGTAACAGTCAGCATCTGTTCCCTAGAGGACATGGGTGTTTCACTACTTGTTATAGCACAGCATCGTAATAACTGACCTTGTAACTGTTTGATTGGCATTCTAGAAGTTTGTGAATAAGAAAGAAAACGTACAAAACTTTGGATAGCAACTTCTGGTTTATTGCATACAGCGACGTTTCCATGTAGACTCTTACACCATTATCAAGGTTGTACGTTTTCTGAATTGACCTTGTATTCATTGTATCAATAAATATATAATATTTACTTCTTTTCTTCCGGATTTGCAAAATCTTTAATTACAGCCTTTATACAAACATAAACAGTGCCAATGTTCCCTAAATGAAATTCACTTACATAATAATACATAAATAATCATGAGTTGACTTGTGAATGAAACTTTTCTCAACGACCCACATTAACAGGATACGATGATGCACAATGAGACAGGTTAACGAGTTTGACCACCCGTTCCAAATAGGTCAGTACCCTTTAAAGTCCAGACATCAAGAGATATGGAATCAGTGTTTTTACGTCAATATCATAGCAAACATGCAACCTACTTTTCCGTGTTCGTAATGATTGGGGGGATGTTGCGTTTTCGTGATGAGGAGTTTCGGACTCTCCGCCTCCTGTAAAATACACAGACAATAACATAGACTCATACATGTGTGATTTAGTGAGTGAGTGTGGTTTATAGCGGCCTTTTAACAATAGTATTACCAATTTGGAAACGAGACCAGTTTGTAGAATTAACTGGGGGAATTTTGAGCGCACAATTCCTTTCCTTCCTGTCATGCACAGCGCATAACACGGCTCTGAATATCTTTGTAATTTGCACCTGGATCACGAAATAGGATCATGCATTTGTGTTTTACACACCAGTTTGAAGAATGAATGGAAGAAATTTAAACGTTTAGAATAGTACTTTTAAAATACTTGCCGTTGCCTTTTCGAGAGGTCATCATTCTGAACAACACTCTGCTATTTCTACCTAACGTTTGGGAATTGACAAATTGGTCTGTGAGGACAAAATACAACGAATACTAAATAATCTGATAATCTTATTAAAACTACATTTCTCACATGCACATGTCATATTCCTGAATCTGCTACTACTACAACAGCTACTACTGTTAATGACCCATAACGTTTTTAGATAAGTAAGTCAATAAATCTCCATAAAAAGCATGTGTTGTCACTCACCCTCTCTTAATGCAATTTATGATCACTGCCTTTCATTGAAAGTAATAAAAATCTGTTTCAGTCTAATTCATCACCAAATCTGACACACGGCGTTGATATGGGATATGATCGTATATAGTGTGGACCCGACATGTGACATTTGCAATTATTTCACTACTTGCTATAGCACAGCATCGTAATAACTGACCTTGTAACTGTTTGATTGGCATTCTAGAAGTTGATGAATAAGAAAGAAAACGTACAACTCTATGGATAGCAACTTCTGGTTTATTATATACAGCGACGTTTCCATGTAGACTCTCACACCATTATCAAGGTCGTACGTTTTCTAAATTGACCTTGTGTTCATTGTATCAATAAATATAAAATATTTTCTTCTTTTTTTTCCGAAATTGCAAAAGCTATAATTACAGCCTTCATACAAACATAAACAGTGACAATGGTCCCTATATTAAAGGTACTTTGCCAATGCATTTCGGCAACGTACTTTGCATACGATTTGTCTATATTTGAATATAACAAAATATTAGACCTCAACTTTGTACTTTTGTACAGCGCGTCCATAATATATACAGATATAGATATATAGATAAATTACAAAAGTCCAAAGATGAGCTTTGGCAATTGAATCGCATTGACTACTCAGGCAGCTTCATGTATATATGGACACATAACAGAGAATTGTATATACTAATAAGCCTATCAGTACGTATTTCATTGCATTATAAGATGCTGTCTGAACATCTTGAAATGGAATTGCACTGACTGATCAAGATCTACTTTTTTATGTATGGACAAGGACAGTTGAGAAAATAATAGTCCTCAACTTTGCAAACTGTGTGTGTGTGGTGTGTGTGTGTGTGTGTGTGTGTGTGTGTGTGTGTGTGTGTGTGTGTGTGTGTGTGTGTGTGTGTGTGTGTGTGTGTGTGTGTGTGTGTGTGTGTCTTAAAATGGAATTGCACTGACTGATCAGAGAGCTTCTTCTTATGTATGGACAAGTTAAGATAGAATTGTATTGAAAGGCAGATGATTGTAGAAGCACTGTTTATTTCAAATAACGAATTACAACCTGCTTGGATGATGTTGTAATATCTTGTTATATAACAATATCACTTTCTACAATTATTTCTCTGACGGCTTTACTTATGTCTTGATAGGCTAGAGTAGTTGAAACAGCCACATAGAGACTGATATACCAATTTGCATATTCGTTGTGCGAAGAGAACGGGCTTACATTTGTTGCAGGATTTCATGCATAAGTCTGCTAATGTTAACACCATTCACATCCCTGCCTGTACAAATATCGTGCACATTCACTGCAATTTGCATCACAATAACAATGACTTGAAACTATGTCAAAGTTAAACACCAACCACACGTTGCAGGTTACTACTAATACAATACTTACTCTTGGTTTTTCCAGGTTTCCCTTTGTTGAGAGAAGCTTGGTTAGACGGGAAGGATATCTCTGTATGGAATAAAATAAACTGAATAATATGTGATCATATGATCAAATTAAAACTACATTTTTCCCATCACTTGGTATATACAACAGGTGAAAATTAAGATTAAGTCACTACCTTGCTTGCTTTGTTTCTCAGCTTCATGGGAAACGGCGTCTTCAACTTCCTGCACTGTAACATATAGTTGGTGCACATTCACATGAACAAGAGCAACAGGAAAATGATATATGCATTACCATGTACATGCCATACAGAAGGATATGATACATTTGATCCTACTTCACAATGTCCGAAACGATTGCGGTGAGTGAGTGAACATTGTTTAACGTCAGGGTTCTCAGAGTAATCGAGTCTGGACCAGGCAAACAAGTGTCCATTAGCATGAATAACAGCCAAGTCACGGAATATGATAATCCGATATATTTAGTTGCATCTTAGGACAAGCGGAGATACGGGAGTCCCGGTCGACTGAGGCGCCGCAATTTGCTGAACAGAGGCCATGGCGTCCTTTGGGCTCGCCAGAAACCAATGATTTTGGTTCGAATCCTGGTTTGCCCCGATTATGTTTCTAAGCTTGTCAACACAATACCCGTGCACGTGTGTTTCAACGAAATGGGGAACGTCTGAGTCCTGCAACACTTCCTCCAATAATACGCTGACACGCCGTGATGTAACTGGAATGCTGTTCAAACCGGCAACTAACTCACTCACTTACGACAACCATAAGTTACTAAGGACCAATTCTATACTCTCTGAATCTGACCTGAAAAATATAAATAGTGAATATATACAATGCAATCTATCATTAATCTGATAAATCAAACAGAGATATCAAATTACAAAACACAACTCAAGGCATCATGTACATATATATGAAATAATAAGAAACAAATCTTACGTTTGTTGAGAAGGTTTTTGTTTGATTTCTCCAATCCATCCAACTTGTGCATGACATCTTTCCTCATGTCTTTAAAATACCTTTCAAGGTCTGTAATACCAAGGAACAATGGCATGTGTCAGGTGTATAAAAGCAAGAATAAGTTTGGTAACGACTATATATCGGATGGTGAGGGAACCTTCGGCTGGACACACTGTAAAACCTGCTGTGGCAAGGGCGGACTCGTGAAGATCCGGGGTAGAATAGGTCTTCAGCAACCCATGTTTGCCGTGAAAGGCGACTATGCTTGTCGTAAGAGGCGACTAACGGGATCGGGTGGTCAGGCTCACTGGATTGTCTAGTCCAGACTCGATTATTTACAGACCGCAGTCGTCTAGCTGGAATATTGCTCAGTGCGGCGTAAAACAACAAACCAACCAACTAATCCAGTCGGACGCGCTGACACTTAAACGAGTGGTGAGGGCGTGTCCTGTCGGACGTGCTATGGGCCCCTCGACTGAGAAGACTGGATGTCAAGCCTACGAGTTGGAATGAATGTTCAAGCGTTATCCAATTTTTGAGGGGTAAGGAAACGTTCGGGCGGACGATATCTCACATAACTTTTCCTTTTTTTACACTTTTCCTTATTTTTTATCACAATAATTAGCAAGTTATTAGTTAAACTAGCAATGGTGCAGCCACATGGTAACGGTAACAATATACGTTTATATAAATCCTGGCAGTTACAATTTAGCTATTTGTCATAGACCTCAATACAATTATAAAGTCACATAAATCAGATTGACTCCGCTTGTTGACCGGTTGTTGACCAATGAAACCGCTTCATTTGTTCAACTCTTGCCCAAAAGTTATTTATCAGGGTTACAACATTCAAAGCCTTAGTAAAGCTTTCAAAACAGTTTTATGGTAGACACGTGGAGGATATTTGACGCTTCAGTGAACAATGCAATTCCCTATTTGACTTGTGCCAAATGTCACCGTGTTTGTTCAGGTGAACACTTGACTTACCATTTTATGTGTAAAACAGGATTTCTGGATATGGAAAGGTTTTTTGATAGTTTTATGGTATCCCATCTTGCACTATCCTTATCTCCATTATTATTTTTACATATACTTCGGACAGTTGGCTTTCATAACTTTGTGCAAGGTAGACATTGTAAGGTTTATCTTTAAAGTTCGTATTTATATAGAGACTTGTTGTATGAGCGCACGAGAAGAGCGCGCCAAGAACGATAACTCTAGTATTTTGTTACGTGGCTGAGTGAGAGGCACGCTCGTGTCTGTTGTTGTTTATCGAAATGCGGAGCCTATAAAACGGTTTGTAAACTTTATTTGTGTAAACAATTTCGTGAACATTGTTGATAGTATGATATCTAACGCTTAGAATTGCATTTTTGGTAAAATGGAATATTTTCGATAGATTATTTATCGAAAAGCAAATTTGTGTTGTTTAGAATGATTTTTGCATTAATTGACTGCTATAATCATGTTTGTTTCATTTAATTTTGCAGTCAATCCTATCCTTCTGAATGTATCTCGACCACATCATGGAATAAATCGACTTGTCGTTCACTCTTATTTACAGACATAGACATAAATTTATTTCAGTAATGTAAGGCCACTGGCCCAAATTGCATTTCAATAGGTTTTGGGTTTTGTCAAGCATGCTTGTATACTAGCAGTTGTTTCAATATGTTTCAAAGTTCAGCAATGCTGTTCACGTTAATACAGCATTATATTAATGACACAGTGGATCAACAGAATGGTAGTTGCAAAGGTAATGATGAATTTCTTATTAACCACTCAACACATGTAACACCGGGAAACGGTTTGAGTGAGTGAGTGAGTGAGTGAGTGAGTTGGGTTTAACGCCGATTTTAACATTATTCCAGTTATATCACGGCGTGCCAGCTTTATGTGGGAGGAAAGCCTGAAGTGATGCAGGTCTCAGACGTTTACCACTTCGGTGAAACCCACGAGCACGGGTATGGTGCTGACAAACCTAGAAACATAATCGGGGCGAACCAGGATTCGAACACAATCATAGGTTTCTGGCGTGTCCAAGGGACGCAACTCTGCACAGCGAAACGCGGCGCCTTAGGCGACTGGGCCACCCGTGCCCCCTTAACGGTTTGATGTAATATAAGATGGAGCACATTTTTTGCAATACAGATTTTACGATTTACAGACCATTTTGTATGCTACTGTATATGGAAATCAGTGAGGACAGCAGGTGTTGGGGAAAAGGTTAAGCATGTACACAGTTGAACTTCTTGAAGCAGTTTAGTATATATCTCCAACAACACTTTTGTTTGATTTAAGGAAGTGCGTTTTTAAAAGATATTACATGGGCTTCAAATTAATATCAAATTTATGTCCCGAGAGAAATAATTTTCAGTTTGCCCGAGGTACATACGCAGCAGGCAGAGTTTAAGTTTAGCTTCTAACATTCCATTTTGAGGTCACCGAGTCCATCTGCTGGAAATGTCAACACAGTCAAGTCTGATGAAAAACATTGTCACAATTGGCAAAGATGTAGATGCAATCAAGAACATTTTCATTAGATACGGACAACGGTTATGCTTTCGCAACGTTGTCATATTTGACAGGATGAAGGACCATGCATTCGAGAATACTTTGAAAGATACAGAAAACGGTTTCGCTTTCTCAACATTGTCACAATTGGCATAGATGAAGATGCAATCAAGAACATTTTCATGAGATACGGACAACGGTTATGCTTTTGCAACGTTGTCATATTTGACAGGGTGAAGGACCATGCATTCGAGAACACTTTCATAGATACGGAAAACGGTTTCGCTTTCTCAACATTGTCACAATTGGCATAGATGAAGATGCAATCAAGAACATTTTCATGAGATACGGACAACGGTTATGCTTTCTCAACGTTGTCATATTTGACAGGGTGAAGGACCATGCATTCGAGAACACTGTCATAGATACGGAAAACGGTTTCGCTTTCTCAACATTGGCACAATTGGCATGGGTGTAGTAAGATGCACTGGAGAAAAATTTCATAAGATACAGACAGAGGTTACAATTTATCACGATGGATACGACGGATGTGGGTGCAAATACACCTTATACTTTCAGGCCAGTGTCACCACCGTATTCGAATACACCAACAATATAAAAGTGTTCAGATTACAGATTGAAATAAATTCTTCATTACCGGAATTGTATTTCAAGGCCGTCAATTACATAGAAAGAGGTCAAATATACTACATCTGTAGCCAAAAATGAAACAAATCGTAACATCCTCTCTGAGCTAATACATTGAACTTAAATCCACTTTTAGCAGTATTTGGGGGGAAAGCGAAAACAGTCACCTATATGGGCAAAGCCACGAACACTGGAATGGTGCTGGAACCAAGAACTATATCAAGAATAACTGAGATGTAAACACACGATCACCGGATTCTGGCATGACAAAGGGACTCAACTCCGACAGATAGACGACCTGAACCGACACCACATTGATCCCAGAATACGAATATAAGGGGTTCTTGCGATATACGGTCGCGATGTCGAAGAGGAAAAGCATTCTTACCCTCGTTCGGTATTGCACCCACCGAAGACGCAAATAACACAGAAACCAAAACTGAGACAAATATCCCAGTCATGGTTGGCAGTTCTCCCTGTACAGTCTCTGTTCAACACACTTGTGTATACCACGATGCGTGTCTAAGATAGGTAGAACTACGAGTAACGTTAGCTGGTACAATAAGTAAACTTCAGTTGAATTCAGGGTATTTGATTGGCTAACCAAGCATTTGTTTTATTTATAATTGCATTATCCGAAACAAATAGGCCACGCCCACAAGCGGACTATTGGTTTCCTGAGAATAGGTAGGGAGGAGTTTAAGTTGTGTTATTGCCCCAAATGTTGTCGTTATTTGTTGTCTACAATTGTGTGTGGTCAGTATAATGTTTCAAAAAATTGCCTCATTTATTTCATAGGATTTGACTTTATTATAATTTTGACTGTACGTAGGAATAAACACATTCACGCAAAGAATATTGAATTCAGTTATTAAGAGTGTTGATTAAATCTACACATTATTGAAACAACATTTGTGATGGCGTCTTCAGGGTTGGCTTTTGTCGGACACGCCATACTTACATGCATGAACATTAAAACCTTTGCATCTGGTATATTCCCATAGGTATGGAGTTACATTGTGATGGTGTGACTTTTCTATATGTTTTGGTATATACAATGTAGTAGAATTATGTGGGCCGTGATTAGAATAGCTTAATGTGCATTTGATGCCTTTTACTTTCGTTGATAGATTTTCTGACAAGTGACACAAGCCATAGCTGGGCATTAATTTGCTTTTGGTTCGCGAACACCCTTGTGTTTGGACCTGGACCTCTGACGTGCCCGAACTTATCAGGGATCCAGAAAATTAGTTTACTCCCTTGTTACATGCATCATTCACATTCAGTTTTTTTATTATTTTCTTTGAGTATTATAGATATTGTTATTCCCAAGGTTCTAGTCTCTTGGAGACTTTTAGATCATTATTTAAAAAGTACTGTTCATGAAATGCTGTTTCAGGTTACTTTAATTGTATTGAGACTACATATTCTTTTTCAACTTCAGCTGCGAAACCCAAACATATAGAAAAGATACCACATATATAATCCTAAATATCATAAAGCACATTGCAAAGATGTAATTTTTGTAGCAGACAATCTCAACAGTCTGACGCATAATTATATTTTCAAGCATTTTTGGATTTTATGGGTATTATTTCATTAACATTCCGGCAGGATTATATACGCATCGTATCGGGAGCTCTGTCTGACCTTTGATAGTTGGTTCGAATTACAGATTCGGCCTTATTATGTTCTTTGTTTATTGGTACATTACACTTTCACGTGGGTTTCACCAAACAGGTAATCGTCTTGGATCCGCGTTTGGGTTTTCATCCAACATTAAGGTGACACATCTTGATATGGAAAGAAATAATGTTGACAGAAGCGTTAAAGCCAATTCTCTCAAACCTGACGAGAGAGGGTGTGATAATTCAGGACTATTTTCCATGTTACCCTCGGATATACATATGTCCTGTCCCGTAAATAATATAACAGGGAGATGAGGTGTCATCAACATAGTGACATGGTTTACATATCGACAGCTGGACAACATTTCCACCAGAACGTCGAGCCAATATATTGCAATCCCTATCGCTCGGCTTATACACCTACTACCATGTTTGCCTACGTGTTGTAGGTATCTTGTTATCTCACAGAAACCTTGTGGTTCGTACATTTGAATTTTGATACCTGTTTGATTGTTTAACATCTGAATTGGACGTGCTAAGTTTTGTATACAGTGATTTAAAATGCATCATATATTGATTTTTGTAAAAGTACGTTAATAATGGTTAGTTAAAACACATCTTCTTGGTTTTTGTTTAATATGTAAAATCTCGATCGCGGTTTCCATTTTCAACCAAAACATCAGAGTCGTGTTTTAACTATAACATAAAGATTATGCCTGGGGCTACGAGTAGAAAATATGAATACTTACAAGCAACTGCGCAGAACAAGAAGTGAAATTCCAAAATGAATATAGTAGATGTGTCGTGATGGGAAACACAAAAATTTGGGAAGGTTTTTGTAGGATGCCTGCTTCGCATCTCGAACTGAAGTGTCCCTTACCCACGACTTCAAAGTCAACAAATGGTCAAGAATCATAGACTCATCACAGAATCATATCTGCATTAATTGTACCTGTGAAGTTCCCTGTTAGAAATTATCTTCAGCAACCCATGCTTGTCGTAACATGCGGTCGGGTAGCCTAGTGGTTAAAGCGTTCGTTCGTCATGCCGAAGACCCGGGTTCGAATCCCGACATGGGTACAATGTGTGAAGCCGATTTCTGGTGTCCCCCGCCGTGATATTGCTGGAATATTGCTAAAAGCGGCGTCAAACCAAACTCACTCACACTCACCGTAACATGCGACTAACAGCATAGGGTGGTCAGACTCGTTTACTTTGTTGAGGCATGTCATCGTATCCCAATTGTGTAGGACGATGTTCATGATGTCAATAACTTGATTGTCTGGTCCAGAATTGTTTATTTACAAACCACGTAATTTAGGGAGACTATTGCTAATGCAGTGTTAAAGAAAAAAACAAAACAAAGATAACAAGCACATAAGCATGAAATGTCATATTCGGAATTATTTCAGGGACGATGTATAATCTCTGAACTTTTCAGTGAATATGTTGATTACCATGAGATTACCAAGTCAAACATTACACACACTCCCCAAATAAGAGATTTGTGATGTTTTTCATTATACAAATTCCCTGTAACATATATACCCATCTATTTACAACAAACAAACTTAGGCGCGGCTACTATCCTCTCACCTGTTCAGGGGCGGTGGGGTAGCCTAGTGGTTAAAGCGTTCGTTCGTCACGCCGAAGACCCGGGTTCGATTCCCGACATGGGTACAATGTGTGAAGCCCATTTCTGGTGTCTCCCGCCGTGATATTGCTGGAATATTGCTAAAAGCGGCGTAAAACCATACTCACTCACTCTCACCTGTTCATGTAGTAACGGTTTTGCTGTGTGTAACTTCGTATCATCATTGTACGTCTGTCAATGTGACGGTAGGTTTACAACGCAATTCAACATGTCTGGTGGGCATGTAAAGCGTTATGATGTGATATGCGTGAGTCTGTGAGTTGGGTTTAACGCCGCTTTTAACAGTATTCCAGTTATATCATGGCGTGTCAGCTTACTGTGAGAGGAAAGCTCGAATTCATGCAGGTCTCGGACGTTTACAACTTCGGTGAAACCCACGAGCACGGGTATGGTGCTGACAAACCTAGAAACATAATCGAAACGAACCAGGATTCGAACTCACAATCATAGGTTTCTGGCGTGCCCAAGGGACACGACTCTGCACAGCGAATCGCGGCGCCTTGGACGACTGGGTCACCAGTGTCCCTGACGCTGTACTAAAATTAATATTAGACGCAGTATTTGAATGTATTTTCACAGGCGACATTTGCCATGATCTCGACAAGGATATCCCTACATACTGAGTTAAACACAATAACGCACTGGCAGCTGGTATCCATTGAACGGGGTGATATAGTAAGCTATTTGTACATGCACCTGGTGTATAGAATAGAGCGCAATATACGTACACACATTATCATTATGTACAGATTATTATTTTAAAAATGCAGCAAAGAGGGTTTTGGTGATCCTGGCACAGTCAAGTTAAGTAATATCAGCCCAACTCGCAAAACCCACCTCCGTTTTGTATTGTCTTCAATGTTATATCTGCTAATGTATATTTTCTCTCCTGTGAAAATCTAACTCATCCCGAAATAACATTAGACCGCGCTTAAACATCTCGCTATAGGCTGGAGGAAAAAATGTAAATGAGTACGAATCACACATCGATTTTATTGTCTTGTACATGCGCGTATACATTATGTATCCGTATGGTTGACAATAAACTAGTTAAAATAGATTTCCAATCATAGCAAATTTGTTATACTGACTGTACGCATCTCCGGTACATCAGTAACACCAACATCAATATAGATATCCTACAGAAATCATTGTTGACGGGTAAATTATTATTGACATTCAACGACTGCAAATGCATTTGAGATCCGGGTTAGAATCGATCCTCAGCAACCCATGCTTGTAAGCATCTTTCCGAGGCAAGAGCGTCAATGAGCCTTTTTTATCAAAGTTTTGTTTCCACCCTTGCCACATAAAGCCAACTTCCCTGTACTAAATACAATTGAACTATCGTACATATTGATAGTCCACATGAAAGTGATTTGCCGCTGCCTGTCTGTGTTGACACATTTGTCTTTTCATCTTTTAAATCCCCCAACGATTGCCTATGTTTTTTGTGTCAGGGATGACATCGCGAATGTTTTCGTTATCTGATCGACAAGGTCGTCGCCTATGAAAGTCGCCATCTTTGTGAAGCTATACAAGATAAGAGTGAGTGTGTATGGTCTTACGCCGCTTTCAGCGATATTCGACGGCGGGGGAGACCAGAAATGGGCTTCACTCTGTACCCATGTCGGGAATCGAACTCGGGTCCTCGGCATCACGAGCAAACGCTTTAACCACTAGGCTACCCGACCGCCCCTACAAGATAAGAACAGCGATCTGATTGGATATCGCGTTTTCATTACAAGGGGCACAACTCGTGATCAACGCAAGGTGGAGCCAGAGTCGAGCCAAGAAAAGTGGCCTTGATGTGGCAAGGTTAGACACTATTGGTAGGCTTCGATACAGGCTAGTGGAGCCGCTTGCCTCGGGAAGATGGCTTGTAAGAGGCGACTAGGGGGATCGGGTTGTGAGGCTTTCGGACTTCGTTGATGCATGTCATCCTATCCCAATTGTGTAGATCGATGCTCGTGCTGTAGATCGATGGTCTTGTCGAGACTCGATTATTTACTAACCGTCGTCACAAAGCTGGAATACTGCTGAGTGCGGCGTTTTCCTTAACTGCCTATAAGCATCCATTTGAAATAATTTTGTGAGCGTGAAATGGCGTGAAAAACGCACGAACCTTTCCCGATACGCCCGACATATGTCCTGTCCGTCTGAACAACGTGTCCATGGCCTTAAGGCCTCTATTTATTTTTTTCTAAAAACGACGACCCTTTCTGTCTTTCCACAAATGTCACGGGCCATCCTCGACCTGACTATGCATGGTTCCAGTGACATCCTGTAGACAGAAACAACTTTGCTCCTTCATGAAAAACATTGTCAGTGTGGCGAACGTCACTATTGAAAAGCGGCTTGCAAACTGTAGTGCCCGGAAACATATGATCCAGTCCTTCTCAAGTGAGTCAGTTGAGTTTAAAACGCCGCATTGTACAGTATTGCAGTTACATCACGGCGTCTCAGCTTCATGTGACAGGAAAGTGATGCAGGTCTTAGACGTTTACCGCTTTGGTGAAATCTACGAACAAGGGTATGGTGCTGACACACCTTGAAACATAATCGGGGTGAACTGAGTTTCGATTGCAGCGACGCCTTATACGACGTGGCCACCCGTGCCCCAAGCAAATGTGGGCCATGTAATTATCTGGACATACAAATATCCATTCCTTAATTCGTATCCAAGAAGAAGAATCAGCGTATATGTCATATGTTGTCAAGCACTGATGTGACAGGTCTCATCATGTCATCAACCATAAATACATCGTCGCAGTTTCATGATATTGTTATGGCAAAGTAGACCCCCATCAATTATGCTACTGTGGTTTGACCCGTGAAGATCCGGGGTAGAACAGGCCTTCGGTTATGTTGAGAACTACCTCAGTGAGTCCCTCACAATGACATTCAGCTACAGGACGTCAATATGACCAACACGATATACGTGAAGTCGTCAATGAACCTGTTGCGATTACAAGTGTCAGTATCACTGATCAGTTGGCCGGTCATTGAAAGGTGGTTATAAAGATGTGTCCAAAAGACACAAAGGTAAATTTGTAGTTTGCTGTTGAGTGTCACTGTCAGTTTAGACACGGGACGAGTCGATAATATAACAGGTCTTGGCACACATCTTCTGCAGCTTCAGCCTTTGATGTCAACATTTCACTATAATGTTTATGGTACAAATGATGCTATTTCTACCAAGATTTAAAGAGCATCATACAACTCTTGCTCAGAAGTTGTTTGATCAAGATTACAACATGCAAGACTTCAGTAAAGCTTTCAGAGAGTTTGTGAGGTGAGGTGAGGTGAAATGGGGTTTAACGTCGCGTCCAAGATTATTGCACTTATATAACGTCGTGCATGCACGTGTGTGTGTGTGTGTGTGTGGCTGCTTGTACTAGTCCGGACTGATGCCGATTTATAGTGCTAGCTCACTGAGATACTATGCCGCAGTTTAACATGAATACCCCACTCAGACAAAGTATACTGACTCCGAGCCGACCAGTCCTTGTTTTAGCCCCTTAATGCCGAGCGCCAGACAGGGTAACAACAAGTGCCATCTTTTAACGTCTTTTGGTATGACGCGGTCGGGGATCAAACCCCGGACCTTCCGCTCTCCGGGCGGACGCTCTACTACTAGACCACGGAGGCGGTCAAAAGAGTTTGTGGTAGACATAAGGAGGACATTTCCAAATTTGACGCATCAGTGACAGAAATTATGTCCGATTCAATGTTATTCCAGGTGAACAATTGACTTGCCTTTGCATGTGTTTGTGACGGGTGCCACCGATGGGGAAGGAGAGGCAAAACGTTTTCGCGAACTACAGGTATTATCATAGTTATTCGCTAACGCATGTTCTTGATATAATAGGAATTGTACAATCGACTCTGTTTTTGACAGATTTCTTATGAATACGGTAGGGGTTTTGTCCATTTTAGTTTTATACACAGTAGCGTCAAATCTTTAAATAGCAGGATGTGTCTCAAAACGTAATGATTGTTTGCATATTTAATGTTTAACGTCACACTTAGAAATATTCCAGATATATGACGGCGGTTTGTAAATAGTCGACTCTGCGGCGACAACTAAAAACAAATAAACAAACAAACATAGAGCTAGCACATTGTCATAATATGTTATTTCCGGGATTATCATCAAAAATATCACTATGGCAGTGACGCTATATGAACCCTGAACGTTTTAGTCAATGTGTTATAATCCCAGAGAGGATTAAGCAGTAGACATACTCCCGAATATTCAGAGATTAGTGATAGTTTTGATTACATAGTTCCTGTTACACATATACAGATCTATTTATATATCTCAATTACTAATCAATATCTTTATTTTCATTTCTGTGTATGAGCTTGCTTCTGATCAATAGTGTGTGAAGCGACATCATGGCACGTTATGCGTAACTCACGATCGAACAATACAAACGTGTTTACTCACAACCCAGGGCACGCCATATCTGTGCAATGTACTATCCGTAGCTATATCGATAACCTCAATATTTCGGGTCGAAAATACAACCTACGGTACGGGGCTGATATGGAGTATTCAGACTAATAACGACCTGCTAATCTTATCGTTCACGCAGTATAGATCATATTGTTGAATGCGAATTATGCGAGTAAGATTGAATAAGTACACGTAAGACGATTATACAAGCAGGCCCTGTCCATCATGGCAGTCGACGATCGTGCTCGATTTTCCGCCAGCCGGCGACAGAGGACGAATGTGATGACAGCTGTCAAAGCAGACGACAGTACACGCGCAGGCGCAGACGTAACTGCGTGGATTGTCGTCTGCTTGACAAACTACGTGAAAAAAGTTTTGTCATTTGTTATGGAATCGTTTGGAATGGAGACAAGCTCGGAACTACGGCTGCCACAGTCAACGTCCATGTCTGTGATGGAACAGGCTAAGCACATATGCAAGGATTACACATATCACCGACTGTCAGAAAAAGATATGACAAAGAAATTAACGTTTGTGGGCTATAATTCAGTGTTGTCGGAAAGTTATATCAACGCGGGAGAAGTGCTGGAGAAAATGTACCCTCGAGTTTATACGGACGTTTCAAGGAAGATTGGAAGAACTATGAGTAGTACAAGTATTGTGAAAGCAACTCTGAACGACGTGTTGGACATTCTGTTCCGTGATTCCATTACTTGGGGTAAAATTGTGTCAATGTTCGCGATAAGCAGTTCGTTTGCCGAGGAGTGCGTTCAACAAGGACACCCTGATTTCGTCAACGACGTAGTCGACACGGTTGGAGGATTCGTCGTCATGCACCTCGTGGAATGGCTTGTAAAACAAGGTGGATGGGTAGGTCGGAACTTTCTGAACTAAATTATTGCGCCATTCATCACTTTCTTTTCAGTGATTTCTTAGATAATAACAGACAATTTAGAAACAAGATCGAACGGGTGTGGGTTTAGTGTAGACTTGGATCAGTCCTTGATTTCGATACGTCATCAATTATATGAAACATCCGAGGTATGTTTTCTTGGTCCCTGATGGTGTATTACCATGTGTTCTAAAAGCATGTGGAAACGTTTTAAAACTGTGTTTATTTTTTTAGCATTTGTTTTTATCTTTGTTTAAGGTAATTTAAGACGTTGTTTACAGAAAGTTATTAAAAAATAATAGTAATATTTATTATTTGCTAGAATATCAGATGCTGGGACTCATACCTAGTGCGACTGTTTTCGTTCCATGTCAGTACTGAGTGACACAGATAGCATTTGAGGTCACTGTTGTTGGCTGGCACCTCGTACTTCGTGTGACAGTATCGAATTCGTAAATACATGCAGTGTTTTGTTTGTTGTTTAACGCCACACTCGATATGTCAGCTATATGCATGGCAGCAGACTGTACATAATAATCCCGACGTGGTAAATACGTTCACTGCCTACTAAATATAGCTTACAGCTTGTGCCTCGAGGACAACGCAAGCCTGCGTGTTCTGTGTATATCAAAAACTAGCATGCTATTGGTTAATGAAAACGAATTATGAATGTTTCACCAGCAGAAATCCTACAAGGACTAGTTGTGGCGTTTAGCATCATGTGGTGCGGTTGAGAGAGAGAGAGAGAGAGAGAGAGAGAGAGAGAGAGAGAGATTCCTTATCTCAAGTGTGGCTCGGTGGGTCGTGTACAATGAATTACGTCATCTTAATGCTTTGCTGCAATGCGTTCATATGACGTCAGGTTTTTATAGGTAGTCGCAAAAAATGGAACAACTGAAACGAAGCAGCCAATCAGCATAAAGCAAAAATTGTGCTCAATGACAACAACTGAAACAATTCGTATTCGTATTCACGATGCAAATGCTATTACTATTATTTTTCATCCACGACAAGTGGAATCAAAGCCATGAAAGCGTTGTACTATTGACCGTTGATAGCGGGCTGCACATAGAGAAGGGCAATCAGTGAAGACAATGCTATTAATTCCTGGGCATATTACGATCAAGAAGCAAAAAGCCCAAAGCAGTTAGCCAGTATATATGCAGAATAAAGCCTGGACTTGGGCAGTCTGACATGACTGCATGTTTGAGCTGCTTTTAACGTATATGAAATCGTTATCCGTACATGCGTTGTCAATGTGACAGTTGTCCTTCATCGACCTTGGTCATAATGCTGTCAGTGGTTGCAGTCACTGATTCCCGGGTTGGAGAATATCAACGGATGTGCAAAACGCAGACCATTTGTATACCATCCGGTGTTCCTTCACATAACAACCTTACAGATAAGTGAGTAAGGTTAAACGCCTCGTTGTGAATGTGAGTGTGTTGGTTATACGCCGTTTTTATCAATAATCCAGCAATATCAAGTGAGTGAGTGAGTGAGTGAGTTGGGTTTAACGCCGCTTTTAAAAGTATTACAGTTATATCGCGGCGTGTCAGCTTAATGTGGGAAGAAGGTCCGAAGTGATGCACGTCTCAGACGATTACCACTTCGGTGAAACCCACGAGCACGGGTATGGTGCTGACAAACCTAGAAACATAATCGGGGCGAACCGGGATTCGAACCCACAATCATAGGTTTCTGGCGTGCCCAAGGGACGCAACTCTGCATAGCGAATCGCGGCGCCTTAGGCGACTGGGCCACCCGTGCCCCCCAGCAATATCAAGACGAGGAACACTAGAAATGGCCTTTATACATTCTGCCTATATAGGAAATGGGCCTTAAGTGACAGCTTTTATCATCAGGCAACCGCCCCTATGCGCCTTTGAGAACCTTGAAGATCCGGGTTAGAATAGGTCTTCAGCAACCCATGCTTATCGTGAGAGGCGACTTACGGGATCGGGTGAGCAGGCTCGCTGACTTGGTTGATGCATGTCATCGTATCCCAACTGCGTAGATCGATGCTCATGATGTCAATCATGGAAATGTCAGGTCAAGATTCGATTATTTACGGACCGCTGTCATGTAGCTGGAATATTGCTGAGTGCGGCGTTAAACAACAAACAAACATATAATCAGTTGAAAAATAAATAAAACATTGGTTCCTCGCCTAAGGTCCGGTTCAATTCAGATTATTGACAGTATTTGAAATTGTTGCCTGGTTTCCCAACCGTCATATGAACATTGTTAAAAGTGGCGTAAAACGAAAATCTGTCCAAAGAAGTTAAAGATCACCCATTTCTTTCATATTTCTAGACTTAATCTGCCTGATAAACCCGCCCGTCAATCAACCCCGCCGTGACACATGGTGACAGATATTGAGTCGACCGTACACGCGATGTCCTCGTTTTGTTGGGCGTGGCACAACTCCACTCACGATCTAGGGAAAAGACAAAAATTGTCAATAAAACATGGCTTCTCTTGAACGCTTCGCAATTTACTCACTCACGTACGAGCACTCCGTGAAGATTTGGGTTAGAATTGATCATCAGTAACCCATGCTTGTCGTAAGAGCTTACTAACGTAATCGGGTTGTCAGGTTCACATACTTATTTGATGCATGTCATGATATCCGAATTGCGTAGATCGATGAGCTTGATGTCAATCACTTGATGCTTTGATACAGATTAGAATATTAACAGACTGCCGCCACACTGCTGGGGTATTGCTGAGTGCGGCGTTAAACAACAACGAACAAATGTAATGAAGAAAAGAGTTAGTGAGTGGGTTGGTTTAACGCCGATTTTAACATTGTTCCAGTTATATCGCGGCATGTCATCTTAATGTGGGGGGAAAGCCCGAAGTGATGCAGGTCTCAGACGTTTACCACTTCGGTGAAACCAACGGGTATGGTGCTGACAAACCTAGAAACATAATCGGGGCGAACCGGAATTCGAACCCACAATCATAGGTTTCTGGCGTGACCAAGGAACGCAACTCTGCACAGCGAATCTTGGCGCCTCAGACGACTTGGCCACCCGTGCCCCAGCCGAGGAAAAAGAAACAACGAAACCCGAACGCAAATGGTTTGGAACCTGCATGGATATGAAAATTATAGATCAACTATCAATTAACTATCGGGATCGGGTGTTCAGGCTCGTTGGTATGGTTTGTTCATGTCATCGTATTGCGAAGATCGATGCTCATGATGTCAATCACTGGATTGTCTCGTCCAGCCTCCAGTTATTTAGAGACCGGCGTCGCATAGCTGGAATATTGATGAGTTCACAGAAACGTGCTACTTGAAACTATCAAACAAATGTTGGTTAGCATGTACCAGCCGAAAATGTCACAAATTGTCATAAACTGACACTACTGGAAAGCATGACGCTGTCGTTATACTTGTTTTAGTTTTCGGGCTAACGGCAGAACACCTTAATCTGTTTCTGTGTATATGTCACAACCAATTCTATTCTTATCTTATTTCTCTCTCCTTGCAGATATATTATATAATATCACGATACTCAGGTAACCATGGTGAAGCAGCATATGCATACAGACTTATCTCGCCAACTGTCAAGTGTTAACGTTTCATGTGACACAGACGTGTAGGTGTCCGTTCCCCATGGCGACAAGTGTTGTTCTTTTGACACTTTTCTCGCAAGGTATTACTTCACACCGAACGCCAAGACTTGATGCCATATATGTAAGCCCAAGTATATTTTACATATTAGGGAATGAGGCCGAGCGTGATAATCACTCTTTATAGAAAAAATGCAAATCGTTTTCCAGCATGACCCGCTCAACGACCCGTAGATATTCGCTTTATGAATGCGCTGTAGCCACGACGAATATTATGTACAGTGAACTTCGTTTATAACGAACAAGCTTATATAACGAACTGACGGATATAACGAATTGTTTTTTTGTCCCGACCATATGTTGTATATATGCTTATTACGAACTAACATTAGTGGTCCCTTTGAGTTTGTTATAACCGTAGTTCCCTGTATAGTTTCCTGCTGTGTCCTCATGTAAACATTAATTTCTATAATGTCCAATTAAAAATGTAGATTAATATATAATGGTACCGATCAGCAAAACAACTGATAAGAATACCTCAGAGCAATACATTGTAGAAGTTCACATACGAATGTAGAACTGATCTGATGGAATAACACCATAATGCCCATCTTTAAAAAAGGTAGTAAACAATTGAAGACAAATGACCAACTGCATGAAGTACTGATAAGGTGTCCTCAATAAACAATAGCAAACCAGTGATTATGCTAAAAATATAGAGGTGGATATATTCTGTCTTAGAATGCAAGTAAGGAAATTCAGTCGTAAAGCTTATAAGGAACTAAAATTCGTGGTCCCTGAAGGAGCTGTGCTCCAGAGACCATGGTGTCATCAAACAAACAAAAATTAATAATGAAAACATGGTGATACGTTCACGTGTTTATTATCGTCAGCTGGTTGTGAGGATAAATGACAATAACAAGGATCAAACCAGAACAAATATACAAGTTGATTAGCTTAGCAACTGTATAACATTAAAACAAAGAATGTAGCTAGATGAACACTTTGACAAGATATTGACAAGTCGGTTGTGACCAATGAACGCTTGAGAGTTAAAAAAACTTAACACTCTAATAAGTGAATAACCTTGAATGGGTTAAAAATGGAGAAATAAACACAGAGGGCCTATCGCTAAAATAAGTCTTTTGTACAATGATATAGACGGAAATGCCTGAATATGAAACTAGTCTAATAGACTCAAGACTCAGTCGGAGGGACGGGTGGCCCAGTCGCCTGAGGCGCCGCGATTCGCTGTGCAGAGTTCCGTCCCTTCGGAACGCCAGAAACCTCTTATTGTGGGTTCGAATCCCGGTTCGCTCCGATTATGTTTCTTCGTTTGTCACCATACCCGTGCTCGCGGATTTCACCGAAGTGGTAAACGTCTGAGACTTGCATCACTTCGGACCTTCCTCCCATATTAAGCTGACACGCCGCGATATAACACTGGAATACTGTCAAAAACGGCGTTAAACCCAACTCACTCACTCACTCAAAACTCAGTCACATTGGAGGCATGGAAGTCCTAATCTTCCGAAAAAAGGGTACTTGACCTACGGAATATCTAGACTCACAATCATTAAAAAGGTACTTGATCAAAAGAGTAACTTGACTCCCTATCGTAAATAGGTATTTAACCGAAACTCGATAATCGCGCGAAAGTTGGTTGTCCACGGATTATTAGAAAAAACGGAGTATGAAAATACGTAGCCAATACGTTTAGCTCAATACAACCAGAGTAAGTCAGTACCAGCATTGAATTGCCCCCATTATTACTTACGAACGAAACCTGAGTGTCGAATGGCCACTCAGTAGTTAAAGTAGTAGTGCGCGGACCTCGTAGAGAACAACCTGTCTTCGTCATCCCGGGGATGCCATAGAAAAAGTGTGTCATCTGATATAGGGAAAACCCGAATTGCCAACTTACTACTAAATCAATAAAGATGTAAGTACCAAAATAAAGCGCTTAACATGAGCTACCGAACGGCACCATTAATGAGTAAGGTAGCAAACATATATCAAATCAATACATGATAAAAGGGTGCCATTAAACCGCTAAAGAATAAAATTTACGGGTCCCTTATTAACAAGGAACGTAAAGACAACGGAGACCGCCGGAGTTTGCCGAACGGTGACGACGCCGGGCAATGAAGAGAGGGGGCATTCGTCACCACTCGCCCCTTTCCGTAACCTGCAAGAAGACTCGTTCCCCTATCGATGAATGTTGTGTGCGAAAATAGGACAAACCAATTTGAATGCGCGTATGATTTCAAGTTCTTCCTCAAAGAATCCCTCAGAAATATTTTTTTGATTGTACATATGTCTTGCATCTAAAACTATACCAAAGACACAGTTAGTGTGTTCATTCATACTGTATAGTTGTGCATGTCCAGATGTGCTTTAAATTGCATCTGAAATATATATATATATATATATATATATATATATATATATATATGTGTGTGTGTGTGTGTGTGTGTGTGTGTGTGTATGTATGTATGTATGTGTGTGTGTGTGTGTGTGTGTGTGTGTGTGTGTGTGTGTGTGTGTGTGTGTGTATATATATATATATATATATATATGGGGAAATATATGTGAACCATTACGCAACGAGTTGACAATTGATTTACGTATGCCCGTTTGCGCTAAGACGGAACCCGGTCGCAAAAAGGGCCACGAGTCGCTATTCGCCTTGTCCCTGAATAACACGAGTTGGTCACGAATGGAGAGAGGGAAAGTGCCTAGGCTGGTTGTACGACCCGGAGACAGTCACTTTGAGTTCGATATAACCGTAGTTTACTGTACATAACAACAAACTCGGATACTTTCTTTTGCCTCTCATTTTTATAGTGGCGTGGTCAGCGTGACAATGTAGAGGTCGATGTCCCAAAGCTGCTTCACAAATAGCAAAGTTGCGCTTCAGTTGATCTTAAACACGTGGTTTCTTACTCAATTTCATACAAATCGAATCTGCATATACCCATACTGTTCGGGGAATCAAGCACTTGATTTGTAGTGAAATAGACATCGATAGTGTGTGAGTGATTGACAGGTCATGTAAACACACCGCTCGAGTGTCAGGTGACAGTCACCGCGAGACACACGTCAATCAAACACCTTGCAATCCAAATGCTTGTCAGACGTGTGAGCCTTGTGGTTAATATCTGAGCAATCTAAATGCCACGTCTATGTTGAAGAATGGGTGATCGTCTTGTTGTTACAATAGCTTTGTGGAACAGAGCCCTGTCGGGAACAAACGTGCTGTAAATCAACCGCAATCCCGATATTTGTACCAATCTATTACGTACGCCCAAATGTGTGTCAGTTTGTTCACGTACTTTACTTGAGTATTTCCTGGGGCTATGGCTCCATGATGAATAAATTCGATCAATCAGAAGTTCATTGTGTGTATGTATATGACGTAATAGTCTTTAAGAATATACCGCTGAAGGCTTATGCGTCATTGCATGAAAGAGTGTCAATTCTGATTTATGACGAGGTCAGCAATAACGCTTACATACCACGTGGAACAAAACATAATAGAGTAACGACAAAATCTGAGTGAGTTGAGTTTAACGCCGCCTTTAACTGTATTCCAGTTATATCAGGGCGTGTCAGCTTGATCTGAGAGACTTGCCCAAACTCTCAGAGGTTTACCACTTAGAGGAAACCCACCATCACGAGTATGTTACTGACAAATCTAGAAATATAATCGGGTCGAACCGGGATTCGAACTTACATTCATAGGTTTCTGGCGTTCTCAAAGGACGCAACTTTCCACAGGGAAGTGCGGCACCTAAGACGACTCGGCCATCCGTGAAGCCGACACACGATTTGAACAAACCTGTGGGTGGTGGTGAGCACGAACGATGGGTTTGGCGGTAAACAAATATGTTATTCCATACATTTATCGTTGGATATTATAAAAAAACAACCTTTATCAACAAAAAATAATCCTTGCTACGTTTCCTTTCCAGAAGGGCCTCGACAACGCCTTCAAAGAGAACAAGGATGTCATTAGCCCCACCTTACTCATCGGCATCATCGGGGCCGTCGTCGGGGCCGTCGTCGGCGTCGTCACAGTCACCATGTCCTGCATCGTAGAGCTCAGGTGACAGTCGGACAACGCCCCTTGTTTGAATGAGAACGGCTAACGTGTTGCGAAATGTACTATGCCAGAATGTAAGCCGACATCACTGAGTGCAGACATTCAGGTTGCGTGGTTATAGGAGTCACGTCCGACGTAATCAGGTGTCTTTCCATGTCAAGTTACCGGAGGAATAGAGCATGATTGTGCGTAAGAGAATTCACCAGGTCATTGACATCGTCTGCCCGATTCACCATCCCCGGGAGAGGTATAACGAGTTCAAATTAGTTCATTTTCGTGGACATTGACTGTCATTCAGAATGGTCTAAAAAGACTTTTCAAACTTGGTAATGACATTGGACAATGTCCTTATGAAAGACTAAATGTAAATGGCGGGTTGGCGGTGCCATTTGCGACATCGGTGACCAGCTGTACTCGACCAGTATCTGCTTCTGAAAAACATTATAATGAAAATATCATAGCACGGGACCATATTTTCCGTGTTTGTGTGTGTGTGCGTGCGTGGGTGCGGGGTTCGATTCCCCATGAGTAGAACGTGCGAAGACAATTTGTGGTTTCCTCTGCTGTGAGACCCTGGATATTTGTTGAATGTTGAGTGTTTTGTTTCCAAATTGCCAGGACAGCGTATAAACGTATGTCCTAGTTAATGACCAATAGCTTCATGTTATGCTGGCGTTGCTTGATATTCAAAACACAACCAATATGTTGCGGTGGAGAAAGATGGTCCCTCTTATGTTCCGATGCTTAGCGAGTATGGTGAATACTTGTTGAGCAGCACTGTCCCTGAACAGGTTTCATACTCACACTTGAATGTATTCAGCGCAATATTGTATGTACAGTTTGTGTTCTTTGTTGCTCATGATGCCAATCATTAGATTGTCTGGTCCAGACTCGATTATATACAGACAGGCGTCATAAATCTGGAATATTTCCGAATGCAGCGTTAAACAAGAAACAACGAAACAACAAACAATTATTTTACAACATTCTTTCAGGATATCCAGCACGTAAAGCTATCTAACACTTTTGGGGTAAAACGGAATTATTCCACACTGCATGGTCAGAATCGGCCGCGTGGTACAATATGTCAATGTTTACTTACATTATTTTAAACATGCAAACTAATTGTAAACTTCTCCCTTCTTGCCCAGTCAGGATTGTAACATGTAATGAGAAAAAGATATTAACTGGCTTTCGAGTCTGGATCAGACAATCCAGTGGTTGTTATTCTAAACATCCGTCCGCGCAAATGGGATTCGATGATATGCCATCAACCAAGTCCGATCCGTTTTGTCGCCTCTCACAAATAGATGATCCGTGCAATCATTATTATACGCATGCATGTGCATCCATCCCCTCGCCGAAGCTGTGGAATAACCTACGACAACGTTTGTAGCGCAATTCCACCTTGGTGAATGGAATCTGGTGCATCATACATGAGTGAGTGAGATGGGTGTAACGTCGCTTTTAGCAGTATTGCGGTTATATCACGGCGTGTCAGCGTAATGTGGGAAGAAAGCCCGAAGTCATGCAGGTTTCAGACGTTTACCACTTCGGTGAAACCCACGAGCACGGGTATGATGTGACAAACCTAGAAACATAATCGGGACGAACCGGGATTCGAACCCAAGGGACGCAACTCTGCACAGCGAATCGCGGCGCCTTAGACGACTGGGCCACCCATGCCCCCCATCATAAATTGACTTATTATTATCATTATGGCGTTTCAATATGCGGGGATTCCCCAACAACGTAAACATCAATACGATGATGTGCAGATCAGTTCTATTTACAGAAACAGAATCAGAAACACGTCCCCTCAAAAGAAAGTAAAACTAGCATAATGAGAAAGACATTCACATCGCGTCCATCAGTAACCAGCAGGCCCCATGGATCGACAGGAGACAGAGGAAACCAAACTGCCTCGAGGGAATGGAGTGTGGGGCGCGAGGCGCACCCACGTGACGAGGAGCTGTGAGCAGTTGGTCAGTTCGAGCCAGCTTTAACCCGTCAAGTAGAGGAGAACAATATAACCTACATGTAATTTGTTTTCTTAATTGTCACGAATCTTGTGGCTTGCCACGTGAGGAAGAGAATGAGCGAGAAAGCTTGGCAACAAAAGTAGCTCGAATGTAGGCTGTGCAACACTATTGTGTTGTTTGTTTGTTGTTTAACGCCGCACTCAGCAATATTCCAGCTATATGACAGCGGTCTGTAAAATAATCGAGTCTTGACCAGACAATCCAGTGATTGACATCATGAACATCGATCCACACAATTGGGATCGATGACATGTATCAACCAAGTCAGTGAGCCTGACCACCCGATCCCGTTAGTCGCCTTTTACGGCAAGTATGGGTTGCTGAAGACCAATTCTACCCCGGATTCTTCACGGGTCGAGCAACATTATTGGATTCGTGAACTTATGAACAGAAATTGTGTTTCCTTCTAAGCCAATCAAATTAACCGAAAATAGATTGTATATACATGCCCTAATTCAAAATCGACATGATACAGGTAATTTAATGTGCTTGTTCTAATTTACATCTGAGAAGATAATGATCTGAAGATGCGTTGATGGTATTAAACCTACATGTTTTCATCGACATACTCCCTTCACAAAGCATATAAGCTAGTGTGAATTCTGGAACATTTTATAATAATATAAAATTCCAAACTAATATATTTCCCCGGGTTTGTGTTTACGTACTTGATCTGAGTTCGGAAACATGTCACATGTAAATGTTTCTGACGACCACCGTACAATAACCTACATTCTCTCAGATAGGACATTTGTAAACACATAAATTAGAAACTGATCTTGTAACCATAACATGCTTGCTGACAAACTCGCGGGGATACCACAGCATTCACAAATACTTGTCCCATTCAAAACACATGGCGTGACAGCATCCCCGCCTAGCAGGTGTGCTGAAACTGTTCAGTCAAGCTGATGTGTTCATGCTGTGTCTGTGGAACAGAAAAATGTTGACGAAAATCGCAATCTATCATTTTGTGTGCTGTTTTTGATTACTAGTAATTGACACGAGACTAAAAAATGATGTAGTTACTGTAGTGAGTGAGTTAACATTTTAAGTCGCACCGGTAATATACTACTCAAAAGAAGTTAAGGATCACCTGATTCTTTTATATTTACTATAGTTAATCTCTCATGTCATGACAGACTAACTTTACCATTATGAAAGAATCGGGTGATCCTTAACTTCTTTTGAGTAGTTCAGCCATCTCGTGACTATCAAGGGTTAAACATAATAAATACATTGATACTTATATGAAAACCTGCCAAAATAACTAGACTTATCACAGAAAAAAAAGATTTAAAACTACTAAGGAATCATAAAAACGGGCTAAAGATCACCAGCCACTGAAGATCACCGTACTTGGGACATGGGAACGTACAGTACTTTTGCTACGTGCATGGACCCCAGCAGGATTTACCTAATCCCTTCAGGGGTTGTCGATTATTAACACATTTCGCCTAACATTAAAACAACATATTCTAAGAACTGAAGGTCATCGTAAGGATACTTTAAACTTTAAATCACGTGGTCTCATATACCCTCTCGTAAGGATACATCTACTTTAAATCACGTGGTCTTATATACCCTCTCGTAAGGATACATCTACTTTAAATCACGTAGTCTTATATACCCTCTCGTAATGATACATCTACTTTAAATCACGTGGTCTTATATACCCTCCCCAGGGGACAATTATTTTACGCTACTTCAATCCCCTTCGAGGATACAGCCACTAACAATCTCAGTTATCACATTTATTCTGCTAATTACAACAAACCCTGTATTTTATACACAACATATTAATCAAAATTTATGGACCAATTCAATTTCGTTAAAAAAACAAAAGTAAATGAGAACTTATTTAAAAAAAACATCCTATATAGACGAAACTTGGAAATAGGTATCCCTTGTGGTGAAAAAATCAATACAGTCAAGCAGGACATGCTTTTTTTAAATCAAAAAAGATAGACACTGCATGTTGTTTGCATAATTGCATTCTTAACGAATGACTTCACTAGCACTAAATGGTCAATGGTACTGCGATTTTTACGAAAACCACATTGAATATTGGTTATTAAATCATTTGATTCCAAGTACCATGTTAATCTATTATCATTTGTTCAATAGTTTTGCAATCACAGCTGGTCAATAAAATAGGTCGATAATTGAAAGGATCAGTGTGCTCAGCACGTCCAGGTGTTGGTATAGGAACAATTATAGCTTTCCGCCATGAAGAAGAAAAATCTCCTGACGTCCAAATTTCAACAAAGGGTTTCTAAACATGATTGCGGTAAATGTTTTAAGATGTTATAACATATATTATAAGACCCTGTTGCAGTATCATGTACTTGCCCCTGGGCAGTATTGAGCTCATGAATGAAAAATATTTTATTGTAATCTTCCCCATTATCTGAATTAAAATGTTTGGTTTCTTTTCTTTGGAATTTAAGGACATAGTTCGAGGAGGAAGAGTGTCAACGAGTGTATTAACAAAATCAGAAGTATCAGTTGATAATTCATTCCCATTTTTAAGAACCCTTTAAATTTATTCAAATTGTGGACCATAGTATGGTGACGGAAATATAGTTCACCTTCCTAGTAAGTATGCAATCATTGCTGAACCATGGTTTATGTACGTGAGGATTTGAGGAGGACCCCGGAATACATTCATCAGCTGTCTCATTAATTTTAGTGGAGAATATTTTTTTAGGATCGGGAACATCAATATAAACATCAGGTTTAAGTTGGTTAGACTTTAGTAAAGCCCAGTTTGCCCTAGTAAAATTCCACCTTGATGATTGAGGAATATCAGATGGTGTCGGAGGTTGTAAAATGGTAGGAAAATGGTCACTTCCACAGAGGTCATCGTGGACTGACCATTCAAATTCATTAAGTAAATTAGAATCCACAACTGACAAATCCAGACGAGAAGGTTCCAGTTGCAGGATGTTGATACGCTGAGAACCATCACTAAAAATGCATACACCTTTATTTAAGAAAAAGTCATCAAGTAATTTCCCTTTGTTTGGGCGACACTACTTCCCCAAAGTGGGTTAAGGGCCATAGAAATCTCCCATGATAACACAGGGCTAAGGGGGTTGGTCATCCAGTGCCTGAAGATCAGGTTGTCGGAGATAGTACGATGAGGGCACATACAGAGAACACAAAGTAAAAACCATATTTAATGTGAAACAACTGCAACAGCCTGCAGATGGGTATTGAGAGGAACATGAGTGTCAATGACGCCCTGCCTCACCATAACAGAAGATCCCTCAGTTGCTTTGCCAACGGGAGGGGAAAAGCAATAGTGAATCGTCTTAAATCAAATTTATCAGTAATTTTAAGGAAAAGTTCTTGTAAACAAAATGCCAATGGTTCAAAATCTTGAATTGAAGATCATTAAATTTTACCGAAATCCTCTACAATTCCATTGGGTTACATTGGGGGAGCTCTGTTTGGGGTTGAATTGGAGATCGTGGGTGGGAGAAGGCCCTCTACGCAATATGTTTGAGGGCCTTGGCTTCTTTCTTCTTTTGTTGTTGGCTTCTTTCTTCTTTTGTTGTTTTATTTCTTTTTTTTTACATAGTTCAGAAATAGATTCTGGCAGAGGTTCTTTGAACAGGTCAGTTTGTTAAGCTGCTGATGATGTATTGGTGTTGTCAGTATGAACTTCATACAACATGGTCTGCTCGTCAGAGATCCAGTTAATAGCCGTTTGGCATCCAGTATCAACTTTGATAGGAGAAGAGGAGACTGCAGCAGAATAGGTCAGCGTGGAAGAGGAAGTGGGTGACTCTCGATCTCTACACACATCGTGGAAAACATGTCTACACAACTCGTGGAACACATGTCTACACACATCGTGGGAACACATCTCTACACACATCGTGGAACACATGTCTACACATATCGTGGAACACATGTCCACACACACCGTGGAACACATGTCTACACACATCGTGGGAACACATCTCTACACACATCGTGGAACACATGTCTACACACATCGTGGAACACATGTCTACACACATCGTGGAACACATGTCTACACACATCGTGGGAACACATCTCTACACACATCGTGGAACACATGTCTACACACATCGTGGGAACACATGTCTACACACATCGTGGAACACATGTCTACACACATCGTGGAACATATGTCTACACACACCGTGGAACACATGTCCACACACATCGTGGAACACATGTCTACACACACCGTGGAACACATGTCTACACACACCGTGGAAAACATCTCTACACACATCGTGGAACACATGTCCACACACACCGTGGAACACATGTCCACACACATCGTGGAACACATGTCTACACACATCGTGGAACACATGTCTACACACACTGTGGAACATATGTCTACACACACCGTGGAACATATGT